AGAAGCGCGCCATGCGGAAGAGGGGCGCCTGCATGCGAAAGAGTGGCGCCTGTGTGTGGGACGAAAAAGAAACATTTATGGAGACGTCTTTGAAGGCGATAGCCTCCGAACGCCAACACGAACATATGAGGGCTTATAGCGTTGCAGGCTCCATGCGACAAAAAGGGGCGCCTGATGGCCGATATGCGAGAGGAAATTAGTTTGTGTAACATTTATCGGGCCGTTTACAACATATGAATGTTAAGGGAGGTCCGAGATTGGGGCCTGTAAAATTGCACTGTCAGTATGGGCGGTTACACCCCTAGTGCTAGGGCGTATTTTGCGTTTTTTTTTTTTACTGGGGAGATGATTATGACCAGGAATAGCACTCTGCAAACTTCTATGGGCGCCTGTATAGGGGCGAAACTGATTTTCCAGTGCAGGGACGGCCATCGGCATGGTAAGGGGCGCCCAGCGGGAAGGGGCGCTTCAATATCGTTTGCACCCCTATCCTAGAATACCTTCCGCCGCCACTGCCAGCGGCACAAGACGGCACAGGGTGGCACCTTATATACCAGGTCATCTAGCGGTGCCCATCGGTACCCAGCCGTGCCCAGCGTCATTGCGTCATATTACATCACCCAGGGGCTGACGTGTCACCTAGCATCTTTGAGCGTCATTTAGAGACAGCCGGCGTTTCGGCCAATATTTCAATATTTCACAATGGTCAGTATTTCACCTGGCGTCACCTAACGACGGAGCTACCAACACTGGCGGATCCAAGGGGGGGGGAGGGCAACCGGGCCAAAGTCAGGGCTAGAGGCGGCCAAAACATGATTTGCCCTCCCCTTTCCAAATCAAAGTCCCCTTTAAAATCTTCTCAGGACTGCAATTCACAAAAAAATGGCAACATGCATGAAGGTAAGTCAATAAATCCTCACTTCCGATCCCAATTAATCAAATACATGAAAAGCGGGAAATTTTGTCATTGATAACCTTCGGGGACCTGACCTTTTGGCCGACTTTGGCCCCTCCCTTTGAAAACGGCTGGATCCGCCAGTGGCTATCACATTGGCGTCACCTGATGTCAGACACGGCGTCATCCAATCACCGTTCAGGCATCACCTGGTCACCCGGCAGAAGGGTAGGCCGGCGCGGTCATATAAAGATGTCTACGGTATGCCAGATGATGCGCCGGTCAAACAAGTATAATTACTCATGGGAATCCAGATATGAATGTTACACAGCTCAGAAAGATATATCTGGATTGATTCTGGTACCGGGGCTACAGACGATTTACGGTCATGCAAGCGCTTTTTCAGACACAGCAAGGTGCGGAAACAATACACAAGTACTCGTGCCTAAATATGTTATGTTATACAAGATCACTGAGGTCAGTATCCCCAGTTCGAGTCGGACAGTGTCCTAGACACGTTTTTCGCATGCGCCTTGTTAAAGTTTTTACAAAGACATTCGTCGCAAGATTTTCAAAACATATTGCTCACTAATATTTAGTTATATCGTTGTTCAATGAATAGTTTTGTTCGTAGTTTTAGTTCAATGAATCATATGTTTCTTAAAAAAAGCATTACTCCTCATTCATTTATGTATTTTAGGTCCGCAGTTATATGCACACACTTTGGATTTTAAATGAAGCTGTTGAATGACGTTTAGAAAGGAAACATATCCAGGCGTAGAGGAAAACTTAAAAAAGCTGGTGTGCGTTCCTTTAAAAAAAAAAAGTTTGAATTCCAAAACACGCGGTCCGGATAAGCTCAGTAAATCATTGAAAGCCGCATCAGCAGCGTCGCTGTAGTCCGTAGATCTCCGGTGGCTGGACCGATTCACTACCGCTTCCAGCGAGCACAGACTATGCAGACGCGGCGGACCGGTGCGCTGCAATGCAGGTATTTTTGGCCCCACTCTCCGGTTTCAGTGGCTCTCAAATGGCGCTTTGGCGAAAGATTGGCCGGATCAGGATTTATTGAATCCAGCGCCGAGCCCATTTGCGCCCTCCCACTCATGGAAGTTAGCGCCGTCTTTGACGATTATGAGCTTTTATTTAAACACATGACATTTTGCCAATTGTCATGCTCGGAAAGAAGTGATGAAAGCATAATTTGATTCGGTAACACTCATCCCGTTCAATACATATCCTGCAAGCTTAACCCTCGCATGTGTGCGGCGTTTGCCAGCTTCTAATGTGTAGGGGGGGGGGGTCGGTTGGACCCCCCCCCCCTTGCCGTTTGGCCCCTGATTGAGCTAGAGCTTCGCGGGAAAAAAACGAGCGTGTTGCCCGTGACGAGAGGAAGCCGATGATACCCAATTTTAAGGTCCTAGGTCATTGGGTGACCTTCCAGGTCAGGTCAATGACCCAAAGTCGGGAAAATCGGGACCTGTTAGAAAGTCGTAAAGTGTGGCTGCTAAGGGGTTTTTCGGGGTGCTGATCACGAATATCGTGTTAGTTTTGATCACAGATGATGTCTTTAAGCATTTAGACCAGGTCGGGTCAGGTCAGGTCAGGTCAACCAGTAGGCATCGTGACGGGTATTCGTAGTACGTGTCAACCGCCTCTGACAGCTTCGTAACATGTTACGAAGGCACCAAAACTACTTCGTAAATGTTCAAATGGTTGCTAAATTCGAATTCAGCTCTAAAAACTAGCCTAGAAACATGTACAGCTCGAAAAAGTGAACCGAGGTCACCCGAGGTCACCAAAGGTCAATGACCTGACCTGACCTTCAGGTGACCTTGACACCCACCCTAATGTATGGAAGCAACATCAAATCACATGTTTGAACGTTTGAAACCACGAAAAGCTTGCAAACGCGCGGCTAATGCGAGCCGACATACGCAGAATCGCGATTCCGACCAAACATGGTCTCGGAAAAGAGGTCACAGGTCAAAGGTCATTTGGGTCAGGGTCATGAAATTTTCAGGGTAGGTGTAAAATTGATCAATGTGAGGGTACTGAAAGTTTCGTCGCGATCGGCCGCTTTTTACGCGAGTTATTCGCGAAAAACCATGGGGGGTCCATCCGACCCCCCCCCCCCCCTACACATGCGAGGGTTAAGTTTTATGTCGGGTCGGGTTACCAGGATTGCACTCATAGGTATAATGTTAAAGTTCATTTGCTTCTGTGCTAAATTTGTTAGATGGGTGCCTTCAAGCGTATGGCTTCGCTACAAACAAGGTGATGATTACCTACTTACTGATATCTGGTTTGTATAGTCACGTAACCCTCGCCGGACCTATTGGTTTTCTGCATACGCTCCGACCGAAAGGGGGAGGGGTACGACCCCCTCGCCGTTTCGCCCTGATGGAGTAAGAGTGTCGCAGAAAAAATAAGCGTGTGCGCCGTTACAAGACGCAGCGACTGGTACCCGATTTTAAGGCCTCCGGTCAACCGGTGACCTCTGAGATCAGGTCAAGTGACCCAAGGCACGGGTTCAGTTTTTCATGAATAACTTCGCAAAAAAAACGGTCACAGAGCCGCTATTTTGGCATCATCGTGTTCACCTTGCTTAGGCGCGTCGAATGGTATACTTCTTGTTTGGGTGAGGTCAAGTTTACCTCGGGTCAAGGTCAGATCAGCGCCCCTTAGGTCACGAAGCTGGTCACAAAGGAGGTCATGTTACATATCATTCGATTCGGCACGTCTTCATGAGTCCATTGATGGCTTTTTCGACTTGCTAGTTCAATTTGACCGGAAGTTACTGACGAAAAACTTATGAGCCAAGTGAAACAATGCAAAAGTGAAGCATCGGACCTTGCAGGGAGTGAATAAATCACGATTACGTGTGCTTGAGATAGTTTGAGATCGTTCCCGGGTTTAAAATAGCATATTGATTTTTCCCCAATGACTATATGGAACGGTGAGGTCACGTGGCCGACCTGACAATTTTCAGCTTTCTATCGCCGGCGTGTTTGGAGCTATCGCGAAAAAAACCTAGGGGTGGGGGCAGCATCCGCCCGTCCCCCTCGGCCGGCGAGGGCCAAGTTGTCCCCGAGTTCAAGGTCATGCAGTTATCGATGCAGGCTAGTTTAGAGATGCTTGCTTTAATATTAGCACCTATAATAGTAATATATGCCTACAATATGCCTGCTGGCGCTCGATATTCGATGAGGGCGTCAAAAACGGTGCTGGATTTCTAAAGCGAGCCTCTTAGAATCTGTCTGAAAACATTGTTTTTCTATCGTGTTCAATGTTCATGCGTGAAAAACACTTTGGTTCATAAGCTATTCGGCCTCAGTGGCGACAAGCGTGTCGTTCTAGTGAGTCAGCGTCGGTGCCTGGCGACGGCGGCCAGCCAGCGCCAACACAAATTCTTCAGCTGGTGGTCCGCCTCGACGGGAGCTGGCTGGTGACCTGACCTTGCACGGCACCTGCACGGCACGCCGAGTATAACAGCTGAAAATCACGAAAAAGTAAGCGAACAGTCTGATTATGTTATTTCTTGAATGTCAATGTCAGTGCCTTGAAATGTAGCATTGTGGTAGGTATACGGTTAGCAGGTATTTTTTTTTTTTAACAATATATCGCATTCGTTTCATTTTGGCCTCGGTTTGTCGTAAGAGCACGCCATATAGCCCAAAGAGCGTGGGAGCTGCCATATAGGAAGCCAGCATTCACCTGTTGCTCATCACTTAGTGATGGTTTGTTCGACCCTTTCAACTCACCTCAACGAGCTCCCCTCCAACTGGTTAGCATATGCTCTTTCCTTCCGGGTTTTCCCGGGAGCAACATCCAGTATCCCATATCGCCGAACCGTTCGCCCGATAGGGTTAGGTACTGCTCGGGTCAGCCTTTACTGCTCCCGCCCCCGGGACGGCCCAGTGACCGTTTGGGGCGGCCATGGTCCGCGCGGCCCCCGACACCCCCAGCTTTGGCACCTCTGTATCGTGTGACGGACCTCCGTCCCAGCAGCGCCGCCACCGCCCGGCGCCGGCGGCCGGGCCGACCCAGCCTGGCCGCGGAAGGCAGGAATCCATCTGGGTATTTTTAGGTGTCGACCGGTGCGCCCTCTGCTCCCCTAAATTGGGAGGGCCACCGAGTGTCGGCCGGTGTGCCGGTTCACTTCGGGTCTAGCCAGCGAGGGGTGCACTGCGCAACATCCCACCGCACGAACAACATCATGGTAAGAGCTCAGCGCGCGCCGCGCAGCCGGCGCTGGGAGTGAGACTGTGAGCACAGCACCAGTGGTGACGCGCGCCAGTGACCTGAAGACCAGCGACCCTCTGTGGAGATCGACGGCTAGCGGAGCGAGACCCGTCGCTCGCGTCAGAGCGCACCCTCCGGTGATGTTGCTACCAACTGATCAAAGACTGCTTGCTTGTAGCAGAGACGGATAGTGCTATATGAATGTTAAATTTCAAATATTCTCTGCACGTTCTCTTATAGCTTTTACGCCAGACTGCCTTCTTAAGTAATGAAGTTACGCTTTCACTTTTGCATCTGGATACTTTGGCTTCATTTAACACTTGCCTTTTCTCTCTATGAAAGGAAGAAGACCAGAGATGATTCGTCATACGCTATTAGCACTGAACTGTGTCCGCTTTGCTCATCAAAGTATACGTGTATGTCACCTTCCTCAATATGTCCATCATTGACGGTCGTTTCCTTCTGTGTTGCAGGCCGACCTCGCTGCCAGAGATGTTGAGAGTGAGTATCATACCATCTATCTGTCACTTGTGTGACATAATAATGCAACTGGCTGGCCTAAACCGCACTCTTGGGAACAAAGGAAGGCACACAAAATTCAATGAGCTTTCTCATAAGTTGTTACTAAGTGGGAAATATTTCGCAGTTGGTTTGGGGCGTAAGTTTGATAAACACCTTTTTGCTTCTGTAGTGTTGTGAGTGAGATGTTTTATAGCGCCGGGTTTAACGACAATTGAGTTGCACCTATAATCTTTCTAGCGATTATTTATTTATGATGACTTATATGCAATATGCTTTATTGCATTTATAAATTACATGCTGGCTTTCAAAGCATCTGTGCTGTGGCATCCCTATTGCATATCGATATGTATATTGCTACATGGTTAGAGCGTTGTCGTGCATATGATTATCAGCGCGAGTATCAAATTTCGCCGTGGGCCAGCGGTGGCCCCTGTGGATTGTCGGCGACTGTTCAGCCTCTTACACCAGTGCCGGATGGTGGATACTGGATATGGCCATCATAACCAACTCTCGGATCGGTCGCTCCCATCATTTCTCATGATCAGTGTAATATTCTGCCGGTGGCGGAGTCTGCGGAAAATTCTGCGCCACCGTCGATGACTACCCAGCTGGCCGGGTGCCAGCAGCGGCCCCGCCCGGCCCGTCCCGGCCGTCGCGGCGCGGCGCCACCGGCCTCTGGCAGGTGCCCGCTCTAAATCGGGCGCGGCCCGGCCTCTGCCGGAACTATGCGGGCCCATCTCGGCTGCCAGCGGGCAGGCCTCGGCCCCCCGAGCCCGACCGAGGGGCCGCGCGGCGCCACTGATCACGCTCATGTCACGAGGGCCCGCCATCTACGGACTGTCCGCAGATGAACGCGAAAAATCTCGAAAAAGTTCGCATCTCGTCTACCTTTCCTTGGGAAAGATAATCGTGGATAGATTTCAGTTCAATGCTGTAACTAATGGTTGCCAGCTTTGATGCTGTGGGATGATAAGCATTGATTTCACGTTCATTACTATAAGGCCTTTAAAATCCTTAATCAAGTCTCCTGACTTTCAAAGGTGGTGGTTGAAAGCGTTTCACATGCTTTTTGGAATCAATATCTAAATTGCCTTTTTTGTGTTTGGTAGCACACTGATTTCTTTTCCTACTCACACGGTTGAGATCATTGTCTCAAATTTGTATTCGGCTCTGAATTAGATGAGTGCCTTCATGGCTGTCTCCGAACAGATAACAGGAGAAAAAATCTTATGCTCCTCACCAGTCACCAGTACTATTGCCCCTTAACTACAGCAGATGCAGACTGTGGGCACCTTTCTACAGCACGGCGTCACCTCAGCGTTCCCGGGGCTCTGTATGGTGAGCAGAGAGCAACGTGGTGTGTTCGCACAGCGCGGCTGGTGCAGTGACGCTCTGCCGTTATTCTTGGCACGTAACCCGACTCGGCGGCTGGCGTGTTCGGCGCCGGTGACAGGCTGCTGCGCCAGCGATGTTTAGCAGGTGCCGCTGGGGAGAGAGCCCACCTCACGGCGCCGACGGCCCCGCAAAGGAGCTGGTCTTCTGGGAGCACTAGCACATGTCGCACCTAACTGTTCAGTGTTCGGTTAGCCAATCTGTGACGAAACGAACAGCTAAATGTGGAGGCAGATGAAGCTTCGGGGAATGACCTTTGCATTGGCTTCCCCAGGAATTCCTTATTCGGCTGAAAGGTACAGCCCTCTGCAAACTGCGTGGTAGGTATTCTTTTTTTCGACAAAACCGAGAATAACGAGAATACTATGCTATCGGTCACTCGAAAATCGTAACAGCAAGAGGCGCGAGGCACCACACCTTAGATTGGCATTATCATCGTATGCATTTTCCATCCAGTTTAGCAACAAAACCCAAAAGTTTATATTAGCCCCCAAAACAAACTTTTGCATTTTGGTGCCATACAAGCCGTATAGTTTGTTTAGTGACAGACTCAATCGAAGGAGTGGAGCATGGCGCATCTACTTGCAGTGAGTTTCGGCCGACTGTTGACATAGCCTTTGAGTAATTATCGGTTTTGTCAAAAAAAGAATACCTACCACGCAGTCTGCTGAGGGCTGTACTTACTGATATGAGGATGAAGATAAAGAGTGCAAATTGCATTTCTTTTGCTCATAGTTTTGTGAATCTTCCTTTATTAACGATACTGGGAGTTGACCCTTTGTCGTATGGCATAGCACCTCACATTTTCTGTCGTAGGCGTGCTACCCATCTGGTTTAGCAGAAAACCTGCATGCCCCAGGTGCCAACGCCGCCCTATTGCCAACCTAATGAATCGTGCTAGGCGGCACAGCATAGCTTCCGGGCGGTGCGGGCGCTCTGCCATCTAGCGGTACTTGTAGGAATCTCCAACTGTCGCGCGGTACAGCATAGCTTTCAGGCGCGCTCGGTCCTGCCATCTAGCGACGGCAGTCAAAACTACCGGCCGCCCGGCCCGGGCCGTTGGGCCATCGCGCTCGCGTGCTTCCTGAAATGGATGGGAGATGTGGTCTGGAAGCCGGCAAAGCCGATGCGAATTGTAACCAAGTTTCAAAACGCAATTTTTTCCATTAAGCAAAAGTTTAGAACCAGCATGTTCACACAGTCGTGCAGAACCCGTTCCGCTCACCGACTTTATCTGACCTTAACTGCAATCATTGTCACTGACTGCAGAGTGCAGACAATCTTTGTCAGAAGTTAATAGTGAACTCTTGACATCAAAACGGATCGAACCGGGCTCTCACCATTACACCGCTCGGCTCGGATAGTTCTGCGTACAGCACAGCTTCTGGACCACCAAGATCCATGGCAATAACTAAAATAATAATCACGCCTCGTTTGACAGCGTCATTTCATTTCCAGGGGCTCAGTTCGCCTTCTCCATCTACGACTTCGAAGGCAAGGATGAGGTTGACGCCTACTACCTGGGCGACGTGCTGCGCGCGCTCAACCTCAACCCCACCCTGGCCATGATCGAGAAGCTGGGCGGACAAAAGATCAAGAGTAAGTGCATACCGGTGCTGTTTTTTTTTTTTAGCGAGCCGTTAAATACCGCTCGGTAATAAAGATTTACTCCTTTGAATTGTTATTAACAAATCGATAATTTTTTATCTCGTTCGATTATTTCGTGTCCACATTTTCATCCGTAATTCACTCTGTTAACGATTGCTGATGCGCAAGCTTGCTCTCATTTGTTGTGAGTTCTTGATCGAAAGATTTTACGATTTTTAATGACGCCGTCTCTATCGTTTTGTTTACAGAGCAGAAGAAGCTGAAGCTGGACGAGTTCCTGCCCATCTTCTCGCAGGTCAAGAAGGACAAGGACCAGGGTGGCTACGAAGACTTCATGGAGTGCCTGAAGCTGTACGACAAGGCGGAGAACGGCACCATGATGGCGGCTGAGCTGTCGCACGTGCTGCTCTCTCTCGGTCAGTGACGCTCTCTCCATCCTCTTTACTCTGTCCTCTCCCACTCTCCCTCCCCCCCCCCTCTCTCTCTCTCTCTCTCTCTCTCTCTCTCTCTCTCTCTCTCTCTCTCTCTCTCTCTCCCTCTCCTCTACTCTCTACTCTGTCCTCTGCTCCTTCGGTCAGAGAAGTACGCAGTGCGCGTGCTTGATCAACAGTACCTCTTTGCGTTAATTATTATCATGGCTAATGTTATCTCTCGTTTGTTACAATTTTGCCATTTTGCGTGTCATTCTTGACATACATTGAATGGCTATACGGGCTAAACACATTACGCGTTTTATCCACTGAAATCAACTCCTATTCACTATATATCAGTCGCCTATTGACTCCAAGTTCACTTTGTTGCTGGCTCAGCCGCCCCGCTAACACCCAGGGAGCGGGGCCGTTTACCGTGTCTGGTGTAGGGAGTTACTCAGCCTGCTGACGCGGTAGCTGACCGTGCTGCTGTCCTCTCCAGGTGAGCGGCTGACGGAGAAGGAGGTCAACGACATCATGGCCGAGTGCTGCGACGAAGAGGATGAGGACGGCTTTATTCCTTACGAGCGTAAGTGGAGCGTGAGAGAGCGCTGGGGTAGCGGGAGGAGACAGTGATGGAGGTGATTGGGGCGGATTGGGTATGGGTTTAACCCGCGCCCCGTAGGGGGGGGGGCCGAAACGGCCCCCCCCTGTCCTTTTCGGTCGATATCTCCTAAACGGCTGGAGATATCGCCACCAAACTTTCAGGACCTCTCCGGGCATCAATTTTACACATTGTGACAAAAAAAATTTCCAGAGGCTATGATAGGTTGGCCACAAATGACGTCAGAGTGACGTCATGTTCTGTCATTTTCGACCGAAAAAAGACCTTCGCGAGAAGACCTGTCAGGACTACAGCTTTGAAGATACAGAAAAATGATCAAGACATAAAAGGTGTAGAATTGACAGGGCTACAAAACTGCTATCTCGAATTTTTGAAATTTATGAGTTTTGACCCCCAAAAATCAAAAAAACATTTTTTTGGATATATTCGCCAAAAAATCCAAAAAGTTTTTTGAATTTCGAAAAAACCGGAATATATGTGATAGTGCCTACCGTCTTCTATCTACATACCAAATTTCAGATCGATACCTCGTTTTTTGGCCAAGTTATAGCGAAAAAACTGTTCAAAAATGATGACGTCAAATTTTCAAACTCAATTTTTGGCAATTCTAGAACTCGTAGAGCAAAACGAAGACCACCATTCATTAGACTCCCCGTGACGAGCTGCATCGAATCGATACCCATTTTATGCAAAAATATCAACTTTGAAATTTGACCTAATTTGACCTGTCCTTGACCTGACCTTCACAAAAACGTGACCTAGGCTGGCCCCAAAGGCTGCCTAACCCACATAATCGCATTTGTCATGTAAAATGGACCATAAAACATGTATCACACGACACATTCATATTGTGACCCCCGGTGACCTGACCTCGCTGTGACCTGACCTGGTATCAGTGACCTCAGATAGCAAGGTATGTGTTTGACGAACAATGTACCATCGATGGTTTTCAATAAATTACCAATTTACTCGCTTTCACAGCACATTTCATGAATTGCCTGTGAACGGTGAAAATCTGACCTTTGACCTGACCTGTGACGTCATCGGTTTGACCTAGGTCAATGAAATTTGGTCACAAGGTAGTTCCCGGGTGGGGCTATCGAACGCGTTTGAATTTTGAAAATCGGCCGGTAACTTTCCGAGATCTTAGGGGGGGGCCGAAACGGCCCCCCCCCCCCTACGGGTGGTAGGGTCCGCCGGTAGCCCTACGGGGCGCGGGTTAAGTGACATTAAATTGTGCTATGACTTATGACGTTATCAGCTGTCTACCTTCTGGTTTTTTTTTTGCTCCTGGTTACGTTAACTCGTCAGTGGGGTTTTAGTTCAGGTTACTACAGCAATCGCTTTGTTATTCAAGATTTGCAATAATTATCCGGGTGTTTCAGCTTTCCTTAAGAAACTCACCACCATGCTGAAATGAACGCGCAAAAATCATTTAAGTATATCATCAATGACGCGTAAGTGGTGCCTCAAGGATTTCAGTACTTAGTAAGAGCAGACGTATCGTAGGCCCTTAGAGTGGTCCAGAATCGTACCAGTGTGCTTGCGTTTTCAGAAATGCGCGTATGATAGATATATCCTAGCCCAGAGTTCATCATTATCAGTAGCAGGTTGAATGCGGTATCGAAGAACTGTTGTGATGATCCTACCTCAGTTTGCAGCAGTGGGTCGCAGCGGCTGTGGCGTGCCACAGTTGTTGGGTAGTGTGACACTGATTGTAGTATTTGCCATTGTTTTTGGGATGGTGTTGAGTTGTAGTTAGTTGTAGCGTTGTGTAGGTGAGACAGAGTAGATTGTGACATGTCGACCAAGAGTTTACAGTCGAGAGAGATTTGGCAGCGAGACTGCATGTGACCCAGATGTGACGCTATTGATTGCAGCCTTCGTCAAAAAGCTGATAGCCGGCCCCTTCCCGGATGCGAAGTAAATTCGCAAACTTCGACATTCAAGCTCAGAGGTAGCTGCCCTATTGCTGACCGATTCCCCACCCCAGTCACCCGGTTCCCGCATGTAGATTGCACCGTGTAGATCGTACCTTCACGCCACAATACCCCATTGGAACAGCTACAGTTTGCCTCCGACGCACGTCACCTGAGCCCCTCCAACCCCGGAGCACTCCGAGGACTTCAGCGCGGGCTCTTCCGCCCCGCTTTGAACCACTCACCCTTGACATTTCACCCAAGCGACCTCTGAATGACGGCGCTTTTTAGACCCTATTGACCCCTGCAACCCTCTCTGACCAGCAACCTAGGGTCTCATGACATACTTTTGAGCGTGCTCCTGCTCTCTGTAACAGCCTTGTCCAATCGGCGGCTCTGTTACAGCCTTTGTAAAACGGCTACTGGCCGGCCCCAACCCCGAGAAGAAGTAAGCGCGTCGGCGCAGTTCCTCCGCAGGTACACAGAGCCTAGCTTTGTAGCGTCTGCCGCCGTCACGTCTTTCTCGAACGGCTTCCAGCAGCTGTGCGAGCTTCGCCTCTGTAAAAGCTCAGCGAAAGGCACCGCGGAGAGCTTGCTGCTCTGCGTATTGACGTTGCCATACTGCCCAGTCGCCGCGCCATGCCGCTCTGTCCTACATGTAGACACTAGACCTCACCACTCGTATGCGTGGACGTCTGACACACCAGCTTCAGTGATCGTCCAACGCCGACTAACTGGTGCCCGTGTGCCGCTTACATGACCCTCGCCTGACCCCGCCGGCTCGTCTTACCCCTAGGGTTCATCAAGCGGTTGATGGCTGGTCCTTTCCCCGACTCGGTCGCGTAGTGCCCCTATAGCAGTGGCCTCTCCAAAGTCTGGCTCGAAACAGGTAACTCGGTGGCCAGTGAAAGGTCGCATGTCTGGAATGGAAAGAAACGGTGGGATGCGAATCCGCATGCAGTGAAAAGCGGTCAGTCCGATTCCGTGAAATCGGCAAAGTGACAATTATTTTATTTACCTTCTGTTGGTGGCTTGCAGCTGCCATAATCATGTAACATTCTGTATATATTGAATTGTTTCAAGAGCACTTGCATTCGGCATGATTCGACGAATGATGGTGGGAAAGTTCTATCAATTCTCGAGCGGATGCTCCGCTGTACTAAATGTATCCGATGCTTGATTGACTTCTACAAGTTGTCTTGATCTTCCCAATGTTGTTTTCTCTGTCTTAAAGGAAGAAGACATTAATTTTATAAAAGGATGATTGATATTTATGTTGTACAGTCTGACACCAAACGATATTGAACACTTGAATGATGAAAGGAAGCGAAAAGAAAGCAATTTTGTGATCAGCTATGATAGCATTGAAAGCAGACAACGCTACGTCCTCCCAAACGCTGTGACTTATGTGAACCGTGCATGCTTCCAGCTTGTGTTTCTCTGCCAGCAACTAACAATGATGGTAAACTGGGAACGGCAGTACCTGAATGATGTATAAAACATATGCTCGCTCTATTTGCTTCGCCTGGTATCGCAATGTTTTATCTCATCGTCAATGTTCGCTTCCAGCAAACATGTATTTTCTTTTCATATTATCTGTATCTAGAAATGCTTTATTCATATTTCATTATCAGTGGCGAATTCTCTAAGATAAATGATCCATTTTAGTTTTCAGTGGCTCATTAGCTTATATACAACAAATAATCTGACAATCGTCAACGTTTGACTCGCCCGTTTGACCGTCTATGCGTGTTTCCAGGTAAACGAACCAACATCTCGACCCATCTTTCACTGGGAGGTGGCCTCCCGGCCGCCGAGTCACCTGGCGGCCTCGCTCAGCAGCTGTGTGCAGTCTGCGCGTGGTGAGCGCGGCGCTCGCGAGCCGGCGCCGCCGCCGCCGACCGCCGCCGCCGCCCCCTCGGCCCGGGCGGCAGCGACGCGGCCGACACAGTGGCGGCGCCGGCCACCTTCACTTCCAGGGAATTTTTTTTTATAAGCTCCGCCAGCTCGAACCCATACATATGTATATTTCACTCGTGATGTGTGCGTGTGAATATTGGCGCGTGTCGCGCGCCGCTGTGCGTGTGCGTGTGGCGTGCCGCGTCCGGAGCCCTCTCGCCAGGGCGGACTGAGTGCGATCTAGTCAGCTCCCGCTGCAGAGAGCGCCCCGACGTAAGTCGGTGTTGACGCTCTGGCGCGGGAGTGCGCGCGCCCGCTCCGCTGCCTGGTGCCGACCGGCCGGCGTGGCGGAGCGCTCGTCTGTCCGTCTGTCCGTGGTCGTCTGTCCGTGGTCCGTGTCCGTCCGTTGTCCGTTGTGCCCGAGTCCTTTCCGTTAACTTGACATCACAGAAGAGTCAGCATCATCAGTCAGTACCATCCGGCAAATCTGTTTTATCAAGTTTCGGAACAATATGTAAATAAATTTGTAAATTATATGTATGTTTTTGTCTCACTGCACGGCATGAAACTGGAAAGCTCGATGAGCATTAGGCACTGGGAGTGGGCCTTTTAATAGTATTTGCAACGTTGTTTAAATCATTGATGTTGTGCGGATAAATACAAGGTTGGCACCCCATGGATGGTGGGATAACTGGGGAGCCTGTATTGGCAGACAGCTGGTCATTCGGTGACCACACGATGGTCAGAGCCCTTCTCATATCGGTCATGCCACTCCGAGATTAGTGTGAAGGCCGCTCTAACTCTGTCCTGGCTCAGTGCCGACATACCGCATGCCTGCTGACGCCCGAAAATCAGCGAGCCTGGCCGACCTGAGAGACACTCCGTCTCGTTTACACGAGTTATTCAAACTTCGCGCTAGCCCAGAGCCGGCATGTCGCACACTGATTCATTTTCATTGTGGCGCTTCTATGAGTATCCATACACTTGAAGTGTTGATTCACATGGTCCATTTCTGTTCAGTTATGTTTTATTTGCTTTACGGTTCACACCACATTTAAGAACGCACTTTTTTTATTTCTCCGAAGACTTTTTGTTGGAACGAGCTTCTTCAATATGTTCTTAATCCATTCGTCATTTTATCGTCGGTGTAGGCGTAAAGAGAGAGAGTTAAACTAGGAGCTAAGGTTCGGAATTCTAAGCTTTTGCAACTGCTAATCTACATTATAATTCACGAATTACGAGCTCGGGTTTAATTGATGTTGATGCTTTCGTAATAATAGGCCAAGCGATTATTCCCTGTATTTAAAATGCTATTAAAGGTTACTGAAGATAAGTTACCATTACGCATCGCACTAAACCACTTCGTGGCTCCAAAGCATTGAAAAGTACCGGATTTATTATTGATTGTATTTCAGATGGGTGTTCTTTAAATTGAATCCTTTCATAAGAGGAAATAAGTTCGGCAAGTACATACAACCCGTCACGGGATATTCCTTTGAACACAGGGGAGTCAGTGGCTGGTCAGCCGCGGATCTCGTTGTCGACGTGCCAGTTGATCCAGTCGACGTAGTTCTGGACGCGCGTGTAGACGCCCGGGTAGCCGGCGGTGGCGCACTGGAAGCCGAAACTGACCACGCCCACCAGCCGCCAGCGGTGGGCGTGGCGAACGACCAGCGGGCCGCCCGAGTCGCCCTGACAGTGGGCAAAACGGAAATCAGATCCGGGTTCAGTTGGGCGGGCCGGAATCAGTAGCCGGGCGGTCAGACACTCAGACACGGCCGAACGTGAAGCGGACTTCTCTGAGATATGCCTGGTGGATTCAGTCTAAATTTAGTCTGAGCAGCAAATTGAAGTGGAGTTTCATGTTCAAAATCGACGGTAAGCGCACCTCGCTCGACAATCATTTATATGAAGTAATTGTTAGCTGTTGAGCACGTTTGGTTTTCTGGTTGCAAGTGAGACCGGAGACGTTATGGGATAAGTGCTTATAGGAGCTCTTGCATTATTCCAAAACACTCGGAACTGTTGAAGATACGCATGCAGACTGACCACTTGCTGCTTTACGGCATCCACAATTGCTATAAGGACACCTCAATCTGTAAAAAACCTACCTATTCTCACTGATCTTTCATAAATACCTACTTATCACCGAACCTCCCTGGCGCACCCTCCACTGACCTGACAGGAGTCGCGTCCGCCGGCCGGCAGGCCCGCGCAGATCATGTTGCGGGTGATGATGCTGCCGTATGTAGTGCGCCTGCACTGAGCGCTGGACATGAGCGGCACGTGGACCTCGCGCAGCACGGCGCTGGGTCGGCCCTGGTAGGCGGTGGAGCCCCAGCCGGTCACCGTGGCCCAGCGGCCCGTGTAGACCGTCTCTGAGAGGGGGGGGAGGTCTCTGGTCAGTGGTTGTGGTATGGGGAGGGGCACATGGTCAGTGTCCAGTGACCGTCCCTAGGAGGACGAGTGGACATTGGACAATGGCCAGTGACTCGTGGAGATGAGCAGGTGGGCAGTGACGCTTTTACATAGGTTCACTTATCGTCCATTTACGGAACCACAGCAAGTTCCCAAGAGTTCGTCATCAAAAATATGTAGGGAAGTTTGGGCGTAATGAACCAAGGCTCCAACACCAAGGTTCAATGTTCATTTACAATTTACATACATATAATAATTTTCATTTATGTCCGACCCTGATGAAACCAACTCCGCTGTCACTCACACAGCCCCTTGGGCAGACTAGCGATAGCGCTCCAACACCATTATGCAACCCTGAACGATAGACGGTCCCGCAGAGACTCAAGATGACACCCCCAACTCCGTCGAACAGCCCTGAATCGCCCCACAGAGACTAGCCATGCCGCCCCCAACTCGTCTGGACAATCTTGGACAGTCCCGTAGGGATTAGGTATAAGGGCAGTTACCCAATGGAACAACTGCTGACTTCCGGCCGGCGGAACGGCAATCTCCGAGACAGCGAGGTGCCGGCCCGCAACGTCTCATCTCTCCGTGGGGGTCAGTGACAGTGACCGCGGGGAAACGCTGTGCCGTAGTTATGTGAGCTCAGTGATTTACGGCTACGTTGGGAATCTGGCAGTTCATTGCATACTTACCGTTAAAGCTCAGATGACAGTGTCAATGTCAACTTCGACGAGGTCGTATTGTACTGGCAGTGGATTACTTGTGTTGATTAATAATGCTACTAGTCAGTAGGCATTCTAAATGATCGCGCATTTCTGCTGAGACGGGCAGAAAAATAACAGGATGTTAGTGTGACCTATCTACATATGTAGAGCTTATAAGTCCGTACCTACATAGCACCCTCACCCCATACACGCATCTTACTTTGGCTGATCACCGACCGATCGCCCTCCGGTGTCAGGACCCTTCCCCTCCGGCCTCGCTGTAGCTGTAGCTGTATAGTAGCTTAACACTACGGTAACAGCTCTCACTTCTTTCCATATCCTCACAGAAAAGTTGTTCAAGTAAAACTTCTACTGAATCTTAGATCCGCTACCGAAGCATCATTCATCTCTGTACACCAGATTGATAACACTGATAAATGCATATGGTGCATGTGTCCGCTAATGCCGTGCGATGAGTAATGGATTTTGGCCGGCGAGAGACTACGGTCGGCCAGATGGGAGAAGATCAGTCCGGGGGGAGGGAGGGGAGGGAAATCGCCCGGCACACCACATCGTTAGCGGCCAGAATCGCCGGCTCGTTAGCGGTGTCTGACATTGCCTCCTGCGGGCGGATCGGAACGGGAGACGGGCTATCCCAGCAGATCGGGATGGGAACGGATGGGAACCACTGGCAGAGCTGAACGGGATACGGAATATACCAGCAGATCGGAACGGGAGTCGGACTTTCCTGGAGGATCGGAACTTGAGACGGACTATCACTGTGACTCGGGATATCCGAGTCGTCTATCTAGTGGGAAGAGTTATCCCAGCAGATCGGGATGGGAACGAACTATACCAGCAGGTCGTGAAGGGAAAAGGCTATCCCACCGGGCAGATCGAGGCAGGACTATCACTGCGGAGGGCGGACGCTGGGCGGGGTAGGCTATCCCTCCGGGACGGGAAGGATTATCCCAAGGATTATCCCAGCAGATCGGACGGGGCAGACTCCGACTATCCCAGCGGGCGGCAAGGACGCCGCACCATTCCGCCGGCAGATCTCACTCAGATCGGGGATGGACAGGACTATCCCAGCAGCCCGGGATGCTAATTGGGACACGAACTGTTCGAGCAGCAGCTCGTATGAGACAGAACTAAGCCCAGTGGCTCGGGACGGTGACGGATTATCTCAGAAACACACCAAACCGGGACAAGGAAACGGACTATCTTGCCGACGACGGAGTTAAGTCAAATGGCCTCGATGGTATAGGGGAGATACCTAATAGATAATTCAAACATACCTACCTGTGTAAGAGGAATATATAATAGGCCAGCACGTAGACGTCGAGGGAAGCAGGCATTTCCAGCAGTACGAAAGGTAAAATCATTTGAGCTTCAAACAGTCTCTTTCCAAAAAAAAAACGGCGATATCAGCTGCCACCCCGGCAGACGTTTCCCCAGAACACTCGAGTAGCAGAAGCGGCCCCGGTGACCTCCCTATCCAAGACGCAGTACAGGGTGGAAAGTAATTACGCGAACACGCAATTTATTACAATTTCACGAGTAAGTAGCGACTTTGTTTAGACGGGGACTCGCGCGGGGCGTGATTGGCCGCGTTCGCTATCGATCCACCCACCCCACGTGACCTGACCCTGGGCGATGACCTTGGCCGGTCACAACGCGTCTAGACGTGGAACGGTGCGGGCGCCGGGCGCAGCCCAAGACCAAAATGGGCAAGGAGTATAGTTTGGAATTCCGCGGCAAAGCCGTTGGAGTGGTTTTGGGCGGAATGGATCGGAAGTTGGTCTGTAAGCGTCTCGGCATCAGTCTCACCCAGTTATACGTCTGGATGAAGCGGGAGACAGCTGGAGAGGGCCTTAAAAGCAAGGCCGGCCGAGGCAGAAAACCCTCCGTGCACCCAGTCGCTAAGCGAGTAATCGCCATGTCGGTGACAAAACGGCGCCAATCAACTCGGTAGCTGGCAAAACGGCTTACTGCGGCCGGGTACCCGATCTCTCATACCACGGTCCGCACGTATCTTCGCGAAAATTTGAACACATTTCCGTACAAGCCCTCAAAAAGACCAAAACTCACTAAAGAACAGAAGAAACGGCGTTTGAATTTTGCAAAGGAGCACAAAACATGAACAGAAGAAGACTGGAAACGGGTATTGTGGTCAGACAAATCATGTTTTGAATTATTTAACCCGCCAAACAGGCAGAACGACCGCGTATGGGCTGCCGATGCGTCTGATGTCCCACCAGTCCCAACGGTCAAGCATCCACCGAAAGTGCACGTCTGGGGGATAATGAGCTCCTGTGCGGTGTCGGAGCTTCAGGTAGTGCCCCAAAAGGTCACTATAAACGGCGACTACTACCGGCAGAACATCCTGGAAGAAGAGTGTCTGCGTGCCGTCCACCGAACCGGCAAAACTGGCACGATACTCCAGCGCGCTCTCGTGCCAGATGCAGAAAAGGCCATCTTCATGCAAGATGGGGCATCTCCGCACACGGCCAAACGAACGCAAGACTGGTGTCGGGACAACCTGCCGTCCTTCTGGGCGAAGGATGTTTGGCCTGGCAACAGCCCAGACCTCAATCCCATTGAGAACCTCTGGGGCATTCTCAAGGAGAAGGTCAGCGAGCTTCCAGGGGCCACCACTGCCGATCAGCTCGCCAGACAGCTTCGGAGGGCATGGGCTGCGATCTCTCCCGATGTGCTCCACAACCTGGTGTCAAGCATGCTGGAACACATGCGCCAGTGTATCGCTAACAAAGGAGGATGTGTCAACAAATAAAAGCTTTATGTCACACACGTTTTTTTTCTTCTTAAAAGACGAAAAATGTATGTTCGCGTAATTACTTTCCACCCTGTAGGTATACGGGCCAAATCGATACGGGACGGCGGCATCGCTCAGCCGCGCGAGCCGCTCACCAACTACAGATGACCGCATTAGTGGTAAGGCCGCGGCTCTCAGCGACCAAACTGCGGCTGAGTTTGCTTTGCGTAGGTACTGTTGTGTCGGCATGCCCATCGAACTGCCGGTTTGCAGCATCAATTTAACCATTGTGCAAAACGCTAAACGTTTACTCACTCTCGGTTGCTTTAGAAATATTTTACACTTATTTGTGTTTGTATATGAGACAAGTAGAAAAATACGGAACAAATAGTGCATGGACGCGTTTCGATTATTAAATCTTCATCAGCATGACTTCATGCTGACGAAGATTTAATCATCGAAACGCGTCCATGCACTAGTCTATTTGTTCCGTGTTTTTCTATTTGTGTTTGTGTTTCTAGGTGAATACAAATAGTTTTGAAGGCGATTTACATTTTTCGTTTTGCTGGCAGCCTAGCACATGTGTGCAGTTTTTATCCTACACCATCTCTCTAAACGAAAACTGTCGTTCTACCTTCACGATCCTGTTGATGCGGAGGGGCCGAGGGCTAATACAGAACACTATTTTTACAGCCTTTCATGTCGATGGAATAAACGGTTAATCAACAATCGGTGCTCATTATTTACAAGGGCCGGTCGGAAATCAACGCCGAATGCTGAGTCGGCTGACTGTTCAAGTTTTGAGTGAGCCACATTGGCGGGCGGGCCACCTACCCGAGGGCTACCGACGGAGGTTCCACCATTCTGTAGTTCAGCGTCTGCCGCCTGGTGTCGCTAGAGCCGTCGGACTGCTGACGCACCGACACCAACACGACGGACTAGCTATTTGTCGCTTGGCTAACTGCGTCTCTTTTGTGTTCGTATAGGAGTAATATGAACTGCTAAATATCACATTACATGATAAGCAGGCCGCAATACACTAAAAAGTGTGTTTCCTTTTGCACTTAACGCACCAGTCCCATCATCTTCGGCTTCCTATCAAAGCATCCGTCATATCTAACTATCCTTCCAAATCGACCTATCTTTATGTTTGATCGCACCTTCTTGTTCCGCGCTGACGGCCACCCGTTTAGACATTCGAAGAAGGCAACTCCAAAAAAAAAAAAACAAGTCCCTGTGGGGTAACCGTTAAGGCGGCGAGGTCAGGTGGCCTGTCCCACCAGGGCACACCTGTCCCAACAGGATGGGTTTAACAGCTTTCTGTAAATCTGGTTGGTGAAAGGCAGCGTATTCTTTCATGGGTTTTAGTGGTCCTAATTTGCACTATGCATAGTATCACATTTACATAATGCCTTCTTGTTATGGTATAGCTGACCTGAAGCGCCTGTAAGTTTCGGTCGTGCACACGGCCCTGCTCCCTGCCGTTCTCCCTGTCTCCGCCCCTGCGGACGAAGCCTCCCCCATCCACTGTTCTCCCTGTCTCCGCCCCTGCGAACGAAGCCTCCCCCATCCACTGTTCTCCCTGTCTCCGCCCCTGCGGACGAAGCCTCCCCCATCTCCACTGTTCCCCCCTATGTCCGCCTCTGCGGATGAAGCCTCCCCACTGCTCTCCCCTGTGTCCGCCCCTGCGGATGATGTCGGCAGCTGTCCGTAATGAGGGGCTGACAAGGCGCTCTCTGAGAGAATCGACGAGCACTCTCCAGGGAGCTGGGCAGAGGGGAGGCAGGTCATGTGGGGAGGGTCGGGCAGAGCTAGCGCCGAATGCGTGTCATCTTCCCCGCAGGCATGTGGAGCTATACTAATGACCCGGAAACAGGCCGTAGGAAAGGTGGACGAATCCCTTACTCTGCATGAACACTAAACAGCGTAAAAGATAAAATTAGAGAATCATATCTATATAACCTTAGTAGACAAAAATCCTATCTAGGACTTTGCGTCAGGACTAGCGACATTGCGTCTGACATCCCTTGGTTGCTTCGGTTAGTCGCGCGCTTACACGTAAGTACATGTACCTAATGACGGCAATGACCGTTGGATTGCCTTTGGGGCATTCCACGTCAAATCAAACACCGAAATCCGTCATCCCCTTCGATTTTTCTGAAAATTTGTAGGCAGACTGGGCATGGTTCAAAACTGAGTTACGTATAATATTTTCGAAGTTTGATAAAGTATCGCTGAGATATAGGTCATCGAATATAGCCAAAAATGCCACACATCAATTTTTTAAATGTCTATAACTCTGGTTCCTTTTCTGGTATCAAAATGATATTAACAGGGTCTTGTAGGCAATTGATAAGGCTTTGATTTTTAATTATAAAATTAAATTGAAGTGACCTTGAAATGCATTTGACCTTGAATTAAAACATAAAAATTTAAATAGCAAAAAACACGTCACCTTCGATTCGAGTAATTTTTACATATTATGTCCGTCACAATGTTCCTAACCATCTGTGAAAAAATTGGAGTGGGCCATTCATAACTCTCGCGGCAAACGCCGTTTTCATGCATCAACATCACGCAACCGCGCGTGACCTTGAAAGACAGAGTCAAGACATGCTTGCTTGTGTACACTTTCTGAAATGAATGATTGCTGATTAGTGATATCCCAAACTCTACGAGAATGGAAATACATAGTCATCGTAGTCAAGCATTCAAGTTCCATAGTAAAAGTGTCTCAGGCAAACGGTATTTTGCGGTGAATTTTGAGCCGTGTGGAAATGCATCATGAAGCCAAAAATTCAACGAAAACATTATCACGCAACGATATCTTCACGTCTTTTTATCTTCACTATACGAAAGAATATACATTTTTGAGTATGTATGGGGATTTTCTAGTTAATCCAATAATAAATATGGCAGTTAGAGACCTGCTAAGAGTAACATGTCGCCGGCTGAGGCGGGATCGGCCGACGCGGGAAACGCAGCAATCACAATTTTGTGTTTACACGTTCATATTTCAATTGTTTACCAACCGATTTTCAAAATTCTTACACCATAAGATTGCCTGTACATTTCTTAGTCTTCTCACAAAATTTGACGCGAATCGAATGTAATCAGCGGTAAGGAACGCGATGTAAAGACGGAACCGTTCCGTTCCGTCCCGGCACAGTCTACAATTCAGGCGGCGGCTAGCGGTCGGCGCCGGCGCGGCGACAGGATGTTCACTTTACACCGCTATTACTAGACCAGTTGTGGACCGATTTTCTTCTTGCTTGCACGATGAGATGTGCAATTCAATTTTGGACAGGCAGCTATAATTAATTTCGCATTTATACTATGAGATATTGGCGAAAAACAGGAGGGGTGGGGCGAAATTCGCTCTTCCCCCTCCACTGCGCGTGCTAACATACGTTTGGATATGTGCCATTTTCTTCAAAACTTAGGAATGGCCCACTCTAATTTTTTCACAGGTTGTTAAGAATATGGTAGGCAATAAAATATACGAAAATTAGCCAAATCGAAGGTGACGTGTTTTTGCTATTTCAATTTTTGTGCTTAAGAACAGAGTTAAGCAAATTTCAAGGTCATATATTTAAGTAGGTGCAATTCTAAACAAATGCTTAAGAAATTACCTAAACAGTAAGGTTTATTTCATTCAAATCAAACAAGTACAACCACAGTTATGGTCGTTCAAAAATATAAAGATGCAACATTTTGTAAAAATTCGATGCCCTATATTTAGAAGACCTGTGGTCAGAATGTGCAAGAAACATCAATGTAATGTTCGGGGCGACACAGGAACTCGCTCACAAATTTATAATGAAATCGCTGATGGTAAGGTGCAAAACAGGCGATTTTTGTTCGATTTGACGTGGAATGCCCCCTTTTTATGCAGACGTTTTTCTTGCTTTGGAACATGCTGTTTGGTACTTTGTTTGCATAATTGTTGATTGTCATAATGAAGTTCGCTCTGATTTTTTAATCCTAAGCATATTGATGAGTGAAGACTCATGCAAGAGTTCAAATTTAGCTCCTTTATGCGGATATGAGCTGTCCCGCTCATCAGTGTCATTGGCCGTAAAGTCGACCAGCTTCCAATGGTCGCCAATGATCAAAGGCTGTTCTCTCAGTATTGCGGCAGTTAAGCAGTTATATATAATAGGATTATCACAATCACGATATCGGACCTTAGTTGGACTGCACAGTACACTCTACTTTGTCAGGGCAGACAGACGAGGACTGTTCTCAATCTGACCTCCACTGAGCTTTGTCGGCCAGGCGGGCAGGTTCTCAGTACCTTTGTCGGGCAGACAGGCGGGTTATCAGTACCTTTGTCGGCCAGGCGGGCAGGTTCTCAGTACCTTTGTCGGGCAGACGGGCAGGTTCTCAGTACCTTTGTCGGGAAGACGGGGACAGTTCTCCGTACTTTTGTCGGACAGATAGGCGGGGCAGTCCTGAGAACCTATATACCTTTGTCGGGCAGACACCTACCTTTGTCGGGCAGACAGGCGGGACTGACTCGCGGTCCGAACTCGACCGGTTCCTCCAGGCGCAGCAGCGCGATGTCGTTGTCGATGGTGGCATAGTCGAAGCGCGGGTGCCGGTGGATCTCGGCCACGTCGTGCACCCAGAATCCGTCACTCGGGTCGGTGACATTATGTGCACCGAGGAGGACGCGTACTTCGGCGGCGCGCAGGGCACGGGGTCGGGCCATTCCCTGCAGAAACCTGCCGACCGAGAGATGGGGACGGCGGGTTATGGGTAGTCATAGAAACGATACGCTATACAGCGGCAACTTGGAACCAAGTTCTCTACGCAGAAAAGTTGCACGAAGTGACGTTATATTGTAATGGTCGCCTGCCTCGCATACTTCTATTCTATGTGTTATGAATGCAATGCACGTATGACTCAGCGAAAGTTGTAGCATACCTAATGGAATTGGAACGTAGCCGTAACACCAATGCCAGTGCGTCTGCGTGCATTCCTTATAGAGATGTATCGACTGTGCGCTACTTTACATACAAACACAACGGACTACCGGCTGCGTCGCTTGTGGATCGCTGATCGGTAGGATCGCTGTCTCACATGTTGGTGCAGTGCGCAGCGGTGACCACCAGTCGACTGCTGATGAGTGTGCCGCCGCAGTACAGGGCGTACCGGGTGCCGGTCTTGGTGACGAGGCCCGCCTGCCAGGGCCACGAGCCGCGCACAGCCTCCTCACCACCCACCACTCGGCGACTCAGGCTGGCCGGCAGACCGCACACTGGCGCGGGAGGGGCACGGCGTGGGTTACTAGATACGACGGCGTTAGATATCGAAAATTTTCTTGTTGATCATGAAATCCTGACAATAATAAGACGTTCAGCAAACATGCCATATTGTTATGGCACATTCGTTTGAAGCACTTTTCTTTTTCTTATAAACACTCAGAAGCAGATGTAGCTGTTTTGATGATTTTTCCCGTCTGGTTATGTACAGTTCAATAATTTCTTCACTTCATCACAAACGCACAATCTCACCTTCATTGATGGCGACCCGGTCATCTGCCACCATGTTACCGGACCGGCCACTGATGGCTCCATCGAGGCTCACTGGAATACTCCCGTGAGCCAGAGACACACAGAGACAGAGCAAAGACAGAGTCAGAGTCACCATGTCGCACACAGACTCCACTCGCACCCCCAATGGACCCCAGACACTGACACATTCGTCTGGCCCAGGAGCGGGACCGAGCCAGCCATCAGCTGAGGATATTACACAGGTGCTGCTCGGACAATTATACTCGAACCTTCAGAGGTGTCCAACTGGCTTTCAATGTGGTCGCACTTGTGAACTTGAACGCTGGCGAACAGTCAATTGCTAGGCCTACACGCATACACCCACGCGCATGTTAACAGGACATCTGAGCCTGCAATCATCTCTCGGCGAGTGTTTCAAGACTAAGGTTGTAAAATACGGGCCTTGACTCTGTCAGCAGACTAAAAGATAAATTGACAATTGACGCAACACGACATCCATTTACATACCTACAGGGTTCTGGCTGGCTAATAGCAATGCATTTCACTCAAAAGAATTCTTTTCCTCCAATTCGTCACCAAAAGCCCTCACTAAGGCACAAGGAGAGCGCTGGTCTCATGCACCCGCGGCCGACAGCCCCAGATCAAGCTGCTCGCCAGGATCGACTGGAAGTTATACTGTTCCGCAATGCACAACTCGCGCTAGGATCGACTGGAGGTTATACTGTGCCGCACGACACAGCACCACGCTACGATCGCCTGAAAGGTATACTGCGCCGCACAGCCCAGCGTAGCGCCAGGAGCAGTGGCGCAGCCAGGGGGGGGGTCAGAGGGTCAGCTGACCCCCCCGAAATTTCTGTCAGGGGCCCGCTCGAGAGAGAGAGAGAGAGAGAGAGAGAGAGAGAGAGAGAGAGAGAGAGAGAGAGAGAGAGAGAGAGAGAGAGAGAGAGAGAGGAGAGAGAGGTCCTAATCTAATCGGACGAGCCCGCTTCGAGAAATGCCCACTGCGACACCTCGGGTGAGGGGTCGGCCTGGGGCCCCAGGTGGACAGGGCCCGGGCCCCCAGGAGAACGGGCCCGGCCCCCTGGGTGGATGGGACCCGGGCCCCCTGTAGATGGGTCCGGGCCCCCGGGTGGATAGGGCCCGGGCCCCCCGGCGGATGGGGCCCCGGTGGATGGATCCGAGCCACCGGGAGAACGGGCCCCGGGTGGACGGGGCCCGGACCCCCGGGTCCCGCGAGAACGGGTCCAGGCCCCTCGGGTGGATGGGGCCCGGGCCCCCGGGAGAACGGCCCTGAGCCCCGGGTGGACGGGGCCGGATCCCCGGTTGGATGGGGCCCGGGCCCCGGGAGAACGGGCCCGGGCCCCCTGGGTGGATAGGGCACGGGCCCCTGGGTGGATAGGGCACAGGCCCCCGGGTGGATGGGACCCGGGCCCCGGGAGAACGGGCCCGGGCCCCTTAGGTGGATGGGGCACGGCCCCCCGGGTAGATGGGGCCAGGGCCCCCGATGGATGGGTCCGGGCCCCCGGGAGTACGGACCCCAGGCCCCGGGTGGACGGGGCCCGGGCCCCCGGCTGGATGGGGCCCGGGCCCCCTGGTGGGCGGGCCCCGGAGCCCCGGGTGGACGAGGCCTGGAGCCAAGGTGAACGTGGCCCGGGCCCCCGTATGGATAGGGCTTGGTCCCCCATGTGGATAGGGCCCGAGCCCCCGGGTGAATGGGGCCCGCTAGGGTGACCCGCTTGCTTCGCAACGCGAATAAGGGGTATTTTCGATCGGTGGGCGTTTGGTTGGTCTTGTGTCTGTGGGTTATGTATCCATTACGGTCGATTGCCTTTTGACGGCTAAGCATTTTGGTTTTGGGAAAAAATATCCATCGCATCGAGGTGCTCGTGTCTGATAATAACCATGCGTTCTACTATAGAACATGCCAAGTGTATTTCATGACATAGGTTGGCGTAGGTTATTGAAGAGTGAAAGCCATCGATGAATTACTATGTAGAGGTTTGAAACATTTATATTCTTAAGAATATTGTTGCTCGTCATGCAAAAGCGATGATTGGACCTTGGTCACAATTGAATGCTCTTCCAATCTATGCCCATTTCAATTGTCAAACATACCAGGTTATGTAGCAAAACCCCTGTAATTAAGTAAGTCATAAGCAAATGCTATTTTCTCCAGCAATTTGTTCCACCTTGTTTTTGATCAATTAGCTTTTCACAATTTTCCCATGAGAGGCGGTAGGTACATTTCTCTTGCCAACAAGCGTTGTTTGAACCCGCTTCGTTTGTTTGAACCCGCTTCGACAGTCACCCAAAAATAGCATTAAGTCCAAAATCCGTCCAAAACGTCAATTTTTCAAGCATAAGTGCCCTCACGGGTGCACGTGGCGCGTGCCATCCCTGCACCGCACACCATTCGATAGCCCGTTCGATTCTCATGCACGATACTGTGTTCCTCGTGCCGATCGGACCCACGGTTACCGAGATACTGCACGGGGACCGGACCCGTGTCGGGCAGGTTGAGCCATTGTCGCCCATTTTTGCAAGCCGATTTATGCATGTAAAGTCTATGACGCGAATTTGCACTTTTTGAGCACGCGCCATGTGCTCACCACCGGCCCGATCGAGCTGTGACTCTTCACAGGCACGTTACCCATCCTTGTTCTATAAGTTGCGCGAATTTCAGCGCACTATGGAAGTTACGTCGCGATCAGCCGCTTTTTTACGCGAGTTCTTCGCGAAAAAAAAACTTAGGGGGTTGCATCAACCCCTCCCCCCTGTGCCGGCGAGGGTTAAAAATTCTTACGAGCGAATTCACGTAATGAAGAAGAATAAAAGCACAATCTACTACAGCAGCCAATAGATGACTTAGGACAGGCACATGGGACTACTTTTAAATCTTGTGCGACAGAAGCAGGCAACAGTTCCGATTGCATATAATATGCTATGCATATTGCGGAATTGGGGCTCATATCGGACTCGAAAGATACGAAGTCATACGTCATAGTAACATATTTCTGTCGTGGTCAATTTGCGTAAAAAGTGAAGACCGGGTGATTACCGAGCTACTGTTCTATGCAAATTTTCTGATTCAAACTCGCTCAGGGTTATCGTGCAGGTAAAGGGGACCCGCCCAGCAGAATGCGTATGAAATATGGAGAGATTCTGAAAAATGGGTGGGGGCCCGCACACTAGGGGGCCCGCTTTGGAAGCGATGACCCCCCGAAACGAAATCCTGGCTGCGCCACTGGCCAGGAGTGGCTGGAGGTTTATACCTACTGCGCCGCAAAACAGCCCGCGCTAGGATCGACTGGAAGTTATACTGTGCCGCATAACACAGCACCGCGCGATCGACTGAAAGGTATACTGTGCCGCACAACACAGCCACCAGCCTGCGGCCGTCCGAGCTGAGCCGTACGACCTTGGGGGGAGATTTGGGTGCGTAAGCGATAGCTGTAAGAAATGGAGCCTAGACTTCAACTGCAACAGCTGCGAATGATTCAGTTAAATACGTCATGCGACACTTCTTGTTCCCTTTATCATCATTACCTTTTTTATTAGCATTTAAAATTGTCGTAGGTATTGTGCTTTAATTATCAATCAAAAGTCACTTTTATTTTGATAACATTCTTGTACAGCCCTCAGCAGACTGCGTGGTAGGTATTCTTTTTTCGACAAAACCGATAATAACTTACAGGCTATGTTATTAGTCGGTCGGAACTCACTGCAAATAGATGCGCCATGTTCCACTCTTTCGGTTAGGTCTATCACTAGACAAAATATACGCCTTGTGTGGCAACAACATGCAGAAGTTTGTTTTGAGGGCAAATATAAACTTTTGGGTTTGTTACCAAACTAGATAGAAAATGAATACGGTGATAATGCCAATCTAAGGTGCGGAGTCTCGCGCATCTTGCTGTTACGATTTCCGAGTGACCGATAGCATAGTATTCGCGTTATTCTCGTTTTTGCCGAAAAAAGAATACCTACCACGCAGTCTGCAGAGGGCTGTACCTACATCATTTGAAGTTGATATTTATATAAGGCAGGCACTATTTGCATTTTTAGGCCTATTTCTAAGTTATTTTTTTAGCCTTCGTCGAAGATAGAATGTGAGCATCGGCGTAACCCAACAAAATTGCGTCGAAGAACATTTACTAGCATTACCATTGACACCACCCTACGATACAAATATTTCTTCTCCGTCGTCCCCAGCAGCCGGCGGCGTGGACCGGCGCGGTGGCTACCAGCCCGTCCCCTGCCCAGTGCTCAGCGCTCACGGCGGGCCGCCGCGCCGGTCGGGCGGGGCGGAACGGCGAGAGATGCGCCCCGTTATCGCCGGAAGGGCCCCATTCGGCAGCGGGCCGCGGCGGATCGCCTGCCGGCCGGCTGCTTTAGTGTCGGCGTCCGGAAACACTCCTGGCGCCGGCTCAGTGGGGGCCGAGCAGGCAGCGAGAGGAACTCCAAAGGAGGGACATACTGTCTGGATTGAGCGGAGCAATCGCGCCAGAGGCCGAGAGAAAATCCAGATGAAGGACACACCTACTGTCCGGGCTGTGGGAGATGACGCACAAGTGACTCAGACGTAATGCTCTTTCTTTAGGTGAATGCATAGCGAAGTTACAGCCTATCGAAGCCGAAGGTACTGCCTGGGAAGTCACAGACATAGATCTATGGATCATGAAAAATCGGAACAATTTATTCTGATACTGGTTGAGCCGGAAGGCAGGACAGATCGTGTAACAAAAGGCAATCTGTCTTGCAATTTGTTCAAATGTTTGGCCAAATGACGACATCGATGAGTGGTTACGACATAACGAAGTAATTCGGTGCTGGTGCTCTCCAAAGAGGCAGACCTGTCATAACTGAGCGCGCACCTCAGCTCACATGCCAGCTCCTGTCGGTGTCAGTGAGATCACGTGACGCCACGTTTCTGTCCTGATGACGGTCACGTGCTCATATCCGGCGCGCTCTGCGCTGTTTCCGGTGTCGGGATGGTGGAAACATCTCCGGAGGGGAGTCAGCTGATGAGGCGGAGCGACGAATGTTGTACTAACTTACATACATACCACGACAGACGACAAGATACGGAGGCATGTGCGGACACGGGGTGCCGACTTGGTGGATGATTTTTTTTTGTAGTGTTATTTAAGTGAAGTTAGAAACATAGAAGAAGAGCCTGTTGAAGAATGTTGAAATCACTGAACCGTTGAAACAGTTTTTTCTTCAATGTAGGCAATAGAGTAAGAATGTGTTTGACTAAATGCTTTCGTAATGATTATATGAAACGATATTATGTAACACCACCAGTACAAGACGGCGTCGACTGTTGCAAAAATGTATGCCCTCGTTACGTCCAAACTCCCGAGTCATTGTCATTAGGGTCAACGCCAATAACACGTTTCTGCTTTTACCGAGCTATAGGTTAGCCTGAAGGCGACACCGGGACTTTAGCGTCATTTGCTTAAAAAGCGTTGATGAAGAAGATATTTGTAAATGTTAGTACATAAAGTGATTGAGTGAGCAAATAGCCAATAACGCCCATATTGGCTTGCATGTAAGCACGATCGCCCGGTAGAGAGCACATACATGAATTGTTCATTCATTTCTTTTGTACTATAAACGCAAAAAATTCCGCAATCCTTATTTAGTTTCAATGTCCGCAATAAAAAGTATGTCCTGTAGCTATATTTCGTATAGTATTTCCATTCTGAGACAATTTATACGGATTATTACAGTGTCTCAGTCTCGTTATCATACAGTCTTGTGATAGCGTTAGCCATTACGTTCAGGTACAGGTCCTCGTTTGTGCCACCGCTCAGCCTCTGGAGGTGCGGCCGACGGACACAGTCCCCGGTCGATTGGTATCAGAACAGCCACCAACCGGCTGGAACCTTAGGCAGCCCCTCTCCGTCGGCCGTCCAGACGTGCACAGTGCACAGTGCACACTGCACACCTCCCGCTGCGCCAAACACCGGTATCCGGCCGCCAGATAGATTCCACTTCAATAAACACCGGCTCCGGGGGGCGGCCGATCGACGCTGGAGAGAGCCGGCCCGGCGGCGCTCTCAGCTGGGAGACGGACGGACGGTCGACCGCAACAGGTCGTCGCCGGCGGCGGCTGCAGCCCGGGGCAGCGCGCGCGCCCGACGGCGGCTGCGCTGCCGCCGCCGGCCGGCGCAGTTCGACGGCCCCAGGCGGTCGGAGCGGGCTGGCCGGTGGAGACATGGAGCTGTCGACAGCGGTGTGCGACACTCCTGCAGACAGTGGCCGCCCTGAGTGACACCATGAACGAGCGGCGCGGCGGCGGCGGCGGGGTGCCGCTGCCCATCCAGCTGTTCCTCTGGAGACAGACCAGGTACGGACCGGGCGCGCCGAGCGGTGACGAGTTACCCCGGGGGTTGTTTGCTTTAAAGTATGCCAAACTGCTTCAAAGTTGACGCCACTTGACAGAATATATCCATTTGACCTTAGGTTAGGTAACCTGAGCATGAAATTTCGACACTTACATACGCACCGGGATGACAAATTGTTTTAATGGATATCAGATTTTCAATTCCTATATTAAAAATGCAGTCTTTTGTGTGTTTTACGGCTACTCAATAGCATCACGTGATTTCGCATATACTTTTTTGTGGATTTTAAATTAAGCATTAATATAAGGCGTTTATTTCAGCCCATTTATAAGACCGAAGCTGGGAAAACTTCATGAGGCAACATGCGTGGTAAGTGGCTGCGAAGTCTTCTTCATGTCCGCCATTAGTTGATCCCTGTAAATTACATTGAAAAACTGAAATGAATGCACGCTATTATTTTTAATAATTTATAATGATTAAAACGGTGAACATTTCTGCTTTCATTTTAGTCACTATTTAATTAATAGTGCATAAGCAAATGTTCATGAATACATCTGACGATTTAAGTCGAAATAAATGAAGATAATACTTTCCTATATCTATTTTAGATAAAGTTCGCCAATAACAGATCAAATATCAATGACATAATAAATACTTTACTTGATTTCACGAAGACTAAACTGCATTTCGAGGATACAACATCCCGGATTATTTTTATACTACCACCACTCTATGTCTTTCCTTTATTTATCCTCATTGGGTCTAAAAGTCGGACAATTTGCTATCCACTGCGGCATAAAAAAGCGCAAACGATGATGGAAGATTACCTTTTTACGCTTACCTCTACGAGGGGAGGGGGGTCAAACAGTTCTGGGCCCGACCATTAACCCGCGCCCTGATGGGGTCTGCCGAGCAACGCGGTCTGATGGGGGGGGGGGCATTTTGCCCCCCCCCCCTAAGATCTCGAGAACCACGCAACATAGCGACAAGCGGTAAACGGCGTTCGATAGCCCCAACGGGGAACTACCTTGTGACCCAATTTCATTGACCTCGGTCAAACCGATGACGTCACAGGTCAGGTCAAAGGTTGAATTTTCACCGTTTACAGGCATTTCAAGAAATGCGTTGTAAATCGAGTAAAATGCATTTCATTGAAAATCATCGATGGGGAAATGTTCTTCAAACACATATTTTGCTATTTGAGGTCACTGATACCAGGTCAGGTCACAGAGGTCAGGTCACTGGGGGGGGGGGGGGGGTCACAATATGAAAGTGTCGTGTGATACATGTTTTATGGTCCATTTTACATGACAAATGCGATTATGTGGGTCAGGCAGACTTTTGGGCCAGCTTAGGTCACGTTTTGGTCAAGGTCAGGTCAAGGTCAGGTCAAGGTCAGGTCAAATTAGGTCAAATTTCAAAGTTGATATTTTTGCATAAAATAGGTATCGATTCGATGCAGCTCGTCATGGGGAGTTCAATGAAGGTCTCCGTTTTGCGCTACGAGGTCTAGAATTGCTAAAAATTGAGTTCAAAAATTTGACGTCATCAATTTTTAACAGTTTTCTCGCTATAACTTAACCAAAAAAAGAGGTATCGATCTAAAATTTGGTATGTATATCGAAGAGCGCAGGAACTATCACATATATTCCGGTTTTTCGAAATTCGATTTTTTTGGATTTTTTTTTTAGTTTTTTTCTAAAAAATCAATTTTTTGATTTTGGGGGTCACAATCTCAAAATTTCGAAAATCCAAGATAGCAGTTTTGTAGCGGATTTTTCTCTACACAACCACATAATGAACTTTAAAATTGCTTGTTAACTGTAGAATTGGTGAGCGTTTCAAGATGTCATGTTTCTTGCTCATTTTTACTCGAACATGACCTCAGTTTGACCTCAATAACTCCTGACTTGAGATGACCTGTGACTTGAAATTTTGTATGAAGGTGTCAAATCGATGTCCGGTAAGGTACTTAAAATTTGGCGGCGCTGCGCGCCGCCGTTTTCTCGCTATTTAAGAAAAACCACAGGGGGGCCAAAATGCCCCCCCATCAGGGCGCGGGTTTTAAGGAGCAGAAAAACAGCATCGACTTATAAGAGCAAAGTTGTCTATTTATTTAAATAGCCACCGTTAAGACAAACACATTTTGCGCAGCGCCTCGCGAGAGCCCCCAGTGCCTCCATAACCAAATGGGGTTTGGATCTATCTGGCAAGTTCAAGACGGCTGCTTTAGTCTCTCTGATGTTCGTGAAGTTGTGACGGCTAAGCAATTTCCTTAATTGGGGAAGAGGTGGCAACCAGAGGGTGCAAGGTTCGGAGAAAAGAGTGGGTGTGACATGACAACTTGAAGCTACAGCTCACTGCTTCGCCAATCATAAGGCAGATTGGTTAATGGCTACGCAAGTGGACATCCTAAAAACACATCATTGAATACACCGCGTTGCAGGCCGAAATAACAACTTCTTCATGGTTGGGCCCGGAACTTTTTGAGCGCCCCTCGCTAATTATGCATGGTTATGCTAAAAACGATGCTTTACGTGAGTGGGGATAACAAATAGAAGACAATATTCATTCATCAATATGCTTTCAATTCAGTACACCAATGTTCCCATCTCAGTGACTCCCGGTCGCTGCAGTGTAGGCGCTAACCTACTCTCGGCAGTCGTCGATGTTGTTGGCTCAGTCAGTCTATCTCGTTCGGCCACCGCCGCGTGGAGGTGCCGGCTGTGCCAGTAGCCACCTGCAGCCAGCTGCCCCGGGGTATTTACCCTCGCGCCGGGTCGCCGTAATAAATTGTTTATCTGGCGTCTGCTACAGGCGCGTGTTTCAGAGACTCGGCGCACGGCTGCTGTTTGTGTGACCTGTTCTTCTGGGGCGCACGCGTGTTTGGTGGTGGTCAGCGTCATATTGCATATAAATGCCATCCCATTATGCCGCCGATGTCTGCCTGTAGCCAGACCGGTCTGTCTGCGGCCACCTGTGGCTGACCCGAATGCTGTCCGCCGCCGGCCACTGCACCGCCAGCAACAGAGATTGTTAGCGCGAGAGCCCGCTTGGAACCGCCCAGAGCGTTGCCATAGCGACCGCGGAGGAATCGATCTGGCCCGCTGACCGAATGTGGAGAGTGGCGTCCATCACCGCGCGCACGGCTGACCGACAAAATCGAATCGGGCCTTATCGCCGCTTGCCAGGGAGCAGCGGCACTGACATCGCGGCGCAGGGCCGCCGCGGGGAAAACCGATAACGGCCCCGCCGGCGCCGGCGCCCGCGGCCCGTCCGCCGGCCCTCCCGGCAGCCGATACCATATAGATGACATGTTGTGACTGCCCGGGTTTTTAGGGCCGGCGTCTTGGACCGAGCCTTCCGCGGAGGTAAAAAGACTCGGTCTGGCGGCCTCCGTGACGGCTCGCTGGATCTGAGGGTATTGATCGAGCCCCGGTGCCCCAAGGCTGCTCTGCCGGCGGCGGTGGCGGTGGCGGCTGTGGCGGTGGTGGCGGTGGCGTCTTCAGCGCACGCTCAGCATATCGCTACAATTCGGCCTTCCCGGCCCGACCGCTACCAGATGCGAGACGCTTCATTATGCCACCGGCAGGATGCGAGTGCGACGCCCCGGGCCCGGCCGGGAGGCGACGGGCCGCGAAGAATAGTGTTCTGGTACCTACCAGCGCGAGCGCGACGATTCGCCGCTTCCAACTCAGATGGATCCCTAATAATGAGATGTGTCTTTAAAAAATTGTAGGCTTCATCGAGAATATATATCAAAATCCCTAGATCTAATGACATGACGACTGACAAGATAACCTAAATTCCAAATCTTCTTGAAAGCCTCAAAGCCTCGAAAATGCGTCGCAGTCAGTGTATGTACTTACATACTTCATGTTTTATTAAATACTGTGTTGAAATGGAAATGAGAACTCAAGTGGCCAAGCGAAGAATGTTGTTCTAAATCCTTTTGAAAACACCATGCGCAGCGCAGAATCAAATGGTCATGGATGATGCGTCCTCCTGTCAAAAAAGAGCACCGCATTCTGCGGTAGTCACGTTCAACTATTGTGGAAGGTGATAAAGTATCATAGAACAATATGGATAAGTATACCTACGATGTTAAATATTTACGAAAGGGCTACGAAATGAGCAGACCAGCATCAGGCAGAGCTGCGTCCCTACAGTTTGCTTTCTGGGAGGTAGGCTGTCCCGCATCACACAACGGGCCGGCGGAACAGCATCTAGCCGTGCTCGCGTTGTTTTTGCAGTTCTGTGAGTTGACCAGTGAAGAGCAGATGCGTGTCAAATCGAGCATCTACATTGCACGCGGCTAACTTTCCGCCTTCTCGTCGAGTTCCAGCTTTCGCAATTAGTTAAGTATATTGGCCTGTTGCTCTTGTTTTCCTTGCTGATTTCTCTCCCAACTTCAGAGTTAAGCGTTCGATACCGTCAGTGCAGCGGCGCGAGACAACGACACATTAGCGATCAGCAGAACTGCATGTCCTCAGGCGGTGACGGATGCCGCCAGTGCCCAGTATCGCTTCTTGCCGTGGCCGGTAGGGTTATCCAGCCTCCAGCGCCGATGGGGTGGGGCGGAAGGAGGGGCGGGCTGCCGGGCGACCCGAGCGCTGATGGCAGCCTGGCCGCATCCGTCAGCATGGTGGCACGACGATCAATAGATAGGGAATCTGCGGGCGGCCGAGCGGCCGGCCGGCCGGCAGCCACCCGAGCCAGATTATGCCGGGTTCACACCGGATTCCGGGCCGGCAAAATTCCGTCTGCCGGGCCGGAAAAATGGCCAATTCCGTGCCGGAAAATTGAAAACTGGTGTGAACCGGCAAATCTGGCAACTTCTTTTGACCGGTCCGGCAGGCCGGAGAGCCAGATTTTCCGGTCCGGCAAGAAGTTGAAATCATCTCAACTTTTGCCTTAAGCCGGGTTCACACCGGTTTTCCGGTCCGGAAAAATTCCGTCTGCCGGGCCGGCACCAAAATGTTGAAATTGTCGCTAGATGTCAAAAAAGTCGCTAGAACCGGAAAACCGGAAAGTCGAGCCGGAAATGTCATAATCATCAACCATCAAGTAGGGGAGAGTGGGGTAAGATGCCCAGGGTGGGAAAGACGCCCCACCCCCTCTAGCGGCGAAACAAAGAATCGAACCTGGAAATTTATGTTCTTAGCGTAAAGCGGAAGCCTGCCTTGTTAACTGCACAAAAATTTGCGAAGCTCAGTTGGGCAACGGCTGGCTGGTGATTGCATGTTTTTTATTTGCTGCTTTCAACAAATATTTTGGTGTCAAAACATTGTAAATATCAAAAAAGGTAGATAATTTTTGCGTCCCTTGCTATAGTCGTGATACATTAACATGCGTGTACTGTGTCCCAAACAGTTTGTTTCAGGGTGTAGTTTTATGGCTAACAAATTGTACTGATTTAATGTTACTTCGGTACCTTGGGGTAAGATGCCCCCTGTCCTGATGGGGAAAGACGCCCCCCTAAATCCGTAGGCTGTCCTTCAAGCAGCCCGTCAAATCATTTATTACATACTTGTGATAAGAGACAAAAGCCGATCTGGGACTATTGAGAGTCCAGTACGGTCGGGTGCTCCCCATGCCGGTCTCTCGGCCCACACAGCGACTTTTTGGGCGGCATCTGACTCTGAGAGCCCTCACGACGGCCTCTGTGGGCCCCATTATTGGCTCCAAGGCCCCTCACGACATCCTTTGAGGGCTCCCACGTTGGCTCCACGGGCCGCGCAGGCATCTGAGGTCCCCACGATGGGCTCGAGGGCCCTCAAGCATCATGAAGACCTATAAGGGCCCCACAGCGGTCTCCGAACGCCACCACGGAGGCTTGTTTGGCCGCGCTGAACTAAGCTAGCCCTAACGATGACCTCTGAAGCCCCTTACGACTACTTTTGAGGGCCCTTCGATGACGTTTGGTGTCTACTGCAGGTTCGAAGGGACTACTGATTCGTTCAGGCGATTCACGTGCCCATTTATGTCACTTATAGTGCAGGGGGCATCTTACCCAACGCCAGGGGGCGTCTTTCCCACCCTGTGGGGTAAGATGCCCCCTTTCACTTCTTTAGGAAAATGCTTAATAGCAAAAAAAGTTATCATATTTCAGGCACGAAATTGTGATATTTTTGGAGAAAAATGATGTCGGCTTCTGTTGAAACTCCAAGTTTTTGCTTTCCTATCGTCATTTTCGAATAATATATGACAAAGTAAAACCCTGGGCATCTTTCCCCACTCTCCCCTACGATAAGTGGTACCAAGCAATCTCGCGAATTATTTTGAAATCGAACATACTTGTGTGACGGCTTTATAAGTCCCTGATGCAGTTCCACCCAACCGAAAATCATCCATACTTCACTGGTAGGTATATTAGCAAGATTAATACAATTTAACATTTACAGCATGCGGGCTGGGTATCGACAAAGAGACACAAATAAATTTCAATCGCGCTTTGGCTGTTGTTGGTTTAAAAACACTTGCGAACAAAGAGGAATTGAGGGCTGGGCAGGGCGCATTAGAGACGGCGAGCTTGATATTACGCTTGCTGATGTAGATGGCTGGGTCTCAAAATCGGTCATCTGACCGTCACTGAACTCTACTGCCATAACCCGCGCCCCACTGGGGATCCTAAATTTCCACGCCTTGCTGGTGAGGGTGTTTAACATCCCCCTTTTAACTCGGCTCCTGGGCCACGTAGCTCCACTTCGTAGACGACGGAAGTTAGCAATACGTAGGTACATTGTGCTACCTGTCCTGCGGCCGGCTCCAGCGCTTGATAATCTCTTCTGCAGATACTGGCTCCGCTCCTTCTACAACCAGCGCGTCCGCAATGTTGTTCCACAAATTCGCCCTTTTCACCGCTTCCTTATAACATTTATCTTTTTTATTATAAAGTCATGGATATTTTCCAACCAATGAAATTAATTTATAATTTGAAAAGGCCATGAGTCATGTGAAATACAAAAACAGAAATGTAGCTATCACTCCGTTTGAGATGCAATTGCAAATGTTTTGAAATAAAAAAGAAACGCCGTCAAATTTACGCTTGAATTTTATATTCTCGTGAAAAATTGCGAGACTATTAGGGCACCGTTGGTTAAATTGGTCCTGTAGCGCTGAAACATAACATTATTTCCCTCGTGCCTTAATTTCATATCACAAACGGTGGCTATCCGGCAAGGCAAAAGTTGAGATGATTTCAACTTTTTGCCGGACCGGAAAATCTGGCTCTCCGGCCTGCCGGACCGGTCAAAAGAAGTTGCCAGATTTGCCGGTTCACACCAGTTTTCAATTTTCCGGCACGGAATTGGCCATTTTTCCGGCCCGGCAGACGGAATTTTGCCGGTCCGGAATCCGGTGTGAACCCGGCATTACCGGATAGCCACCGTTTGTGATATGAAATTAAGGCACGAGGGAAATAATGTTATGTTTCAGCGCTACAGGCCCAATTTAACCAACGGTGCCCCAATAGTCTCGCGATTTTTCACGAGAATATAAAATTCAAGCGTAAATTTGACGGCGTTTCATTTTTATTTCAAAACATTTGCATCTCAAACGGAGTGATAGCTACACTTCTGTTTTTGTATTTCACATGACTCATGGCCTTTTCAAATTATAAATTAATTTCATTGGTTGGAAAATATCCATGACTTTATAATGAAAAAGATAAATATTATAAGGAAGCGGTGAACGAGACGAATTTGTGGAACAACATATTGCAGACGCGCTGGTTGTAGAAGAAGCGGAGCCAGTATCTGCAGAAGAGGCTAGCAAGCGCTGGAGCCGGCCGCAGGACAGGTAGCACAATGTACGTATTGCTAACTTCCGTCGTCTACGAAGTGGAGCCAGCCGAGCAGATTCTGAAATCTACATTCTACAAGACGCGCTGACAACACTTCTCTGCCCTCGATGCCCTCCTACACAAGCACATAGCAGCTCGGGAGAGTGGAGGCAGTTTTGCCATTCAATCGCAATTAGAAGATTCAGGAAATGCGATGGTACTGAATGCCAATTGCCAATGATATTATCCCGCGCCCTGCTGGGGTGGGGGTGGGGGTGGGGGTATTTGAACACTCCCTGTGGTTTTTCGTGAATATCTCAAAAACGGCGGCTGTTTTTGGGACACCTTATCATGCATCTTTTCTGCATATGTTATAAAAATTGTAGACCAAGGTCACTTAAGGTCAGGTCACCAGGTCACTTCAAGTGACCTCACCTCATACAAAGTTTCAACGTCTTCCATAGCTACATCGAGCGACTGACCTCTTTGAAACTCTCAGCGATTGATAAGGGCAACAATATGTACACAATTTAAATAAATAACTATCTCGGAATTTTGATATCGGTGACCTAAGGTCAGGTCAATTTTGTGACCTCCCCATTATAAGTCAATGGGAGAAAATCGATGCCAAGTTATGCATTGGCTTGTTGTAAATCGTCGACATTCGACCTGAAAATCGGTGAAGTTCGGTTTTCCATGACCTCTGGTGACCTGACCTTTGATTTGACCAAAAAATTGACCGTATTACTTTTGTCATTATTTTTGACACTTTCGAACGCCGCCTTCCCCGTATCGCTACGTGGCCCAGGAGCCGAGTTAGAAGGGGAGTGTTAAACACCCCCCAGCAAGGCGTGGAAATTTAGGACCCCCAGCGGGGCGCGGGTTATGGCGGTAGAGTTCAGTGACAGTCAGATGACCGATTTTGAGACCCAGCCATCTACATCAGCAAGCGTAATATCAAGCTCGCCGTCTCTAATGCGCCTTGCCCAGCCCTCAATTCCTCTTTGTTCACAAGTGTTTTTAAACGAACAATAGCCAAAGCACGATTGAAATAAATCAGTGTCTTTTTGTCGATACCTAGCCCGCATGCTGTAAATGTTAAATTGTATTAATGTTGCTAATATACCTACCAGTGAAGGATGGATGATTTACGGTTGGATGGAACTGCATCAGGGACTTGTAAAGCCGTCACACAAGTATGTTCGATTTTAAAATAATTCGCGAGATTGCTTGGTACCTATATTATCGTATGTACCAGATTACATTTCTGGCTAGACTTTCCGGTTTTCCGGTTCTAGCGACTTTTTTCACATCTAGCGACAATTTCAATATTTTGGTGCCGGCCCGGCAGACGGAATTTTTCCGGACCGGAAAACCGGTGTGAACCCGGCTTTAGTCCTGCCGCCGGACGAGATGCCGGCCGGTCAGAGGTCCGTGGGGCTGGTCAGATGGGTCCGTCAGATGGGCTCAGTCAGAGGGGTCGCCCGTGGCGGGCGTCATAGCCCGACAGCTGACCAATGACGACCGGCGCGTCCCTACCACAGAGTATCCTATGGGACTTCTCCTAACAATGGGCTGTGCGGGCGCCATATAGCCGGGAGAGTTCCGTCCGGGCGGGCTCTCTCAGACAGTCGCCACCGTCGGGTGCGCCGAATGCGATAAACAGTTCCGGCGGGCGACTATTTACGTGGGGCGCCAGCCGGCCGACGGCCGGGTTACAGCCGATTACTGCCAGCAAACGGCCGCCGTCTGCCACGCGAGCTGGGGCTGTCCCGAGGCGAGTACAGGCCACCAACCTGACTGCAGCTCAGAGCGTTGGATCATAGGCTGGATCTATGTAGTGTCCCAAAGGCACCGGCAGGACTCCCGGGTCCGTCAGTGCCTATATCGATCAAGTATAGATGCACTTCTTCTTCCGGAGAGCGGAGCTGGGAAGGACAGGTGTCTGTATCCGTTCAGGCCTTCGTTGAAATTAAAAAACTGCTTAAATGCCTGTGTTCTTTGTCCTCTTCTATCGAAATACTTTTATGAATTGCAAATTTATTCAGCAATGAACTCATTCTACTTATTCAACTTATTCAGCAATATAATATAGGCACCTAAAACATACCTATAGCCATATACATGTGTTTCTAGCTACATATCACGAGAAGGGTGTATAATGAACTGCAGTAAATGAGGAAATTGGGTCAAACATAGCAGCTTGATGTTCGAATAATGTTTGAAAACTATTTTCAGTATTGTCAAAGAGCACCAAGTCACCATGTAAGTCACCCCAATGTCATGGTTCAATGTTTTGTCGTGGTGGTGGGTACAAATTTCGTCGAGGCACGTTGTGGAATGCAAGCTTGTGTGGTTCGTTCTGGTCGAGTAGAATCTATCTTTCATTTCTGGGGTCAGCCCTGTCAAATCTCACCCCATCCAAGTGACGGTAGTAGAGGTATAGCTGTGAAATGCCCTTAGAAACGATCTCGCTTGGCTATGCTCCTAAGAAAACATTATTTAGTTAGGCAGATGTGATTGTTTTCTATAAATCCTTTTCCATCTGCTTAGCGATTTCTTTATTGTTTTTATTTCGTGTAACATGTTGACTTGAGCTTTATACATTAACAAGGCCTGCATTTGACGTACATACGAGTGACATTCATACATCGCCCTACCATTGCCGTTTATTTTCCCGACTGTGCGCCCTCGTTGACTTGGTACTTAGTCTCCTAGTCTCCTGACGTAGTCTCTCGGTTTAGTGCAGCACGTGTGAGGTGTATACCAGCAGGGGACAGCGGCTCCGGTAGTCTGTTGGAATGAGGGCCGGTGGTGGAGCCCGCCTCAGCAGAGCATGTGCCCACTTTGACCGCCGGCCGGGACTTTGTCTCTTTCTGGTGACATCAGTGCATGAGGAGAGGGGAAGAAAGGGGCCTATTTCGTAACTGTTCAGTATTCATATCCAGTCTCTCTAAAATATTGTGTACAGTGTTTAGGAATGTTATTAAAAAAGAAATAGTCCATCTTTCAGTTTACTGAATGTGTGGTTCTAGTCAGGGTTTGGGGCCTTCTATATTTTATCTGTGGTATGAACTTTTTTCCGAGCGTCCGTACTGATGCTATGGATTCTGATATGTGGTCCTGAATCGCCCCTGTCCCATCGCCTGACAAGCGGCAACATGACTAAAGTGAACATATTCATTGACAGCTATCCGAATGATACGCCTAGCCATTAACTTGTCTCGACGCAAAAACATCAAAACAAGCATTGACACATGCAACCATAGCGCATACCATACACACAAACAAACACAACCATCACGAAGTTATCCAATGCACGTATAATGTATATGTAAGCATACATGTTTAATCAGCTACATCCCGACATGCATAAATACATTTACTCGTATTATGCATACATACATGCCTACATACACACTAGAGTCTCCTACATGGTTTCACCCATTACTTCTTTTACACTAATTCAGTTACACTTACATCTCAGCACCCTCTGCGCTAACGAGACCAGCCGCCACCATTAGCTGAGGCCAGGGTGGGACCAAAGGGGAGACCCGCTCCGTGCTCTGCGGCGCTGCACGGAGGCAGACTGACCTATACGGGCTGTATATTACTGACGCGCCCCGGTCTCTTCCTCCCACCCTCCCCTCTTCATCAACGCGTCACGCTGCCCAGGAGATGAAGGAAGCCAGCAAGGTGAGAATTGGCGATAATTAATCAGCTCCGTCCGCGCCCAGTGGCGGGATGACTTACTATATGTTTGTAAGGCTTCCTTAGCTGCTGTTGTGCTGCTTCGCTCTTTAATTTTGCACTCATTGTGTATGCTCCTTCGTTCATCATTCTCTAAGCACTTATCAATTTAACCAAGATTCCATGGGCGTAGGAACCTCACGAAAAATGTGTGTGTGTGTGGGGGGGGGGGGGGTGCAGCGAAACTTCAATGTCACTTTGTGAGATTCCAAATACCCCTATGAGGAAATTCTTTGCAGTTTTGTGCTAATCACATCTTGCTGAAGGTTTTCCTGCTCTTAATTTTGTATTTAAATAAAGATTTTTTTTTTTAAATGGCTGAAAAGTGGGGGCAATAGCCCCCGCCCCCTGTTCCTACGCCTATGCAAGATTCAACGCTTGATTGTGAGTTACGTGGTGTCAACTAACCTTTGTGTAATTACGTGAAGCAAAGTTAAACGGTGCTCTTCCCCATGCACAACTGCATGCTATTGTAATGCTTTTTTGTATCGTGAATATTTGGCATTTTATTCATGCCTCGAAAAAAGTATCGATATGTGCTGATGGCCACTAGGTCTGAGGTCCTTATCGTGCCAGTCCAGAGAGATTCGCTCTCACTTCAATGTTGTCTGGCGCTGTTCGTAAATACGGATGCCTATTAATTTTTTCGCTATGAAGTCGCTGATTCGATTCTATTCAGATAAACACGAGGCATTCATGAGCTCATATACCTAACATGAGTAAAAGCAAGTGTGAAAAGTCAAAGTGTTCAATAAGCACCTTCTTTGACGAAGTTGTCCAAAACTGTAGTTGGGTATATATTATATTCAATATGTATGCTATAATTTTTATGCATTTGGTTATTTCTATATCGGTCATAAATCATTCAACGGCTTTGCAGCAGAATGTACAATGTTAAGCTTCTAATCCACCAATTATGCATATCCTAACCATCACACAAGGATACCAATCGTCATTCCGACATCAAAGCGAGCAGACGGTCGCGTCACGTCGGCCCCTGTCGGTCAGGCGATGTCGATTACAGTCTTGCTGTATGACTGATACAGCCATGTCGGGCGGTGTCGGGAAATGTCGTGTGGTGTCGGCTCATCTGCCGATCTCCCACGGGGCACAGCGACTCGGCAGCGGTCATCCTCCGGGACCGCCACTGTGCCACTGCCACCATACCGGCGGATGGACATAGAAATGGCCGCTGGCCGACCGCCGCGCCGGCCGCCCGGCTCCACTGACTCCCCCCGCCCCCGCCTCCCCTCCCGGCGCACCCGAGGGGCGGTGGTAAGTGGCGCGAAAACGGCACCAGATGTGACTGATGGCGCCGGGATCGACCGCCAACCGGTCGCCCCGCCCCTCCCCGGCGTCGGTCCACTCCCCGCCCCACCGGGATGACCGAGCGCAGAGCCAGGATGAAATCACCGACACAATAGACCAGACGCAGAGAGCCCGGGTACGGGAATTCCCAGCCACCCATTGCGCTCCACCGAAGGGCCGACGTGGGACGGCGAGAGAAAGGGGGAGGGGGACTGTGGGTATCGCCGGCGCCGACGACCGGTGATGATTTATTCAGGAGCTGCTCCCCGGTATCGGCGCCGCGAGGATTGGCACAGACTCGCCCGGAAGCCCTGTCCGAGATGATGTCCGCCAGTAAAAGCTGGAGCCCGGCAGAGCTAGCGACGCGCATGCATATCCGAGTGGGTCATATTCGCTGCTATTTGTGACCAGTAAAACTTGTAGTGAATGTTATGAGGCTTAGTTGGAACACATCTCGAACCGACTTAGGTGGTCCTCAGCCCCTCAGAAGTATAAATAGCCATCGTAGGCACATTCCTTGCCGTTATTCTTTTGTAGCCGTTCAAAGTCCCGCCTTCTGGGACGAGTCCTGACTGACTGCCTCGGACTGTCTCAGTGTCTGGAGAAGGTCCTGGTGCAGAACATTCTGTTCGGCCTGTCGCCGAGTCTGACCGACGCCATCAAGTCCATCTCGCGCTGGCGTCTCATCCAGACGGCCTTCCCCTACGTGGTCCACTGCGCCGCCAGCCTGCTGCACAACCGGTGAGCGGCATTGTCGGACCGTGGTCTGATTGTCCGTCCGAGTTAGGATCAGGAGGCTCATACTCATCTTTATTGTGGCGCCCGGTGAGCGGCATTGTCGGACCGTGGTCTGATTGTCCGTCCGAGTTAGGATCAGGAGGCTCAGACTCATCTTTATTGTGGCGCAAAGTGCAATAAATGTGTACTCACTGTGTACTCTTGAGTACGTGTAAGTGATCGAATTCGGTCCTTTCTCCCTTTCAGTCAAGCAACGGTCACCTTCTGCCACACCCAGAAGCCAAAATCTGTCGATAAAACTCCTGAGAAGGCAGGTGCTGGGAGCCCTCTGAGACTGTGCTGCTTCCCCACAGGCGCGAGTGAGCCTGCAGGGCCTGGGCGCCCTTTGAGACTGTGTTTCTATCCTCAGACGCGAGTCGAACCTGCAAGGCCTGGGCGCCGTGGACACGAAGCTACTCTACACACTGCACTGGATCCTGCTGGACGCCGCCGAGGAGTGTCGAGACGCCGATCTCGAGCAGGGCATCATCAACAGCTCGCCGTTCCACTACCTCTTTCCCATCACCAGCATACAGGTTAGTGTCCATAGCTCTCCTCTCAGCGCAAAGAGATACACCCCATCATTAATGGTATAGTAGGTAGTCACAGGAAGATATGAGACACTGAGCGCCGAACGACTGAGCCCGGGGAGACTGCGAACGAAATAGCCTCACATACACCCATTATTCATGGTATTTTCATAAATAGAGAGATGGGACACCGAGCACGGAACAGCTGAGCCCGGGGAAACTGAGAGCAGAATCGCCTCATTCTGTATTCAGGCCCGAGGCGGAATAACTGGACCGCTTAGGATGTTCTGAGCGATATTGCTCAATATGTGAGCCTAAATTTGCATTTGATGTAGGTATAATATGCTGCATGCGATCACCGATCCCATTCTGTGAGCTATTGATTGAATGCTCAAAAAGAATATTGAAGCCTTCAAGATCCGGGTTTCAGTGAAGAATAAAGCACACTCGGTTTCACATACCAAAGACCTCGTGGATTAAATGTTCCATCGGACAAAGACCTGCGATGGTCGGGTGTGCGTGCGTGCGGCTGGTCCGATTCACCGCTGGTCGTCACGTGTCGGCGGCTCAGGCCACTGATCCAGCGGCACCAGCATGAGTCCAGGAACCGAGTCCCAAGAGAGCCGGCCACGGTCCGAGCCTCCTCCCCGACCACCCTGACACGGCCGACACTCGGCGTGTCACGACACCGACTTCCGTGTCGCGTCACGCCACTCCACGTCACGTCACGTTAAGCCGCTCAGCGTCACGGCGAGTGACGTGATCATCATCGCGTGACCGTGCGGAGGGAGCCGTCCCATAACGGGGGTCGACGATAGGCCTGCAACAGGTCCCCGCTCGGAGCAATCCCTTCAGCGGGCCGTGCGCGGTTAACAATGGATGTCGTAATTGATCGGCTTCGCTGGACATCAGTCGAAGTGGGCGGGCCGCCGGTTAGCCGCGGAGGCTGGTCACTGTTTGGCAGGAGGGCGGGCCACCGCTGTTAATTTCGCGGGCCCTGAAGCCCGACTCGGACGTTCAGAGTGGCTGCGTGTTTGGCAGTTTGGTGGAGCCAGCTATTCAGTGCGCTGAAAGGCTGCCATTATTGATGATGTTCTGCCCGTGGAAGCAGAGATAATGGAGGCAGTGAGTCAGAGGTTAACTATCCGTCTCCAAAAAATGTGCTGAGCGTGGTTAGAGTTATAAGATGGCATCAAAGTAGCTTCAATTGTATAATAATGTTGTGAATTAATTTGCATATCATAACGCAATTCCATCATCATTTTACGTGTATGTAATGTTTTTCCTTCGCCAATGTTAAGCTTCGAGATTTAGGTATTTAGGTACCTACCAAATGTATCACACACTAAATCCATATTTTCCATTCAGCGGCCCGCTCGTCGAGCACGCGTCGGCTCGGTTCGTCCGGGTGCTATTCAGTGGAGCACGGCCCGTTCGACCGGCCGGTCCAATTTGGTCCAGCTCGGCTGAGGCTGGGCCCGCTCCGCTCGGCCGCTCGGCCGGCCCGGCGCCGTCTCGAGCAGCCCCCGGAACACAGTATTGAGCGGCCACCGGGGTGGCCAGATTTGAGCGTGGCCTCGTTCGATGGCCATTCAAAGCCTTTCGACTCAGCCGAATATCTCATAAATCTGCAGCCTCGAGAACGGTTGATGCAAAGTGGATACGCCGAGTGCTGTAACCCTCAAGAACACGGTGAAATTTATTCATTAAAATATTTCTCGAATAGATCGCTGATGCTTATATGAGGTCGGCCTTTCTGACGAAATGAAATCGATGATGGAATGGCTGTCATCAGGAAAATTTCTTCCATTGAGATCGTCACGCGCCTTCGCATGCTTCCAATTTATGAGTTGATCCAATTGATGTCCGTTCAAATTCAGCCACGTAAGAAAATGCTGAACATGTTACATCAATGACAATTCATACAAGTATAAGCTTGCTGTGTTTAAAGGAAGGGTGCCACCTTCCGAAATTTTTGTTCTATGAATCTATTTTACTTATTTGAATTTTTAGACGTGGTTAGCGCGTCCACAATATACAAAAAACCGAAACATTGCATTTAATACATTGGCCAAAAAAAAGATCGTTGTTTATATCACCACTACAACTCAAGGTCGTTTGATGTGGCAGCTAGGACGGCTGGCATATCCTGTTGTCATGGCAACATATCATTCTGCCATTTGCATTGATGGCGCAACTGAGACAAAAAGATGAACAAATAAAAAGGAAGAAGATAACATGATTTGAACTAAGTTGTAGGTAACCAAGTAGGTAACTGTTGGCCATATTATAAGTCGAGTAAATAAGTCGAGCAAAGGTTTTTCCTTTACAATGCTTAAGAGATCTATGGAACCCTTCACCCTTCATGCAACTTACTAGAAAAACTTCCCAATTAAAATTTTAAAACTTAAGTGTATACCATAAAGAAAAAAATATACCCTTTCAAAATGATAAAACATGCTTCAAAAGTATAACTTTTATACATACCTTTGCTGATTTCATGTTTTATAAAATACCCTTAACACGACGAGGAAATAGTGCTGAAGATTTTTGCCTGCCCGAATGCTGGCAGCAAAACTCGCAAATGATAACTTCACGTGCGGATTCAATGCTGACCGTCTCGAGCATAGGTAAGTGAAGCCGGTTTTTAGGTTCATGTGAGGCTAATCTTGTAAAAACTGCGTTGTGTCCAAAAGGTGGCACCCTTCCTTTAACCCTCGCATGTGTGCGGCGTTTTCCAGCTTCTAATGTGTAGGGGGGGGGGGGGTCGGTTGGACCCCCCCTTGCCGTTTGGCCCCTGATCGAGCTAGAGCTTCGCGGAAAAAACGAGCGTGTTGCCCGTGACGAGAGGAAGCCGATGATACCCAATTTTAAGGTCCTAGGTCATTGGTTGACCTTCCAGGTCAGGTCAATGACCCAAAGTCTGGAAAATCGGGATCTGTTAGAAAGTCGTAAAGTGTGGCTGCTAAGGGGTTTTTCGGGGTGCTGATCACGAATATCGTGTTAGTTTTGATCACAGATGATGTCTTGAAGCATTTATACCAGGTCGGGTCAGGTCAGGTCAGGTCAACCAGTAGGCGTCGTGACGGGTATTCGTAGTACGTGTCAACCGCCTCTGACAGCTTCGTAACATGTTACGAAGTCACCAAAACTACTTCGTAAATGTTCAAATGGTTGCTAAATTCGAATTCAGCTCCAAAAACTAGCCTAGAAACATGTAAAACTCAAAAAAGTGACCCGAGGTCACCCGAGGTCACCAAAGGTCAATGACCTGACCTGACCTTCAGGTGACCTTGACACACACGGGAGTAACATCAAATCACATGTTTGAACGTTTGAAACCACGAAAAGCTTGCAAACGCGCGGCTAGTGCGAGCCGACATACGCGAAATCGCGATTCCGGCCAAACATGGTCTCGGAAAAGAGGTCACAGGTCAAAGGTCATTAGGGTCAGGGTCATGAAATTTTCAGGGTAGGTGTAAAATTGATCAATGCGAGGGTACTGAAAGTTTCGTCGCGATCGGCCGCTTTTTACGCGAGTTATTCGCGAAAAACCATGGGGGGGTCCATCCGACCCCCCCCCCCTACACATGCGAGGGTATGTCCGCGACTCCGCATCCACCCATTCTCCTTTTAAATCCCGTCCCGTCCTGTCCGTGTCCTGTCGTGTCGGTATCCCATCCTGTCCGTGTCCTGTCGTGTCGGTATCCCGTCCTGTCCGTGTCCCGTCGTGTCGGTATCCCGTCCTGTCCGTGTCCGTGTCCCGTCTCCGTCCATCGTCCTCCGTCCTACGCGCTGCGACCCGTCCCGTCCATCCGTCCTGCCATGCCCTGTCCGTCCCCTTCCTGTCCGTGTCCCGTTCTGTCCGTGTCCCGTCCCGTCCTGTCCCAGTCCCGTCCTGTCCCAGTCCCGTCCTGTCCCAGTCCCGTCCTGTCCCAGTCCCGTCCTGTCCCAGTCCCGTCCTGTCCCAGTCCCGTCCTGTCCCAGTCCCGTCCTGTCCGTGTCCCAGTCCCGTCCTGTCCCAGTCCCGTCCTGTCCCAGTCCCGTCCTGTCCCAGTCCCGTCCTGTCCCAGTCCCGTCCTGTCCCAGTCCCGTCCTGTCACAGTCCCGTCCGTGTCCCAACTCCCAATCCCGCCCTGTCCGTGTCCCGTTCTGTCCGTCCCGTCCCGTCTTGTCCGTGTCCGCGTCCCGTCTCCGTCCATCGTCCTCCGTCCTTCGCCCTGCGACCCGTCCCGTCCATCCGTCCTGCCATGCCCTGTCCGTCCCCTTCCTGTCCGTGTCCCGTTCCGTCCCAGTACCGTTCTGTCCGTGTCCCGTCCCGTCCTGTCCGTGTCCCGTCCTGTCCCGTCCCAGTCACGTCCTGTCCGTGTCCCGTCCTAATCCCGTCCTGTCCGTGTCCGTCCTGTCCCAGTCCCGTCCGTGTCCCGTCCCGTCCTTTCCGTGTCCGGTCCCGTCCTATTCGTCCTCCGTCTCTGCGGGGACACTGACGTCACCGGATATAAGTGCCGAGAGAGCGGCGGATGTGCTGAGCCAACACTGGCTATCGACCGGGCTGAGCTGGCCGGCCGGTCGGCCTGTGGAGCTCCAACAGCTGCCGCGGGTCGGCCGGCCACACAGCGCTGAGGCGACTGCACACAGCGACACAGGCTGACTCACCCAACTAGCTATACACTGGGTCGGTCGGCCACACAGGGTTGAGTCGGCTACACAGTACACTCAACTCACAGGGCTTAGCCGACTAACACACAGCGACACAGGGCTGACTGGGACGAGCGGCTACTCTAGGTCGAGTGGCTACACACAGAGACGCAGGGCTGAGCCGACTACGCACAGCGGCACAGGGTTGGCTGGGACGAGCGGCTACACAGGGCTGAGCTGGCTACACACGGCGACATAGGGCTGACTGGGCCGAGCGGCTAACCAGGGCCGAGTGGGCTATAATACACCCAACAGTCAACACAGGACTGACTCGCCCGAACACCGGAACACAGGGCTGGCGCATTCGGGCCAAATTCACAGGGCTGACATGACCTGGCGGCCGGACCCGCACCGTGTCTGCCCAGTGAACACGGCCGAGCACTCGCGGCACGATGGAGGGGCGCGAACGGGGTCACCATTCATATGTCAACCAGATTCGGTATGGAAAGCCCATCGTTCATAGTACTCTATTGAGGCTGAACACTGATAATTAGTTTGAGCTCGGCTTTAATTGTTCACTCATTTCTGTGATTTTAGAACTGATGTTACACGCTGATTAAATGCACAAGCACATTTCATCTGAAGGGCATTTACATAACTTATGGTATCGTTGACCTATCGCGTACTCCAATTGTTACAAGTAGATGATTTACCTACTCATGGAACAGAAGTCTGAAAATATCATGCCAAATTGTCATACCATTTTCCGGTGTCTCACCGTTCAACACCGCCTCATCCCAATTATTCAGCGAGATAAGACGCAACGATGGTACACCGAGCGAGCCGTATAATTCGCTTTATGCATCTGAAAACAATCGTCCTCATTGTCAGAGCCCATATAAAGCACTAAAGCAGCTTGGTTTCATTCCACGGTCGTCAAGCTTCCACGGTGGGCTAACTTATAACTTTCGTCTCACTGTCCGCCGAGCAGTGTCGCAGATCTTTATCGTCTGAGACGGTGTAAAGATAAAAAACGTAACAAGCGCACCGCATTCCGCAGGCGTTCATCTACCTGTTCACACCACTGATGCACTCGCTGAAGGAGTCTGATTTCACCAACTTCCGGCTGGAGAACGGCCTGAAGATTTGGTCGGCGCTCTGGGAGTACCGGCACCCGGAGGTGGCGTGCTTCACGGCCACGGCTCGACCACGGCCGGCCGTAGCGCCGCCACGCCGCGGCCGCCGCGCCGCCCAGCAGTTCGGCGATGTGTTTATGGGCGGCGGCAAACAAGGTGGGTGCCCAGAGGAGGCGCCGGAGGGGGATAGTTGTGCGAGGAGGCGTCGGAGGGGAGGATAGTTGTGTGAGGAGGCGCCGGAGGGGGATAGTTATGAGAGAAGGTCCCGGAGGGGAGGATTGTTGTGTGAGGAGGCGCCGGAGGGGATAGTTGTGTGAGGAGGCGGCAGAGGGGAGGATAGAACTGTGAGAGATGGGCCGGAGGAGAGGGTAGTTGTGTGAGGGGCGCCGGAGCCGGGAGGATGGTTGTGTGAGGGGTGCCGAAGAGGAGGATAGTTGTGATAGGGCGCTGATGGGGAGGATAGTTGTGTGAGGTGGCGCCGGGGGGGGGGGGGGATAGTCGTATCATAGGGCGCTGATGGGGAGGATAGTTGTGAAAGGAGGTGACGGAGGGAGGAGAGTTGTGTGAGAGGCGCCGGAGGGGGGGGGGGAGAAATAGTTGTGTGAGGTGCAGTGCTGGTGGGGAGGTTGAAAATAGTTGACTGAGGTGGAGTTTAATGAAGGTGGAAAATGATTGTCTAAGGTGGTGTTAGAGGCATATTAGAGTTTATTTCCTTTCTGAAGCCCTGCCTACTAATCTTACATGACGTGTCCAGCTACCTCACCCGGTCACAGTTTGTTTTTCTGGATAAACTTCAAACAGTCGTCAACTGATCAAAGCTTGTTAGTTGTTTTTCGCATAACGCCTGAGGGCCTGTAATTATATGAAACACCGCCGTTTCCCATTTCCACATTGTCACACCGCTGTCTGAGCAGCTACCGCCGAGTCGATAACATCGCGCCCGACTGCCGTCGGTAATGAGGGCGTGAGCAGGGGCATTGTGTTGACGTGACCGCGACGACCCAGAAACACTGTCCAGGCACGATCCCATCGCACGGGCCCGATCCGGTCGGCTTCTTTGAGACCTGACTCACCAAAACAGCCCCGTTTGAAATAAATACACCCGCCGAGCTGCCGAGCTCCCCGCCGGCTGTCTATTTTTGCTGGCCTTCTGGAACCGGTCTGGTAGTTTTCAGTGGGTCCGGGAGCCGAGCGAAACATGTCGATGCGGAGACGTTGTTTGGACCGGAGCGGGGCCGCCGTCTGTGGACCTGTCCGGCCCCATTCGTTTCCCTGATACAGCACCCCGAAACTAGCGGGCCGGCAGCTCCGAGTCGACAGTTGGGCCGAGCAGAGCCAGGAATTAGTGGCCGGGATTGGATTGAGCCGACCGTGGCGGTGCGGTAATTTCGGAACACCGCCGAATGGCGGCCGACAAAAGAATTGGAGCTGTTGAAAACAGCCGTGAAAGCAATGAACGCTAACAAGGAAATATGAGTGTGGTAGCGCTGTTAAGTGGGGTTACTTCATAACAAATTACGTAACAACGATAAAGGAGGATTTCTCTTCAGTGTTTACTGAGCTAAATGCCTCGGAACCACTCTCTCAGCGACATTTCCATGCCCTTTATCAAAGTATCCATTCTTCCTTCTCCGAGCTCCATCCAGCGTTGTGACCCTCCCCGTCCGATGTGCGTCAGGTAAGGAACCGGCGCCGGGGACCGGTGGCGAAGACCCCTCTCGAGCGCCAGCTCCAGCCGATGAGGGGGCCGACCCCGGTCCGGCGGCGGGCTGGACCGCTCGTCACGAGCCTCCCTCCGACCTGGGCTTCAGTTCCGACCCACAGCCTACCTCCAAAGAGGTGAGACGAGATGTTCGAGTAGCCAGGGGTACGAGATGTGGTGTTCAATTTGGGATCTAGACCTAGTTGTATTGTGAGGGTTTAGGACCCCGTTGGATAAGCCACAGCTGTAAACACTTTGATATAGGTAATTGATATAGCTACTTTTTCCATGTCCTTGCACAGTTTTAAGCTCCCACGTTTTGTTTTACTTAAGACGCAAGTTTAAGATAAGAACGACCATGTTTGATGGAGTTCTTATCACTATATCATTGCATGATAGACTGAAGAAAATATGAATGAATAATTCGTAGTTCTTGCGTTGATAAATGCGTCACTCATCGTGCGACTTGACCTAGTTCTCGCGGGCCAGCACCAGTTTATCACAATAACGGCCGCCGGGGGATCTCGCCTGAAATACTGCCCAGCTTCAGCCGACTATCCATGCATAAACTAAAACCGTTTCTAGCCGTATACGGCAATAGCACCGGCATAAGGAGCGCCTGATCAATGAAGCGTGGGGAGGTTAAGGATCCAAGTAGCATCTCCGTCTGCATGTATGTAGGGTAAAATAACGTTACGATGATCTCTACAGGCGTCGCGGTCCAGCTCTTCAGCCACCACCCCGCGCGAGCCGCACGCCACCTCGTTTCCCGAAACGATCCCCGAAGAGACGTCTTCCATTGAAGAGGAGCACGTTATGATCTTCCGCCTTGACTCGCTGCCAGAGGAAGAAGACGAGGCCCAGAGACGACCCAAGGTCTACAAAGTCAGTACAAGGTCGAGGTTAACCCAATATTTTTGAGACGCTTCCACTTAATTACGTGAATAAAAAAAAAATCAGAGCAGAGAATTTGATGATTTAAAGTGTTTTTTTTTTGGTTCATTGAAAACAAATGACATTGAGTATTCCAGCATATTTCGTGTTGTATTCAGACGCATTGATCAAGTTTGAATGCTTTCAGGTCCCTTCTCGAATGCTGAGTAGGCAGGTCGCAGAATCTCGACCCAGTCCTCAGGAAAGCTTCCGTACCGCCGATAAAGGGTATGTTACAGCCGTACACAACATAAACTCTGCCCAATCCAGTGTGAGTCATTGTAAGGCTGTAGCGATTTTGCTTTAACTCAATGAATAGAGCGCCATTCGTTAAAAGTGCTTCGGGTTTTGAAATCTTGGCCCATTATTTACTACTGTAAAATAAAACAAATAAGCATTTGTCTCATAAGGGCAAGCATGGCTTCGGTAGCACTGCGTCCGGCATTGGCACTTATGATATAATATCCCTGGAAATCAGTTGACAAAACAGCACCACTTTGACAGTCTAATGAGCACTTTTTATAATACCTACACCGACTTGCGGTGATATCAAAGGCCGTGAATGGATCGGCGCGCTGTTATATCTGCCCGGATGGCTCCACGCCCGCACCGATGGCACCACTCCCACCCGTGTGCAGGAGTATGGAGCAGGTGGAGTCTGCCTCCTCGCGGGCCAGCCACAACCCGCCGGCGGCCGTCGACCTCACGCTGGCCACCTTCACCGACGTGGCCGTGCTCCGCTGCCTCTTCATCCCGCAGTGGGTCGAGGAGGGCGTCTTCTGGGCCGTCCAGTTCCTCTTCTACCGGTGAGACAGCCGCAACAAAAGAGCTAGATATTCCGCATATTTGACTTCCTTGATAAAAAACTAAATCTTACCTTACACGAAACCGCAGCGTAAAACGGTAAAACCGCCTTTTAGCCCTTGCTAGAACCAGTGACCTCTCAAATAACCCTCTCTTCCGTCCTGGCGCCTTCCGCAATTTGAGCTGACGGTTAGACTGTCCCGCCAAACATCCAAGCCGTGCGGGTCAGGCTAACCACCAGGCGCCCGCGCCGCTAATCATAGCACGACCAAAGCAAACGCTCACGCTGTTTCTCTAGTATTCAGCCATGTTTCCGTTGGCCGGCGAAATAGTTGTCTGTTTCCTTTGTCGATCTGCCGGTCTTTCCTTCCTCGTTTAACGTTCCACTTGAGCACGTTTCTTTTTAATGATGTGAAGCGGATCTTTGTGAAGTCCTTTCTTTGATTGTTGTCCAATCCTTCTAAATCCGACTCGTGCTTCTGCTGATTTCAGGTTTCTATTAACACATATATAAGGGAGGTCCTTACATGTAAAAGCGCAAAGGTACCTATTTGGTATTTGTTGCAATATAAATTCGCAGTACATGAATCATGTTTATTAAAAACTCGACTGATAGCATATTTGGTGTGGTCACTAGAATGAACTTTTTTCCCACGTACAGGCTGCGTGAGATGACCAACGATGGCACCGAGGAGGATTTGCCTCGAAAGAGGAGCAACTCGCTGCCGGTGCCCAAGATCGAGGTCTCGCTGTATCAGAGTCCGGAGACGAAGCGACGAGAGGCGGCTAGCCGGGACGCCCCGCCACCATCCCCTGAGCCCAAGTACTCGGGAGGTAAGCCGACCCGTGGTCGCGCCAGCCGGTCAATTGCTCACGTGACCTATTGCCAGTCACGTGACAGTCCAATTAGGGATGGAGGCTCAGCGGGTGTTAGATGGGGGGGGGGGGGGTGGGGGGAGGCCATCCCCGGAAGATCGGGTCGAGAACGTTTGACCTGGCTCATTGATTGCATTACCCACCAGCTTCTCCATTGCACGCTAAATTTGAACTCGCCTTTGACATTTGCGTCCGTGTCACTCACTTCATTAGAAGCCGCTCATCTTATCCGCTAGCGGTGGAAATTCTCAACATCATCTTATGACATCATCCAGAAATTGTTCCGTCATTAGCATAAGCAAGCCTGTTTCGCCGCAGAGTTCATGGCCTCGCCAACGGGCGGGCCGCTGCACAAACGTTCTGCCAGCGAGCGCGGGCGGAAGGGTAAGACCCGGATGGCTGACTTCCGAGCGTTCGTCGAGACCAAGCTGAAGTCGCGCTCCCAGACGATGCTGGAGAGACTGGCGGGGGACGGGCGGCGCGGCTCAGCCTCCGGAAACTACCCGGTGGGTGGCTGTCATGCCTCTTTTCTCTTTTTTCCCGCTATCCTTTCATTTTGGCATTTCCTCTATTCTTTATCCTCATTCTAAAAACTATTCGATACAAAACTTTATTCCCTGTCAGGTCTAACATAATATAATGGAATTGCTAAACAGAAGGTGGCAACAAACAAATCTGGCAACGGATCTGTTCTTATCATCACCAAAACACACAGCGACCACCATCTGATATCGTGTGCCTGGTTTGCAGAACTCGACATCTCAGTCGGACCTGAACGAGCCCGAGTCGCGAGCACGCTCGTCCATGGACCAGCACCGGGAGCACGGCGGCAGTTTTTCGGCGGCCGACTCGCATCAGTACGACCCCGTGCTCGGCCAGAACCTCGTCAAAGGGAAGAGCATGCCCAGCCTCAGGTAAGCCCGCCCAGCTGCACACGCGCCGCATTATTCACGGCCCTGTGCACAGCTTTGATGATCAGCAAGGGCCTTTGTGTCATTTCGTGGGAAATGCCGAACTATGTGATGGCTTCACGGGAATTTAAGCTTTTATTGCTTCTTTTGAAAGGAAACGTTTGAATATCAGCCGCCAGTTTTATAGATTGCTTCGTTTTGTCACATTGCCACACATTCCCCTGCCATGGATTAGATAATAATGGATTAGATTACTATCAAAGATTTCTATCTGATCCATGGCTCTGTAAATCAATTCCACATGTTTTCCTTGTCTACATAACAAAAAAATACGAATGCGATTGATTGTTTTTATTGTACCATTCCAATTTTTATCAAACCCCCATAGGAAAAATAAAAGCACAATTATAAAAATGAAAGTCACATTTTTTGCCACCAAGCATAAAACATTAATTAAGGAGGGAAAACCCTCAAGTGCTGACATTTCTAAGCACACGCAACAATTATGCGCTATCATTGTTAATATTCATTGCACATCCAACGACAAAATATTAAAAGCAGATTTAACACATGCTACCCCCTGTCAACGACACAGAAACAGGAACAGGACACATCACCTGCAATGGGAAAACATTCATCCGCCGTTCAAGCGCTGTTTGTCTCCTTTTGTCTGTTCTGTCTCCTTTCTCCGTCTTCGCTTCAATGCTCACGTTTCTCTCTCTCTCTATCAGCTCTATTGTAGAAGAGCTAGGGTAAGTGAGGTTTGCATTGTCATTGCCACACGTTTTCCTTGTTTACGATTAATTACTAACAGCGTGATACATTTACAATACTAGAGTAGCAAGGTTGAGTTTTCACTTACCATAAGTTGGCACAAATGCGTGTGCGGTACTTCGAGGCCTTGAAAAGCCGAAAGCTTTTTATAGAAGTAGTTTGGCCTGAATGTAATTAGACACATAATCTGCCCGTCTGAATAGTTAGACATTCTTAAATACAATATTGAGGAGTTTCTGTGGCACAATTTTATGTATTTACTTAAAGTGAAGTTAAAGAAGTTTTGAGTACCTACACCTTTCACTGGCATATAACTGTTTCTTGAGGAAGCTTATCAGCTAATTTAAATTGTGTGTGACGTCTTGGAGGCGAAACATTAGGGATAATTCTAAAATGACCGTATTTGAAATAATGCATGTTCACATCATTACGCATGTAAATGCATTTTACTAGCAATGTCCAATGTACAAAGTATTAGCTAATTTGAAATGATATAGTTTATCGCATGCTGTATAAATGACAGAATTTCAATAACTAGCAACTAACGCTTCTACTTCCTCACATTAGATAAACACTAAAGTGGTGAAAACACGAGCATGGTGTGGCTGCACAGAAGCTTTAGATAATATACGCAATAAAATGGTTAACCAGGAAAAAACCTGCTGAACAGGCTAGTGCCGCAGCGAACCACAAAAATAGACGTTCTAACATACATTTCGCTCGTTGGCGTACCTAGAATTCAAGACGCACACATGCCATGCTACTTCTAATTCAAACTAAAAAGCATCATCCCTCTAGAGTTTCAATAAACGTGAACTGACCGCACATAGCCTAGCATAGGAGTGAAGAACTGTTAGTTTTGAATATGCATTTTCTTGCCTATTTATTTAAGTTAAAGAAGAAAGTTCTTAAATGTAGGGAACTATCAATTGTCGAATAGTCACCCTCAAATAATTAAGCATAGTGTATGCATCAACTTGTGCGATGTATATTTTTGATACCTCAAAGCGTTTAAAAAATATTCGTTTCAATTTCAAGAACTCAAGAAGACGTTATCTTTACTCCCAAACTTTACAGCTCAACCAATCTAGTAGGCAAACGTAGTTACCTAATCCACTGCGATATAGTCGAGCTGGCCACTTAGTTACAATTATGGTACAGTGGGCAGCACTTCCAATCCATACAGCGCGGCGGCATGTAGCCGAGGCGGCAGTGCTGTCCGCAACTCCTCTCCGGCAGGCCTCTCAGCGAGCCTCCCGCGAGTGACCGGCCGCCGTCCGGCAGGTACATGGGCGTGCCGCAGATGGCGCAGCCGCCCAAGACGCTGGCGTCGCGCATCGCCAGCGTGCCGCACCCCATCATCACGGTGACGCAGCACACGCCGTCGCCCACGCCGACCCCCTCCGTGTCGGAGGAGGGCCCCGGTCCCGGCGGCGGCGGCGGCGGCGGCGGCGGCGGCGCGGCGCGGCCGTTCCTGCGCGACCTGACCCGCCGGCCGGTCACGCTGAACCGCAGCTACTCGGACTCTGACGTGTCGTACAGCGCCGAGGAGCTGACCGAGGCCGCCGGCTCCACCTACTACATCAACAAACACGGCGGCATCGACCTCGTCATGCTGCTCAAGGTAGACGCAGGCGGCAGAGCTCGGCTGCACAATTGGCTTCATTCGATGAAGGATGTTATTTGATATTTCTTTAGGAGTTTGTCATGCGGCTATTCTCCGCAACAAACTATAAAGTTGAACACTACATTTCCAATACATTTATAAAGTTAATTGTAATTAAATCAGTTTTTGAGTTTTCCAATTATTTGCCCGGTTCGATCCGACGTCCGGCGCCTGCAGGGCCTCCACTCGGTGGTCCTGAGGAACCGGCAGACCAACACACTGCGCGTCACCGAGGCCATCGTCAGCCTGCTGGAGATCATGCTGTCCATGGACGTGATGCTGCTGGACCGCGAGGAGGAGCGTCAGGAGGGGTCGGCCGCGGCCGCCGGCAGCTCCGGAGCAGCCCCGACCGAGGAGACGGCCGAGCCCGAGCGGGCCAAGGCCGGCTTCCTGGTGCACTATCTGTATATGGATATACTGGTCAGGTGAGATAGCTGCCACCTGAAATTATAGGCTTTGTGATTAGTTTAAGAACTTCTCACATACTTACGTTCCTGTTCATAAATCTACTACATGTAACAAGATCGGGCTAGTTGCCTATTTTACGCCCTTCTAGTCATAAAACGCACTGAACACCTAATGCTGAGCCCATCTGAGTAAGTGTTGAGTGTCTGTGTGGTGGCGTTTACGACAGGTCTTTCAAGCACATGGGCTGTGCGCACGGCTGCCGGGAGGGCTACCGCGGTCCGAGTGCCGAGTTTCTGCGCTCCCAGGCGCAGCTGCTGCTCACACGTCTGCTGAAGATTGACGAGCGCAGTGTGAGTGTCAGGGAGTGAGGGTCGCCCGGGGAGAGAGCGGGAGAGATAGAGCAGCGAGACAGAGCAGGGAGGAGGAAGTGCCCGCAGCAGTGCTCCGGCTAATCGTCACAGCGAAGATTGATGAGCCGAGTGGGTGGCGAAGCTTGACCGTACACAAGAGCTTCCATTTGTAGATGCATTTCCCGAGTCATTTGTATATGTGCAGCCAGCCCACGGCGCAGAAATGATATGATAAAGTAGTCGGCCAGACAGAAAAAACATTATTTCCTGCGAAATTAACTGAGCTGTTTACAAGTTACAATTGAACAAATTGCACTGAGCACGGTTAGTCATGAAACAGGCATTGCAATGCTGAGCTTAATCTCACGAAAAGTAACAGTCTCAATTCTTTTATTCTTGCTAATCAGTTATTTTGCGTGACTGTTTTATCGAATGGGCTGCCGTGTTATTATATGACGTTGATTTCTACAGTTTAAAAAGTACATGCGGGAGCTGTCATCTCAGTCGTCGATCCACGAGCTGATGGAGTTTCTGCATTCGTTCGTCGGCTGGTGCGGCGACCACGGCCAAGCGGCATCGCCGATGAGTGAGTAACGTTTTCGGGTGCTCTCGAATGAGTTTCAAACTGATTTAGGTACGTCATAGCTGTGCTGTGTATGTTGTATGTTTGCTACTGTACCTACTGCCATTTTATAGACACAAAGGCTGGCGAACTGCTTGGCAAATTCAACAACAAAAGATCGAGTGAAATCCCTCCACCTGTGACAGTAATTTTCGAAGTTCGTGACATTCTCACTCATATGCACTGGCATTGTATCAGCTGCCACGCCCACTTCGTTATACCCGGGTAAACAAAAAACACATCACGTTACACCACACAGCATCCACCCGCACTACTCGTTCATACAAAATCTACATCACTCTCTCTCGTACCCACGGTCGTTCCGTGGGGACCTCGCGATCGCATCGCTCCCCGGGAGTATCCGCGATCGCCAACCAGCCGGGCTGGAAACGTTCCCTGGACAGCGATCTCTCACCACGACTGAGCTATGGCGTCAGTAACAGCACAGGACTGCAACGGAACGAGATAGAGATATAGGGAGAGACCGGAAAGGATTAGAAAATACGAACAGCGTGGCGAAATAGAGAGAAAGAGAGAGAGAGAGAGAGAGAGAGAGAGAGAGAGAGAGAGAGAGAGAGAGAGATAGAGAGAGAGAGAGAAAAGAGAGGGAGAGAGGAGAGAGAGAGAGGAGAGAGAGATGGAGATGGGGATAGAGTGCAAGAGGGAGGGAGAAACAGAAAGAAAGAGAGAAAGAGAGCGAGAGAGAGAGAGAGAGCAAGGAGAGGGAGAAGGAAAGAGGGAGAGGGAGAGAGAGGGAGAGAGGGTTGGTTGTTAGAATAAACAGAAAAGATTATAGGTTCAGTGCGGCACGAGTGTGCTGTGGCGCGCGTCCACTCTCTGTAATCGTAATCCGGTGTGACGGGGAGCTCCTGACGCGGCGGCCGGCCGGGCGCCAAACGACCATCGGCCGTCACCAGCCATCAATTACACACACGGCGATAGCCGCGGCAGAGCCCGGCGATAGCCACGGTAGAGGGCAGGATGGCAGAACACAGGGATGGCCATGGCTATAGCTACGACAGAACCTAGAATGGCAGAGGACAGGGAGGGCCGCAGCAGAAGCAGAGATAGCCACATGATGACGGTGAATGTAGACACAAAATACACGTCCCTGTCGTATCTGCATCGTTGCATTGCCCCATATGTTGGATATAAAAGAGCAGGTGTCAATATTCAGCAGGACATGGCATCACAAGGGCGACTGGTCCCACCTCATTCACCTGTCTGTCTGCCGTCCCCAGACCAAAAACGAACGTCCGGCAAGCAGGCTGACAGTGCCCACCAGTTCGGCTACGCCACCAACTTTGGTGCCGTCCGCGGCACTGCCAGCGTGCGTGGCGTCGAGGGTCAGATGATCGGCATCATCTTCGGCGAGTACATGCGGCGACTGGTGGCTATGTCGCGGGAACTCCGCCTGCCCGAGCACCTGGTGAGTGGCGGACGCGTACGGTGTGGCAGACTGTCGAGTGTCGTTGTTGGACAGCGTCAGACAGTTGTCGGGCTTGTCGGTGTCAGTAGGTGTCTGATTGTGTCAGGGAGTGTCAGACCGTGTGGGGAAGCGTGGGACAATATCTGACTGACGACCAGAGCTGAGGAACACCGGAGTCAGCTGGTGAACGTCGTAACTCGTAGATAGTAAGGATAGATTCGGTAGGCTCCTGCGAGAGTATCGGGGAGACCCAGCTGACGGCTCAAGCTCATCAGCGTTCCATGTTTCACTTTACGCTTATAAGCGTTGCCTGAAATAAGTTATACTTACCCGTATTATGGCAGGCTCCTGCAAACATTGTCTTTGTCCTATCCGAACGCCAAACCTTGACGAAGCACCATGTGATTGCTTTAGTTAGTGGACTGATCACGGGAACGTGCCGTGATCATGAGCAACAAGCATATTATGACAGACGAGCTATCAGCTAAAAACCCTGTTTCCTCTGTACGCGCGCAGGCCCTGTATCACGACGTTCGGCAGTTTGTGGTATACGTTCGCGACAACCACGGCTGCATCTTCAGGAAGGTGCTCTTGGCCGGCTTTTTCGACTCGACCGACCGCAAAAATGTACAAAACACCATCATCACCACCAAAGTAGTTCGGTAAGAAAATACGACATTTCGATAAGAAATTGATATCAGCTTACTCCCTAAAAATAGTTTTCATTAGGCTGATCCGTGAAACTTCCTTGAAGACCCATTTAAAGGTAGTGTGCCACCTTTGAAAGATTTCCCGTTTTATTTTTCCTAGGATAAGAAGCTTCTGTTTTTACCTAATATCGCAAAAAAAATCAAAAATGGGCCTGGAATAGTGCCTTTTTCGCCTAAAAGTTTATCGGTTTTTAGATATGTATAACAACTGTAGTGGGCTCACCTGCAAACAGGCGTCGGGCAACAATCGCGAATGCGGCGCACTTGTGACAATAAGCAAAGGTCATTATAGTGTTACGACCATACGACGTACGGGAATGAGTTATCAGCTGTCTTATCGTAGACAACACAATGTCGAGCCTTAAACTGTAAGCCTGTATTGGTATTGTTTCTTAAATTTGGCTGTCGAACATTAAGTTGTGGTTTGAAATATGATTTTATGTAAAATAATTGATATGAAACAGCCGTCTCTTAAGTTATGACCCCATTACACCACACGCAAGTGGCAGAAATGACAATGATCAGCTGACGCATTTTTCTTGGCCGAAGTCAGAGCGCGCGGCCCGACGCACCACGCGTATTTGGAAATTCCGACCACGACGAGCATCAGAAGCCACCTAACAGGCGTGTTCGAAACCGCAGGAGATGATGATGAACGGGTTTATCGAAACTTGATTGGATGAGCCTATCGGTAATAGCGATTTTAGTGTGTGCATTTATTGTTCATAGTGGTGTGAAATGTGGTTGGGGTACGACCGACAACCCGTCGGGGCGAATTTCGCACTGGGGTACTCAAAATTTGAAGAATTTAAGACGTTTCCATAAGTTTTGAAGGTATGGATAAGTTCTAAAAATCCGGTTCTCCTTATCCGGGTCATTAACTCCATATGGTCCAAGAAAGCTGGCACACTACCTTTAAAGCAATATATTTTTGCCTATTGCTAATTGTCTTAATGATCATCTTTGTAGCTCAATGTTTGTTTCTTTCACGACAGGCGCATCCACATGATGGCCGAGCCCGGCTCCAGGGAATCCCCGACTAACTACTACCACACAGAGGACAAGGAGGAGCGTGAGGAGAGGGGACACAAAAAGTCCTTCTTCAGGAAAAAGGGCACCGTGGCCTCGCTGTCCTCAGTGATACGGAAGGCGCCCAGCGTCCAGGTAAAGTTTGCCATGAAGTTTCTATCAGAAGGAAATGTTATTCTTATTTGTTGTATTTATTGGAAGTACTGATTTCCAGGGGCGTGGCTTTTGGTTTCTATCAGGTGAGTTTCAGTCATCCTCGTGATCATTAGTTGGCTTGAGTTTTATTTTCATTTCAAACTCTGTGCTGTATGTTATGAGAGGTAGGTATTGTTTTCCCTTTACCATTTTAAGGGCACTGAGCGATTTTTGGTCGCATCGGGAATTTTAGAAAGACCAATTGTTTTCTGTAAATTTGACCATTTAAATTGCCCACTCTTCAGTGGCAGACAGTTTTTCATTCAATTCTTCCGATCGGTAGAGCATGCTGGACGCGGATGGCGACGAGAGCCCACCGGGTCCCAGCCCGGCGTCAACCATCCGCAGAAAGAACCGCCACTCGACGCGGGCCGCAGAGGAGCCGCGCACGCGCCGTGTGTCCCGCTTCGGTGAGTCACGTGACCCACCGCCCCGGGGGTACAAAATGACGTCACAGGCAGTGGGCGGGGCACACGAGTGCGATGAAAAAACGCTGCAGAGTGCAGTTCACCGTTCATGGACTTCTGTAGATATCAGACCCGTGCAGGCAGTCGATGCTGTGCCGCTGTTCATTGATGTCATGCGGTACAGTCTACCTAGCGCGGTGAATTCCGAGAAACTCCCAGGCTGTTGCTACAGCATTGGATGCTAAATAGCTACTGGTCGGTTGTTAACTTGTTTTTTATCTGTGATCATAATTTTTTCCTCAGCATTGCAACGATTAGGAGTTGTACTGAAACAGTTTTGATAGACATTCTGGAAATCATAACATTGAATCAATATGATTTCATGTCATTGAAATAACGCCTGTCAACACTGTGCCAGACGGCGGATTTAAAAGAAGTAAGTTTTGGAGGACAGTTCTACCACGTTCTACATAATTGTGTTTGGCTCACTCACAGCGCACTAATGCACCCACTTCTTGATAACCACTGAAAACTCCCTCGGTTTATCTGTTTTGGAGGTTTGTAAATGTTCTTCAAACAAAATCGAAGCTCAGTTGAGATTAATAGCACCTACGGGAAAATGCTGCATTTCAATGTTATTTACGACTAACTAAGCTGGTGGAAGACTGTTTTCTTCGATTGACGTGCACCGCTATTCTTGAGCACACGCTTGTCTTCGCTTTCAACGATGTCCCTAATTCTTCCTGGATAACAAACACAAATAACACGAATGTCATCTGCCTATCTTTGATGTGCACACACACTTTTACAAAGGCCATTTCGCTAAAACATCGAAGCCTGAGCTGTTATTTTTGGAATGCACACTCAGTACATAATTTCGGTGTATCTGCTGCCTGTATGGAGCCACTTATTGGATTGTCTCAACCTGCAAGGAGATAAGTAAGCCCAAAACCGAAAAAAACATTTTCAAACGAGTGAGATAAAAAATAATGGATCAGAAGCACACGAGTCTGGAACCAAATATTGTGGTTGTTATTGTGATTTATTATAATTTAACGAGGTTCAATACAGTACGATGACAAAGAGACAATGTTCAGCCGGCGCGGGCAGACGAGGAGGCACTGCTGACCCGTGATCTCTGACCGGAGTGTGTGTGTGTGCTGTGCTGCCAGCGTCCCTGTTCCGCCGGGAGGTGACCGGTCGCCAGGGCTCGGAGGAGAGCACGGAGGACGGCGAGGGCTCTGACCGGAGCATTCGGAGGCAGTCGGTCTACCGCGCCATCCGATACAACAGGGGAGGGTGAGGCAGGACGGTCCCCAACATCCGATACAACAGGGGGGAGGCAGGACGGTCCTAAAACACCATACATTAGGGGAGGGTGAGTCAGGACGGTCCCAAAACACCATACAGCAGGGGAAGGTGAGACAGGACGGTCCCCAACATCTGACACAGGTTACCGTGGAGGGGGCATTGGTCCGTCCGGTATCGGGATGGCACTGTTAACCTCCGGCGGAGTTCATAAGCATTGTGTGTTTTTGAATATATTTGCTTTATACTAATTGGTTGATTATTTGCATCAATATGATAATCAGCATCAGTGAAACCGGTGTATTTCTGCGTGGTTTTGTCGAGAACACCGGTTAGTGGGTGCTGTTTTCTCCCCAGCACGGTTAGTCTGAGCCTGTACCGAGCCCGGAAGCGAATGGAGGACCAGCTCAGCCGCATTGGACTCGGCAGAAACCGGAGAAAGGAGGGACTGCACGAGGACGTACCGGGTACGGAACCTACCACCTGTAACGACTGATTTAATTACTTACCGCTCCTCTTTCAGTAACTATGACTGTATCGGTAATACTGACGACTCTCTACTTTGGCGAATTGATATAAACTATGAACAATGTTGTTGCGAATAATCGGGATGCATATAACTTGCATTGCATAACGTAAATTCCGCCCACCATATCTAGTTATTAGCACGTTTTTATGATATATGTGCGCTGACGATCGTTCACTGTCCGTTCATCAGACCGGAGTCGGCACAACTCGTGGGACTTTGACGGCTATCCGCAGAGTCTCGAGTACATGATCGTCAAGGAATGTCGACTGGTCAACACCAACGCTGTCCGGAACGGCATGAAAATGTAGGTGCAGTCGACCGGGAAAGTCTAGTGAAGTAATTCCTCTAAAATTTTCATATTCAGCATATTCAATAACCGCAGAATGTTTGAAATGGACAAAACTATTCATTAGCATTGTGTTTTTCTATTGAATAATGAACTGCAGCAGTAATTAGTGTTCTGAACATCCAGAACGTAGGCACAGCTGCGAAGAATATGTTCACGCACAGCCTATGTAACGCTCGGACGCTGTGCGTTTGCAGACTGAACCTGCTGATGGAATCAGCCCCGCCGGGCAGTGTACCGGACGCACCCATGGTAGCCGCCGCCTTCTCCCTGGTAAGAACACCCGACCCCGCTCCGCCGCCGACCCGAGAAATACCACCGGAGCCAACCGCCACCGGCACACAGTCGGGGAAGCAATTCCGGGCGGTAACCTCGTTAGCATTTTACTAGCCACAGAACGTGGCCTGACTATTACGTGCGCTCTCTGCCAATGGGCTGCAGCGGTGAAATGTGGCCCAATTCGCCGGCGACGCGCTCCGAATATCATTTGTGTTAATTTGCTGGGAAACACCAGCTGGCCGGCGACACGCCTATTGATCTACAGCCAACTGCGTGATCTTCGAAAGGCGAGACACATTTTCGAAAAGATTATGAGAGTTATTGTATTTTCTTTCACTATCTATTGACGTTTTTTTACCATCGCCGACAGCCGGGAGTTCCGGTGGCCACCCGGGCCTGCTTCTACCTGGAGTGCGCCCACTTTGTGCACCGGTGCAACAAGGGCCTGTGGCCGGCCTGGATGAAGCTCAACCTGCCGCTGTTCAGGAGCTCGGGTCCGCTACACAGCAAACCGGTGACGGGCGCCAAGCGGACGCACGTGCTGCAGCGGGCCGCCGGCAAACTGTTCTACCAGTGGGCCGAGGTGAGCGGAGATAGAATGTTGTTCATCATAAAGTGGCGCTGTATGAAATGGCATTAATATCGCGCTTCCACCGGACCTAACTAGCATGCATGCTCGCGCCGAGTGGTGAGCCGGACATCAGCCCTCGCCCCCGTTCTCAGGCGCTGGGATCCCGACTGGACACGGTGCTGAGCGACGGTCAGCGTCCGGGCGAGGGTGGCGGCGGCTGCGGGGATGGTCGGCGGCCGGCGGACAGCGCTCCCCTGGACGACGCGCGCAAACGACAACTGCGGCTGGACGACGACGAGGAGGACTTCCTGGATGAAGGTGATGTAGAAACTCGCTAAACAGATATGATATCATCCACGCCTGCAGGTTTTACTATCATACAGAACTAGGGTGTGTGTCTTATTTTATGGCCATATGGAAGTAACTATTATCTTGTGTGGCGGCCTTTGCTGTTTTTATATTAATTTCGATCGTTATTCCACTTGCAAATGAGATTACCCCGTTAATGATACAATGAACAAAGAATTAAATAAATACGATCAATAGGATGATCTGCAATGCTAAATGCCTGGCTGAGCCTTGGTTATAGGTACTTATATTTGGTGTGCTATTGTAGTTAGTAAAGAAAAGACTTCTTTGCTACCAATCGATACTAGAATAATAGCCTTCTCGCGATGTTTCGCCGTGAAGTTTAGCCACGCCCTAACGGTGCACAATTTTCCATCGACCGACAGCCAGCGTCAACCCCACCGGCCGCGAGTGTCCGATGGCGCTGCGGTTCGCCTGCTGCGTGCTCCTCTACGAGATCACTGCCTTCATGCGCGAGACGTACCCGCTGCTGCCGCGCACCTTCCAGCCGCCACAGCGCGAGCGGGCGCCCAGCATGCTGGGAGGCTCACTGGGCGTGCCGGCCGGTTCGCGCCGCTGGAGCACCGCGCTCAGCAGCATGGGCTACTCGCAGACCTCAGCGCAGAGCCTGCAGTCCATCAGCGGCGACCACGTGCCCATCAGCAGCGAGCGAAAAATCAGCTTCGTACTCCAGGAGCCGGACGACGTCAGCCTGTGCTCCAGTCAGAATACCATCATTCAGGAGGAGTGCTCCCGCACGGCACGCATCGCTGCCGGCGCGCGCAGTCATCTGCTGAAGCGCAGCGGCGGCCAGGGCTTCTTCAACCCGAGCTCCAGCATCCGGCGGCGGTCCATCAAACTGCGCCGGGCCGGCAAGGAGCGCGACCCGGACGCCGAGTGTAAGTACCGTGGGAATCACCACTTACATTGATTCAGATTCACTTACATGGATTGCTGTCCTCCAAATGGCACTTCATTGGAACCTTGAGTTTTTTTTTCTGAGACGTATTTTATTTCCATTGGGTCACTCCGCACCCCATGGACTAGTTTCTAGTTAGTAAACGCAACACAAATCTCAATAATTACTACTTATTCAGGATAGCTTTTTTATTACTGCCTTTGTTATTCCTCACGCCCAACAAAGGCTAACTCTCTATAATTCGTCACAGCCATCAAGCGGGCGGACAGCATCAAGTCTCGGCGCAAGGTGTCCGCCATCAGCGACTGCAGCGCCACGTCGGACCAGCACAGCGGCGAGGAGTCGCCCGGCATGCTCAGCGACGAGCACCTGGCCGACACGCCCAGCGACGCCGACACGGACGACTTCACGGTGCCCGAGCACCTGCCGTGGCTGCGCGTGGCCACCGAGATGGTGACCGGGCTCAGCTACAGCTGCCGCCACCAGCAGTTCTGCCAGCCCAACTGCTACAAACGCCTGATGCGGGCCTGCAACAGGCTCGTCAAGGCCGTCAAGACGGTGAGGATGGCTGGCGGCCGGCGCCACCGCTACTTGTGGCCTGTCGTACCGTAATGTGATTTGCATAGTTGGCTGCTGAATGAGGGCGACATAGACCTTTGGCGGCAGACTTGGTCTCCACTAAATGATCCATTCTTACGGGAATATAAAATGCACTAAAGCATATTTTGTCCAGCCATCCGAACGAGTACCGCACTCAACTCGTATGCATTTATTGGACGCCATCAAATTTGTACAACGCCATGCTGAGCATATCATCGTATAATAAAACCGTTGAATGTGCAGGGCTCCAGCATTTTCAACGACTGAGCTAACCTCTCGACGCTCATGCCAATTCCTATTCTCGACAGGTGTATGATGAGGACCTGAGCACCAGCCCGTCCACCGAACACTCCAAGGGCAGTTCGCGTCAGAGCAGCCACAAGGACCGCTCCCGGCTGAAACGTACCGACGCCAACTCCCAGGGCAGCCCCATCAAACGAAAGGAAAGCGTCGGAAGGCGCGAGCGAGACAGGTACGTGTGATGTGCTGTGCGTGTCACTATCCGCGCGATGTGATTCACGGATGACCGTCGGAAAGGGAGCTCTAAGACACACTTCCTTGTCGCCGAGCAGGGTGGACCGTGTGCCGGAGGGAGTGTCGGGCCGGCTGAACACGGGCAGTCTGCACTTCTCCCGAGAGACGCTCGACTCAGACGTGGAGCGCGGAGGAGCGGACACCAGCTCCCTCAGCGGGCCGGACCGGCGCGCGCCCAAGGAGGAGCCGCCCATTGTCAAATACATCACATCCCAGGTCAGCCAGGGCATCTCTGGGGTCAGACAGCGGGTCCCCTAGGTCAGCCAGGGGGTCTCTCCGAGGGTTTCTGGGCAGTGACGCTCCTTTTAAGTTCGGTGTGAGCTTCACCGCTCAACAGGAGACACGTTAGGAATGTGTGAAAGGCAAGACTTACAGAGGAGCTAATGTCCACTACGTTATGCAAGCTGTACGCATTTCCAGGTGCACACGCTGTTCCACATCCCGCTGAACCTGCTGGCCAAGAGCGCCGTGGTGCTGTCGGAGGACGTGCTGCTGCAGGTGCTGCCAGTCACCTGGGGCCTCCTGCTGGACACCGACCACGAGGTGAGAGAGACTAAACGCCGCTCTCTTCATCAGCTCAGCGTTCACATTGAGCTGCCGTGGACGCTGTTAAATTCGACACTCTCATCGAGCATTGCTAAATTTTGTAGTGAGCGAGAACAAACACAAGCGCATTGCTCACGCTCTGGTCTTCGGCAGGTTGCGAGTGCGGCGGCAACCCTGTGTATAATATCGGCGGTGAAGATACCGGGCTTCACCAGCGACATCCTGATGCGGCACCTGCAGCACGACGACCCCACGGAGAGGGTCAACGCCATCCTCAGGTAGGTCACGTGCGGGAAGCTGTGCACGGGGTATGTTGAGGGTGGAATAGGCTTGGTGAAACGTTGTACTCTCGAGATGTATTAAAATGACGCAACATCCAGTAAATCCTCTTTGACGACTCCGATATCCCAGCTGGCCACGCCTAGATTTGCTCTGCGGCGGGGCCACCGGGATTGATTGATTACCCCCAGAACCCGGGCTTCATTGTAGCTCTCACAAATCTCCCTTTGCCCCAGGTTCCAGGCGCTGTGGCGGTTCCGCTACCAGTGCTGGCCGAGGATGGAGGACACGGCGCACCTCGGCTTCAAGGTGCCTCCGCCGGGCATAGAGTTCACCCTCCCCTCGCCCAAGATCGGCATCGAGGCTCTGCCCGTGGTCGACCCCTCCTGGATGCCGCAGGTACGACAGCCACCGAAACGGAAAAACTTGGATTCTCATAGCCAAACAGGAGCGCCGTCTATTACAAATGGCCATAGGCAGTGAGAAAGAAGCTGATCAAACCTCAGGAGGAGCTCATTCGAAGGAAACTACACCTTTTAAGGACACTCGTTTGACCTAAAATGTACCATTTAACGACCCGGGTAAAGAGACCCAGGTAACGAATCAAGTGAAGCCGATGACACAACGTTTAACTTTTGGCATCGTCCCAGAGGTGAAGAGTATAGTAGAGGACGCGGCAATTAACATTTTGGCATCGTCCTACAGGTGAAGAGCAAAGTGGAGGACGTGACCCTGAAGGAGGAGCTGCACTCGATCGTGTCAGCTGGCAAGACGCGGCGGAAGCAGCAGGCCGAGCTGGTGCAGATCGCCCTGAAGAAAGAGGAGGAGAAGAAGCGACTGGACAGGGAGAACTACCGCATCAGCACGGTGCCCGTCACCGGACAGGCGGCGCACGAGCCCAGCTTCTACCACGTGGCTGGGGACGAGCATGACGAGGGTGAGCGGACGGGCGCCCGGTGCGGACCCCGAGCGCTATCTCGGTGTGCGGGTCGGCCGGCGAGCCCGCAGGGACAGCGCGGCCGGCCGCGCTCGGCTTGGTCGCTGGGACTGTGCTCTGCAGGCCGCTGTGCGAGTTTCAGTTGCTCGTGATTGTCGATTGCTCACCATATTGTGATTTTCTTTCTGGATCTCACATTTTGTTACAGGAATCAGGAATGTTACACGAAGCTGAACACAATGACATTTTTGTAATCCAGTTTGCCTATCAATTTCATCGTTTCTTTTGTCAAGAAGCCTTCAAAATCCCAACAATCACAATCCTTTACTATTAACCCTCGCCGGACCTATTGGTTTTCTACATACGCGCCGGCCGAGGGGGGGGGGGGCGGGTACGACCCCCCCTCGCCGTTTCGCCCCTGGTGGAGCTAGCGCGTCGCGGAAAAAACGAGCGTGTGCGTCGTTACGAGACGCAGAGATTGGTACCCGAATTTAAGTTCCTAGGTCAACCGGTGACCTCTGAGGTCAGGTCAAGTGCCCCAAGGTACGGTTCAGTTTTTGGTGAATAACTTCGCAAAAAATGGCCGCAGAGCCGCGATTTTGGCAGCATCGTGTTCGCCTCGCTCAGGCGCGTCGAATGATATACTTTTTGTTCGGGTCAGGTCAACTTGGGGTGTTGACCTCAGGTCAAGGTCAGGTCAGCACCCTAAGGTCACGAAGTTGGTCGAAAGGGGTCATGTCGCATATCATTCGATTCGGCAGGTCTTCCTGAGTCCATTGGTGGCTTTCGCGACTCGCTAGCTCAATTTGATCAAGAGTTATTGACGAAAAACTAATATGACCTTGATGACGTCATAAATGACGTCACGCAAGGTCAACATTGCAAAAGTGACGCATCTAACCTTGCAAGGAGTGCATCAAATCACGATTCTGTGTGCTTGAGATAGTTGGAGATCGTTCCCGGCGCCAGAATAGCAGTTTGAATTTTTCCCCATTGACTTATAATGGTGAGGTCACGAAAATGACCTGACCTCATATGACCTTTAGGAAAAATCCGAGATATACAAGTTGTGAGACTCATAATGGATACTAGATCCTGCAAGTTTCATTTCCCTGTGACATCTCCTCTGGCAGTGAGGGCGTTGCGAAGTTGCGACATCTGAAGACCGTGCAGAGGTTCACTTATGACGTCATAGGTCAGTGACCTGACCTGACCCAAAAATGCGGTTGGATCAAAGATGCAACCTTGGATCAAAAGATGCGGCTTGGATCAAAGGTCAGGTATGCCAAGTTTCAGCTCTCTATCGCCAGCGTGTTCGGAGCTATCGCGAAAAAACCCTATGGGGGGGGGGGGCGGCACCCGCCCCCCCCCCTCGGCCGGCGAGGGTTAAGGTAACTTAGACATTTAGCAGCAAACGAAATACCACTGGTCCTTTTACTTTGTTTCCATACGAGTACCTACACGCTACGACGCATACCTACCTCATTATTTGGCCTACGTCCAACCATCAAAATGTCATGAACCTTTTTTATCCGTCGCCGCCCTCGCGCTTGCAAAAAACATTTGTCAGTGTGTAACGGGGCTGTATTTTTACCGTTTTTTGGAGAGGTGGAACAGTTCATAGAGCACACAGCAGTAGTACAGCCAAAAGCAAAGTGAATGAGTCATGGCACAGGAGGCGTTGGGGTGGCGGCGGGCGAACACGACTATCGCTTGCGCTGCGCCGCCTGTCACTGCGTAACTGCGGGTACGGCGCCGCCGCCGTCGCACCCGCCGCATGTTGACAGGCGCTTAAGTTGGCGACGACCGATAAAGGTCTTTATGCGCCGGTGGCGCATAAATTGCCATTTATCCGTCGCCGCCCTCGCGCTTGCAAAAAACATTTGTCAGTGTGTAACGGGGCTGTATTTTTACCGTTTTTTGGAGAGGTGGAACAGCCCATGTCCGAGATATGTAATCGGCACAGGGTTACCAACCTGGAAGTCAGTAATGCTGTACGATGCGTAGTGAAACACCGGTAGAAGCCGAAGATAAAAACAGCGAACACGACTATCGCTTGCGCTGCGCCGCCTGTCACTGCGTAACTGCGGGTACGGCGCCGCCGCCGTCGCACCCGCCGCATGTTGACAGGCGCTAAAGTTGGCGACGACCGATAAAGGTCTTTATGCGCCGGTGGCGCATAAATTGCCATTTATATGCTGTCAGTCATTCGCACATGAACAAAACACATCATTAGTTTGACATCTTACAAGTGTCCTTCGCTATATATTGTGTATAATTTGCAGAGCTCTGGATGATTTTGGCATCGGTCTGAATGTGCTTATCTCGCATATCGTGTTTGTATATACCAAGCGCTAAAGCATTTAGCTGGATCGTATGGTTCATCGACATGGGTTTGCCCCGGTTTTTGAGCATCTTCTATGGTCTGTTTCGTATACTAGAAAATGTGTGTGCATCTAAGATTTACAAACTTAAGCATCTTCTAAGCATGCTAGACGGTGATTTTTGTAGCTATGGCGCGAGCCAAACTTTTTTGATCTAGTTGCATGCATTTGGCACGTCCGCTCGTCTGGTCATACTGACAATGCCTTCGCAGGGAACTTTGAGCTGCGATCATCGGCGCTAGGCAACCGGGCGTCGGAAGGAAACTTCGACCACATAATGAGGTTTTATCAGCATTGTTACCAGATCGGAGGTTAGAACAATAAATGCTCCCTTTTCCTACCAGCATCAGGGCTACAATAGTCTTCTTGAGCTTATCTATTACCCTTGAGTAAAATGATACATCCGCAGTAAATGTTAAGTTGGTCAGCTTTCTTAAGTCTTTTTAGAGCTGAACATTTTGATTGCTCTGACTCCTGACGTTTATCAAACTTCATTTAACCATCCAGCGCACGCTGCTGAATGTCTGCCTAAGCCATTCCTTGTATGTATAATGGATTTGTTTCACCTAAACATTCTGTCATAATGAACGATGGGATATACTGTAGGATGATACATAGTCTGCACGTGAAGGTAGGACACCATCCTGACTGAATACCTAAGTAGTCTCAACGAGTCACTTCGTGAGCACTGAGCACGCACGCAAGCTCCTTCATCGAGCGAGCTATCAAACGGCGTAACATTTTCTTGCCTCTTTGAGCCTCTTTCTTTTCATCTCACCAATGTGATTCGATACCTGTACCTCACCCGTTGTCAGCTCTAGCACAAATCGGAAATTAATGTTGTCTGCCGTGCTTATTGTCTGTTATATGGATGTTTCATTTCTTCTTTCCGAATATCACTGTAAAGTGTGACCTCTGATGTTAAGCATAATTCTTCAGTCATGTTTCACATTTGCTCAACCCGATTGATATATGTTTAACCGCGTTTCCTCTACGAGACACCCTTCTGGCCTCAGTGTAATCCCGTCCTCCCTTTTGACCTGTGTCTGGACCGTCCCCATCCGACCCCGACGCTTGTCTTCCCCCTGCGCCGCTGTGACCCCTGCGTCGCTGTGCCCCCTGCGCCGCTGTGACCGGTCACCGCGTGCCCCGACAGCTGCCGATGAGGAGCCCACAGACGTGCTGCGCGGCTCGCACACGCAGTCGGCGCCGCAGATGTTCCCCTCGTGTCTGTGCACGGCCGCCACTAGCATCATCGCGCTGCTGGACGACACGGCCGTCACGCCCGACGGCATGGCCGTCTACTGCGTGGCGCAGCGGGTGCGTATAAAACGCACTGCGTGCAGACGCCTGCTGTGTACGCTGCATCAGAAAGAGGCCGATGTGATATTAACCCTAGAACGCGCCACGGAGAAAAATATTTACTCCGCTAGGTGGGGTTCTGACGTCCCAAATACAGTACCTATATTGGAGTAGATTTTCGCTTTGTTTTGGAGTTTTATCCGTTAAACTCCATCTTACCGGGTTTCAATACTCCAAACAGTTATGCATGAGGAGTAGGAGAACTCCCAGGCTCCTTCATCTACTCTGGTACATCAAGTGAGATACTTAAGTTACTCTGCCTCGTCATGGAATACTCCAAAGTTAGTGGTATATGAACACCCATAAAAGGAGTTTCCGAAATAAGGTGTTTGTAAATCCATCGGGGAGTAAAAATTTTTCTCCGTCTAGGGAGGGGGGGTTGTATCAACCCCCCCCCCCCTGAGGTTTTTTCGAAGTGCACGCTAAACGGCTTGTCGTAGCGGGCTGAAATTTTCAGTACCCTCTGAGGCAACCTTTGCGCATCTTTTGCCGAAAAAAATTGATCGGGTCATGTCAGGTCACGGAGTCATGACGTCATAAGAGGTACAGCCTCCGGCCGACAGTTACCAAACGTGTGCGCCGAATCCCTAGGTTTTCTGCCGGTGATACCCACATTGTTTGATGGATCATGATGAAACTTCCCATGCATGTTGGGGCAAGCATTGGCTATCGTGTGGTGCAAGAAAATGACCGGGTCAGGTCAGGTCACGGAGTTATGACGTCATAAGAGGAACAGCGTCCGGTACTATTTTTGAAAAGCGCCCGAACCACTATTTTGCTAATTCTTGTCACCTCAATGGGAATATGCAGCAATATTAGCTTCTAAAAGGAGCAAATGGACCTTCCAAATCCAAAAATACAATCAGATTTCAAAAATTTAAATTTTGATTTTTCGAATTTCTGCCGCCGACTGTGACCTTGCCGACTTCCGGCGCTCCCAACGCGCCATTTTTAGAGCTAGGGAAACGAAATACATACCAAATGATAGAGAATTGATCAAGGAACACGATAGTGAAGGTTTCAAGTCGATATCTCCCACCGTTTTGCCGCAATCGCCGCGGAAAGTTGAAAAAAGTCTATTTTTCCGAAAATTTGACCTTTGACCGGTCAAAAGTAGGTCAAATGTTGACCTAGGACCAAAAAATATACCACCAATCGCGAGATCTCGTTGAGAGCAATCCGTTGGTTTTTTTCCGCTAAGCTCTACGACCTTCCGTTTCGAAACGCCAGGGGGGGGTCGTAACAACCCCCCCCCCCCTGGTCGTTCGTGCTATGAGAAATGGCCTGGTCGTGCGAGGGTTAAGCAGCTAGCCCTTCATTTTTTTATTGCTAGGCACATTTATCTGACAAGTCTGTTGTAGATTTTGACAATTTAGTTATGACGGGGGCATGGGCCTATACGACCGGCATTGTTTTGGATGCTGACCCCGGTATGCTCTGTCCGCAGGTGATCTGGAAGTGTCTGGTGGAGGACAGCGCGCTGTTCCTGCGCCACTTTCTGGAGAAGCTGACCCGCGAGCGGCAGGAGGTGATGCTCCAGTACCTGAGACGGCTCATCCACACATTCCCGATGCTGCCCGCGCAAACGGCCTTCGCCCTCTACAACTACCTGGTCGGCTACATCATGTTCCAGATCCGCTCCAACTCCGAGTTCGCCACACAGAACATCGCCAACTCACTCACGCTTCTATGGCAGGTATGTGCAAAAACGCGCGGGGCACGCGGACACCTCAAAGCATCATTATTCAATGGATGAACCGTGTTGGATGCTCGTGCGTTACTCAGTGAGAAAGCCAGTCTCGTTTGACAGCTTTCTGCAATCGATTTGATGTGTGATATCCAATGACATTCGCACCAATTCAGTCGGGGTCTAGCAAGGCACGTGGACTACCCCAGGTTTTGTTTCGCACACAGGTTGTCCCCGGTATCCAGGGAATATTGTTCAAGGACTTGAAGCAAATCTTCCGGAAGGAGCAGTGCGATGCCACGCTAATGTTGACGGCCAACGTCCCGTCAGCCAAGCGAATCATAGTACATGGACCTCAGGGTGAGCAAAGGAAACGTCTCTGCCGATGAAGTGAAATGTATGTTTAATTGTTTGTGATTTGAAATTACGTCCGCTTCGCCTTAGAAGCATGGTTTGAGCACGATGAACGATGACCTTTCATCGAGACTTCATTGGCATTGACTAGATTAAATTTTCATTCTGTCCGGCAGGTCCGGACGCCGGCGGCATTCCGTCCCAGTTTCCGATCCAGGAAGACACCCAGTTCTGTCAGATTCTGACTGAAGCACGAGAGTTCTTCAGCATTCCCGAACACGAACACAGGTCCTACTTTCTGGTGGACCATAAGACAGGTAACGCTGCGAGATGAAGGACGTTCGGCCAGTAAGTCTCTTCCAAAATCAAGGAAAGTTGTGACCATTTTCATCCAGCTTTTTTATTATAGACGACAACGTCAATAAGAAAATGTTTAAGCAAGAAAAATATCAAAGAAATAATGCGTAAATATTTATTTCAGGTGTGATTCACAACCCGAAGGCGTACGTGCGAGATTTCTACTTCTTCAAGCGGTCGCAGTACCCGCAGCTGAGCTTGATCCACATCGATCCAGAGGAGGCCTACAACGCCATGCAGAACAACGTCTTCTACCTGAAACTGTTGGAGATCGGCAAAACGCTGAAGAGCCTGGCGATGCTGATGCGACCGGATCAGGTCTGGATACCAGCTTACCCACCTCGTTAGAACTAATAGAGCTAACAGCGTCATGTCTATGATCTATTGTCTAAGCTCATGGCACGTTTGGATTGTGGCATATCCAGTGAAAATAACATATGAGTTAAGTTATTCTTTCGTTTCAGGTGGCTCAGCGAGTGTTCTTTCTCCATGAGGAGCTCACCAAGCTGCCAGCGTTTCCTCGCAAGGCTCTGGAGACGGACTTTCACCTGTACAAAGGAGGACACCTGGGAAACGTATGCCTGCCGATTACCTGTTGCCGATGTCATTAATCTGTGAACTGTTAGGTGCATGAGCGTCAAGTCAATGGTGTACAAATTACTGTTAGATACGAAGTTTAATTAGCTAAATCGCCACTGTACTGATCAGTTATTACTCATAGCACGGACACCACTAGCATTTCACAAGACACACATCACATTGGCCATTGTTACCGCCCCACAGGAGCTCAAGTGTCTGGACAGCATGCACAAGCTGATCTGGGTGAAGATGATGTCGCGGATGTTCGAGGGCATGGCGGGCAACTTTGCCTACTCGGGCGATATCCACCTGTTCATCAACGTGGTGAACGGCTGCCTGCTGCTGCACTGCGAGGACAGCGCCATGCTGCGATTAGTGATGGCCACCTACATCAGCGCCGCCCATCAGTTCAAGAACGTCTTCTCCAGTAACGGGTGGGTCGGTACAGAGGGAGTCAGTCGTGGAATGTTTCGATGTCTGCTACATGATCGTGGAATGACCCGAAATTTCACGGGAAAACTGGGCGTCTACATGTTTAAAGATGATGTACCCGAAGTCGCTTTACTCATGCCGATTTGCTTCCCTTATTGGACATTTTTTTATACACAGCTCTGAGCTCATGCGAGGAACATTTAGGCGTTCTCCATAAGCACAACACAACGACTGACACCGTTCCCGCTGACCGTGCGCCCACAGGTACCTGCTGATAATGCCGACGGTGCTGCAGGTGTACAGTAACCACCAGTCCAACTCGCTGCTCTGTCGGACCGTCGAGTTCATCTGCAAACAGTTCTACGTGCTCCACCGCAAGCCGTTCGTGCTGCAGATGCTCGGCAGCATCGCGCCCATGCTCGACCTCAACACAGACCTGCCGTTCGCAGACGCCAACAAGGTAAGGCTGACCAGCTGCTGTGCCGATGCTTTTCAACGTGACGTTGTACTTGTACTTCATCAAATCTCAATGACGTATCAAGGAGGGGAAAAATTTGTTTGTAAATTAATGAGGATTACCAGTTGCTGTGAAGATATGCTATGACAGAATGCATATACTGCACTTTGTACATCTATGATTTAATCCTATATTTTCTAATGTCATGTGAACAGAGCAGTCACACTGACACGCTACTACCCCGGTGTCCAGATTCAGCCGGACACGCTGTTCAGGCTGCTCATCTCACTGGAGACGCCGTCCCCGGACCCGCTCAACTGCATCGAGCTCGTCTCTGTCGAGAAGCCGCTGCGCGCGCTCGACTTCTGCTACCACGAGGAGACGGACGACGTCACCATCATGGACGTCATCAGCTTGTGCGTCACCGTGGTGGCGTACGCGGCCGACAGCCGGCGAGCCCACCAGATGCTCAACGTGCTGGAGGCGGTGATTCCCTTCTACCTGCGGCACGTGGAGCGCATCTCGAGCGTGGCCACCACGGCCGGCCCGAAGGCAGAGCTCAAGGGCGAGAAGGAGGTCATACACCAGCTGGCACTCTCCATTAAAACGCTGCTCCACAACTGCGAGCCGCTGGCCAAGTAAGATGTGAAGGCGTTGGGGATTTTATAAATGCAAGCTGCCCAGTCCTCACTGGATATCTTTCTCTGGAATAATGTATTCTTTGTTATTATGAAGCTTTGGCAGTCAATCTCATTGTCCTGGGTCGCCGGGAAAGCGACTGATAATGTCCTTCCATTCACAGAAACTACACCGGTCCGACGCGGGGCAGTACAGAGTTCAAGACGTCCAGTATGAAGACGTTTACGCGAACAGCGGCACAGGAGACTCACAACGCCGCGCTGGACTTGGACGAGGACTCGCACTCGCGCATGTTCGTCAGCGACACGAGGAGGACAAACTTCATGGAGCGCGACATGGAGGACTCGGAGGTAAAGACGCGCGTCTCTTAGCTGAGCAGCGAGCGCAGCTTACACGTTTCGATAGTGCATTAGGTACACACTTAATAAAAAATGTAAACAAAATAAGCAATGATCAGTGTAGTCAAAATGTTTCCAGTCCACTAAAAGTGAATAAGCTAACGTTAATGGATGCAGCTTTTCCTCGAACTATTTGAGCCAGCCCGGCGTGGTCCGCAGGTTCTCCGTGAGGCCTTCCGCCGTCCCCGGGACACGCTGCTGAACATTGTCGCCGAGTTCCTCTCGCGCTGCTCAGCCCGGTTGCACGAGCTCAACAAGAAGCCCGGCGCCGGTGTGGAGACCAAGCAGGTCGAGCTGCTGGATGCCAAGTGTCACAGCGTAAGTACTTCAGTCCACAGACTACAGAGCTCCTGGCGGCCCGAGATTGAGCCGGAGGGACTGGAGAGATACGGCCGAGTGCCGAGAGGCGACGGCGACTGGCTGGGTAGGCTGTGCCGCGGGACGCCAATGCGCTGCGGAACAGTATTCACTCCGGCGGCGCCGACGGCCCGGCCAGTCCCGCGTGGCTCCGCAGACTAGAAATGAAAGCTGGTGCAAATGAATAGCAAATTAGCAATGGATGAAAAAATTAAAGATATTAACCATCATCACTGTCTTCGTGCGCTTAGTGGACATACTCAAAACGCTATTCCGAACACGTAAAAAATCGGAACTCAATTACGATATGCCGTTTAATTTCCACGAAATTAGTCATGCATGCTAAATTTATAACCATTCCAATTACATGCAAATAATCTCTATATTCAGACATCAGGCAACTAACATGATTGCATTCATTTTCAACCTCATATGCAGTTTCAGCCTCTACCACTTCTGTCTGTTTCTGAAGTCGCGCGTCTGTTTCTGTCACCGCAGCGTCTGGCCGAGATAGCCCACAGCCTTCTGAAGGTGGCGCCGTACGACCCGGAAACCATGTCCTGTCGCGGCCTGGTCAAGTATATGAACCAGATCCTCACCTACCCAGACTGGTCGCAGGAGGCTCTCAAACCCACACTCATCATCATCATGCGACGGCTCGAGAAAGTCTTCACCAAAATACTCAAGAAGAGCTTCATCAGGGTATGCGCTTTGAGGTCCATCATCACAGGCCTGACATGACTGTAATAAAAAACACAAACTTCGTATTTGTCCTGTTTTGAATGGAATCCTCCCGAAGCAACAAACCATGAATGTACCTGAGTCAATCCGTAACAAAATGCCTCATAAACTCTTTCAGCTACAGATGACGTGACTGCACTCCTAACATTCATCGCCTCTTCTGTCGGCGGCCAGTCTGCCTTTTCATCCCTCGCCTCTCTACTGTCCACAGCGTCACACGGACTGGGTGGCGGCGGCCAATCTGCTGAAGGGCGTCTACACGACGCTCTGCAAGTACCCGTACATCGCCCACCTGCCGCCGCTCAAGGCGCTCATCCTCGTCTGTCAGGCGCTGGTGGTCGGCGAGAGCGGGGTCACCACCGCGGGCGAGGGCGCCGCCGCGGACTCGGCCGCCGCCGTCCACTATCCGCCGCCGCAGCACTTCGCTTCTACCGTGGTCCGACTCATTGCCATGCAGATGCTGGCCCAGGGGGTGAGTGGAAGGGGGGACAGCGGAAGGTGATGGGGAAGAGAGGGCGACGGATGGGCGCTCAGCCGCGGAGCTGGCCGAGTTCTTAGTGTGCGACTCAGCTTGCGGAGAGTTCTTATCTGTACACAAGAGTTCATTTTTGCATTGTCGACTTTCCATCAACGGCAAAAGGCTTCGCCACATAAATGTAGAACACACAATGGCCGTGTCCGGTCAGGCTGGCTGTCTGCAGAGCAGGAGTTCGGCCGGTGCCGCGGCGGTGCGCCCGGACCAGTCGCCTGTCCCCCCGTGCCTGGTGTAAAGAGAGGGACGAGGGCCAGTCTCGCGGCACTGTTTGCCTTGGATGGTGTTTTGGTCACCCGTTTGAAGCTTTGAAGCCGTAATGTCAGTTTGAAGTTGGCGTAACGTGTCTAGTTGTCTGGCTTGGCTGGCAATTTTCGGCTCTGCTTGTAACGCTGTGTTGACGGGAGGATCTGCTGCTTTGTAAGCTGCTGGCCGCGGCTGCTTCTACTCAGCCCCTGAAGTCTGACAAACGCTAACATAACTGGTCTGGTGTTTCAGATGTTTGAGCACATATCATTGGTGAGACGATTAAACTAGCATTGAAATGACAACTCGAAAAAAATGCACATTAGATGATAGAACATAGACTAACCCAAAGCATGTCCTGCCAAGATTTGATGTCTAAACATGATCGTGTCTAGACATGGCACACTTTACATCAAAACATGCAGATTACAGAAAAATCAGGTACCGCATATCTATTAGCTGTACCAGTTACCCGCAATCTTCTCGGTGTTTATATTTCTACAACATTGTCTGATTTTCATGGCTGGACATGTATGGGTCTAAACAAATCTTCGATGAATACTGAATAATCTTCATAAGTCTGAAATCCTCGCATAACTAATGAAACACATGCATTGAAATGACGGCATTCTTCAGCGTCACAATTCGTTAGCGTTCTTCCTGCTTCTTCCTGGAAGGTGAACCTCGTGCTGTACTGGGCGCCCACGTGGGAGCTGCCCCGTCTCACCGGCCCGCTAGAGCATGCGTGGTGACCTGTTGTCGGTAGTTGGTGCTTGTGTCTGCCGCCACGGTATAAAGTATGCGCGCGGAGCGCTGCCACAGGTCCTCGCATCCACATAGACGCCAGAATTAGTGCATTTCTAGCACCAGATAGTGTAAACTAGTGATAGTGCATCTGGGAAATATTCAAAAAATCTCGCAGCGTCACTGCAGTGTTGAAGCAACATCAAGTTACGAAACTCGCCTGCCCACTTCATTGCACTTCCCCATACCCCAGTGTTACCCACTCATGAAGATCTAGTTACAGAAGTTCCACAACTTACACTGAGAAAAACGGTCAAATACCTACCTATTTTAACTGGTTTTTAAGCCAACAACGTCTTGTTAAAATCACGAACAAAACAACAGTTTTCGATTGTCTTAAATTTTCCAATTGCACATTCATATTCGCCTGCTCGATCGGTTCGTTCAGCTGCAGTTTCTTTTTAACCTCTTCACCAGCAGATTGCTGAGAATAGAAATCTGTATTATCTTTCATGCCTCTGAAATGGCAAATCTTGTATCCACATGAAAAAAACTGATGTGCCGCTTCTCAGCTTTGTATTGCCAACAACGAAACTAAAAAAGAAAATCTGTATGACTATCGCGCCAACATGCATGAATAACAAACGCTACGATCACACGTGACTGAGGAATCCCCGCAGCAGCGTCCGACGCGTTTAGAGCTCGACTAGTGACCTCAATCGTGACCGGCGCGCCCGTGCCCATCGCCGCAGGAGGCCCACTCGCTGGAACAGGTGTGCGGCGGCAGCTCCGTCTTCCCCAGCGCCGAGAAGACCGAAAACATGCTGATGAACCTGCTGCTACCGCTCTGTCTCCGCGTCGGCTGCGGACGAACTGGTGAGAAACTTTCGATGAAGGAACCCGATCCTCGTATAGCTCGATCGTATCTCCCTTACACAATGTCAAGAACGCAACAACACCGTATTAACTTCCAAACTTAACTGCCACCTGCTCTAAGCGCAGGTGAAAGATTTACTCGACACACGTGAAAGCAACAACACCGAATTAACTTGACTGCAACCTCCTCTAACCATGATATTCTTGACAGACGTGAAAGCAACAACACCGAATTAACTTTCGAACTTGACTGCGGCCTCCTCTAACCGCGATACTCTCGGCAGACGTGCCCAAGATGCGCCAGGCGGACATCAGTTTCGCGCTGACTGTGATGCTGCACGCGCTACAACCGCCCGCCTCCACCAAGGTAGCCGCCGCGGGCGCGGGCGGCGGCGCCGGCGCCGGCGGTGTCGCCAACAAGACCGAGGCTGGGCTCTTCTCCACGAGCGAGACGCGCGGTCACAGCACCGTCCGACCGTCCATCTACTCCGTGGCATTCCTCGGTATGTCACCGTACCAAAACTGAACTCAATCTTCTTCTCCCGCAATCAGCCTCTCCTTAGTGTATCATTCCTCAGTGCTCCTAAGTTTCTCAAAAGAGCCATACGTGGGCTGAAATGACAGCGCAGTTCTGTCCCGCCAGGTCTGAAGATCCTTCTGATATGTTTTGAGAAGAATCTGGCCATGGACTGGCACCGGGTGGCCCGCACGGTTCAGGAGCTCGGCCAGCAGGGCTGCGGCGGCCTGGCGCTCTGGGACTTCCTGGACTTTGTCGTCACCTACCCGACACCCGTGTTCGTCCTCCTGCTGCCCTTCATCGAGCAACACGTGAGAGAACATCTCTGATAGGTACTAATTTAAACAGGCAAGGTGGAGCAATACAATGGATCAGCTATTAGTTATGTACCGATTAGTTCACCATCGCGACAGTACAGACTACAGACGACAGTTAAGCCGCGGGTTGATTTGCGTCCTTTCCTTTGCCAGTTGGAGTCGCCGACATACGACTTCGCTGACGAGGTGCACTTCAAGCAGCTGATCAGGGAGAAGTTGGCCGGGAACCAGGAGGAGATGCCCAGGATCAAGTCGAAGGGCTCGGTGCTGATGGAACTCGCACACGAGATGAAGCTGGTCAAAGAGGAGATCGCCAACTCAAAAACAGGTTCGTTGACCCGTTCCTACAAGCCGTTAGCTATTGGATGCTAAGACAAAGGAATCTTGCAAATAAGGGTGCAATTTCCATCGATGTATGTAGATGGTTGTCCCTGATAAATATGACTTTGCGCGCCCCTTCTTTTGACTGATGACTATGCTACAGGGGATTTCGACCACCGGAAGTCTGTGGTTGTCGACCTTCATAGCGACTTCCGCTCTCGCCTGTGGACCGGATCTGTGTCGGAGGGACCCAAATCATCCAAAGGTATAACCTTACCACCGTGGCAGAGAACCATAAAATCCAAAGGTAGAGGGTGAATAATAATAACCCTGAGGACAATAAATTTAACAGTTTAAATATCAAACCGAAATCAATCCCGCTTTTACTATTCTTCTGTTCATATGCTGCACGACTAACCACTAACCAGGCTTATCGGCCTACCATTCATAGTCATACGGGTGAATCATCGATTGTCTTGCTATTGCACTGCCACTAATCCAGCTTCCATAACCCACTAACCGCGGCTGTGACGCACCGAAGCGACATTCAGCACGGTGCCGACCTCCCCATGACCCGGGTCCGTTCACGGCAGTCTCGAGCCAGCGCTCCCTGCACCGCGACGCCAGTGTCAAGAGTGAGAACTGGCCCCAGCCGGCCGGCCAGCGCACCATGCGCGTGTACTCAATGCGCTCTCGGGGCGCCGTGGAGCGCTTCCTGCGGCGGACCAGCTACGCCGGCTCCGAGGATCGGGCAGGTGGGGTTCGACGGGCTGAGCCGCGCAGGTGGGCTCCAGAGAGGGGGGGGGGGCAGAATGGAGTTTGGCGGGCTGCACACAAAGATGGGATCCGGTGGGCCGCCCGCCTGGGAAGGCTGAGAACCAGGACAGCACCGAAGCAGGAGGGACCCGCGGAGGACACGGCATACCAGGGACTAAAGGGGATGGTTTCCGAGACCTCAGATCGGTGGGGAAGCACCTGCACAGCACGTTGGACCTCTGAACCAGATCACAAACCCACACACGACAGACCTCAATAGGAGAACAAATCATCATGATGAACATTGGTTCACGAATTAAGTATTAAATTTCATGAACTCACAGTCACAGGCTTTGTGAAAATGCGTTCAAGCTCACAAATTATTCAGCTGATGCATGTCATGAGTATAAATAAACACGGGAGCAAAGCTCTAACTGGTGGGTCAACTGGTTAGTGGGTAACAATGAAAGTGAACAGCGTGGGTAACGAAATACGGGCGTTCGGTAGGGACACACATCGGTAAAATGCATGCCGTAGTTGATGGTCGGTGTTCACCTAAACTCAAGCTCTATCCAAGGCATTCTATTAACTAGATCTCTCCACTTTCGCTTCACTAGAAACACTGCCTTCGGTGTTGGCATCACATTAAAGGGAGATTATGACCTTTTTCCACAAAATCTGAGTTAGGACCATTTTCTGACAAAACACAACAAGTTATAATGTAAATTAAAACCATTTTGCTCAATTCGGTACCTTGCCGCAAATATCTCAACTTGAAGTCACGTTAGCGGGGAGCGCTGAAAATGACCGTTGAATAAGTACTTACATCACTTTTTGGTACTTGCATGTAATTTTGTAAAATGAGCGTATTCATTACATTTGATCTTCATCACATCTAGTTAGTTAATGGTCGTCTATAGTGCCTTCAAAAGATATTCATGGTTTGGGGGTGGTTTATGTCTAAATTTACGCAACTATTTTTCCTGTTCATCATCTGTCGCCATATGCTGCTATTTTACTAGCAACGACTCAATTTTGAATCGGTCCCGCCGACTGCACAATAAAAGAAGATAGATACAACACTTTTGCGGCATCACTGAAAAAACTTATGCAGTACTGTTATCAAAATTCTCATAACACCGTTCGACAAACCTGAAGTCTTTTTGAAATAAATATGCTTGTATTTTTCGCTTCAGGCTCTGAGGCCAAAATAATGAATTTCGTAGTCGCAATCGCAAGATTTGACTGCGTTTCTGGCGCATACCGTTCATTTGTGGCGCAAAATAATACTTGGAAACAAAGAAGAGTAGGCACTATGTACCCCCGAATTAGAATCTAATTAATTCTAAACCGAAGTAACTCTAATTTTAATTAGAATCCTTACAACCAAGCAACGACAAGGCGATAACATAAACAAAAACACAAGCGTCGCTGTTTGAAACAAAAGCGCCATATACTGCGACTTTTTTATAGAGAAGGACAACGCATTTCGGTGGGTGTTACAAGTACTGCAAGTACTGCTTCTTTTTGCAAAAATAAAAACCTTTTTCACATACGAAAATGTGCTAGGAAATTTTCATATTTTATAGAAACTACAGTAGAAATAGTATAGATGTCGAGTAATTTTTATTTAAGAAAAAAGAAAGCTCATTATCTCCCTTTAAGATGAGTTTTGGCAGTGCCTTTTGATTGTCAATGTTCACACTCTAACAACTATTAACTAGAAATGGAAACGCAAGGTGGTGTGGAGTCGGGATACTAATGCACTTAGGTAGCCTACCGCACATAAACTGTCACTCGTATTCGTATGGACTTCCCGTCCCGCTCACAGTTTTCAGTGCTGTGTTGATGTTGACACATACCTACGGTGTCGTTTAGTTCACGAATGCCAGTTCGCCGCAATCTGATCCCACGGATTGGCAGTCTGAGAATGTTTGTGTTGTTGATGTCCCCAAGGCTAAAATAACCTACAAATAAACTCAGTGATTTGCCACCACTAGAAGAACCAAATAAACCAGAAGCGACCGGTTTAAATGACAAAAAGTACTCCCCCATTCACTGACCCTGTAAAATTATATCTGGTTACCAATGTCCCGGACATTGTCAACCAAAAGGCCACCGGCTGAGCCAGTGTGCTCGCCGTGCCGGTGCCGGTCGTTTCTGTGGCTGTTCCCGGTGTCTGCCGGGACCCCGGCGGCACGCCTCTGGTCCGGCCCCGCCTGGGGGCAGACTCCGACCAGCGCATGACCCACGCTCTCTCTGTCTGTCTCTGTTCTCGTCTGCGCTGTCCGCTGTCACTGTCACTACTGGCTGGCTGGCTGGCTGTGGCTGCCCGTTACCGCTGTGGCTCGCCGCCCGCCCGTAGGCGTCAGCGACTCGCGAGCCGCCACCTCCGAGCCACGCCTCTACAGAAAGTCGTTGTTTGTAATGCGGAAGCGCGGCTCCCGGCCCAACGCAGGCGACTCGGACACCACGCCAGGTTTGTCCACCGAGGCGGTCTCACACCAGCCAGGTTTGTCCGCCGAACGGTTCTTCAGAGACCGTCGGCGCTTCGAGCGAACGATGGATGTTTCTCGACGCAGGATCGGAGAGACTTCAGCTAGGAAGACACAAGGTAGCCGATATATCAACTAAACGTTCTTGGGGAATGCCTACACGTTTGAGAGGTTACATAAAGTCACCAGCTACCCAGGAAGTTTAAATAAAACGCCAAGCAATTAAAAGCTATAAGTTGCAAAGATAATCGACTAACTAGCCCAGCTTGTGCGATATTCAAAATCGTCAGCAACTATCATCAAATGTCAATCATGACCTAGGAAATGCCGCCTCACATTAACTATTGCCAATGCAAATCAGGGGTGCCGACTCCCACCCACGGTCGTTGCAGGTGACTCTGCGACTGACCTCGACCAGGCGCTGAGCAAGGGCTCCACAGAGGAGGGGTCGACCGCCCGCCCGCACCGACACCGGCTGCAGCGGCAGAAGGCGCAGAGTAGGAAGACGTTCCGCTTCAGGAAGAGCCGCAGGGGAAACAACTTCGAGGTGAGGACAGACTACCAATGCCTTGTGCAATTTTTCAATCGCTAATTCTCACGCCAATAAGGCCCGATTCTTCATTCTTCAACTTCATTCTGCTGGGGCATTCCACGATGGATCGTACCACTTTTTTCCAATTTGACACCCTCATCTCTCGGATTTTAACGATAATTGGTCTAAGGGGTAAATCAGGGGCTCTGAATCCTCCTGTAACAGTTTCAGGCTTATCAGATGAGTGGTTTTTGAGTTATAGTGTATAACATGTTTTGGATCTTGCGTTGCAGCCCCAAGTTTGGCGGGCTGTAACTCTAAGACGAATAATCCAAATGCCAAATGCTATACGGCGTTGAACTTGCATTGAAACAAAGAATAATATGCATTTTTAAAATTTTGAAATATCAACTATTTTTGATATATTACACCTCGAGTTTCCTTTCATTTGCATTTTTATGCCTTTGGGACCAAATTTTTTTGAATTTTTATTTACTTAAAAACATTTTTGGATCATTTTAAAGTAGTATGCAAAAAATTAGGAAGGTGTTCTTTCTATAAATGTACTTATTTTGCGTCATCGTAATGGTCTCGAATTGTGATTTCGGAAGAGAGCCTACAAATGGTGTGGTAAAGCTGCCTAGTGACATCACTGGTTACTGAAAGTTCAATTGAAGTCATTTTTGCCTCATTTTTGCATTGTTGACCTTGCATGACGTCATTCATACGTCACTAGGGTCATAAGAGTTTTTCGTCAATAACTCTCGATCAAATTGAGCTAGAGAGACGGGAAAGCTACCAATGGACTCGGGAAAACCTTGCGAATCGAATGATGTGCAATATGATCTCATTCACCCAGCTTCGTGGCCTGACCCGACTGTTAACCATCTCTGTGGCGGCGCTGTTTGTCCAGCGCCGCGCTGGTTGGCTTTGCCGCGGACTCGGGCGGTCACGTGATGCCCGGGGGCTGGCTGCCGGCTGGGCCGCCCGGTCGGGGCGCGGAGCCAAATACACGGCAGTGTGCTGACCCGAGGTCAGCGACTTAAGCTGACCTCATCAGAACAAACAGTACACCATTCGACGCGCCGGAGCTAGGTTAACACAAAGATGCTAAAATCGCGGCTCTGCGACCATTTGTTGCGAAGTTATCTATCAAAAACCGGACCCGTATTTTGGGTCACTTGAAATGACCTCAGGGGTCACCAATGAACCCGAGACCTTAAAATGTGGTATCATTCGATGCATCTTGTAAAGTCGCACATGCTCGTTTTTTTCCGCAAGGCTCTAGCTCCATTAGAGGCGAAACGGCGAGCTGGGGTCGTACCGACACCCCGGAAACCCATTTTGTATACATTTAAATAAGGAACTTATAGAAAGGACACCTTTCTAATTTTTGCATGTCGATTTTAAAGGACCTGAGATTTATTTTGAAGAAATAAAAATGGCAAAAATTTTGGTCCCGAGGACCATTATAGATAATTTAAAAAAAATACTACGACTTTTTTTCAATATATTAAGCTTTTCTTTCCAATTTTAAAAATACTGTATTAATCTTTGATTCATCGTTAGTTCAAAGCTGTTAACCGTTTGTTGCTTGCTTAGCTCGTTTTTGAGTTATAGGTCATCAAACTCACCCTTACAATCTGAAGTTTAGAAAAACTAGAGGTACAGGTTTACGCAATAACTGTATGTTTTGATATGTATGATTAACGGGTGCATTAGTTTGAGTGTAAAAGCTTGCATTTTTATTGGTATTATTTGTGAAGAACTGGGTAACTGCTTTTAATTGAACTGTAAAGTATGATGGTGATGCAAGCGAGTTGTTCGAGTCCTTTGTAAGTTAGGATTTTACTCAATTCAACCCTACCCTACCCTACCCTACCCTACCCTACCCCTACCCTACCCTACCCCTACACTACCCTACCCTACCCTACCCTACCCTTACACTACCCTACCCTACCCTACCCTTACCCTACCCTAACCCTACCCCTAGATTACCCTTACCTACCCTACCCTACCCTACCCTACCCTACCCTACCCTACCCTACCCCTACACTGCCCTACCCTACCCTACCCTTACACTACCCTACCCTACCCTTACACTACCCTACCATACCCTACCCTACCCTACCCTACCCCTACCCTACCCCTACCTCTGCCCCTACCCTACCCTACCCTACCCTACCCTACCCTACCCTACCCTACCCTACCCTACCCTACCCTTACCCTTACCCTTACCCTACCCTGCCCTGCCCTACCCTACCCTACCCTACCCCTACACTACCCTACCCTACCCCTACACTACCCAACCCTACCCTACCCTACCCTACCCTAAACTACACTACCACCAACAGTCCAAGTTTCAGCTAAATCGGCCCAGAAACGGCTGAGATATTGCAAAAACAAATTTATTGTATTTACTGGTGATCCCCTTGGCGAGCGGTGCCCGGCGCCGGTATTCATTGTCAAAGTTCAACGACCTCCCGGCTCTGATGCTTTTCACTCAGTTTTAAGCGAACAACTGAACCTAAAGCACGTGCCTTCTGCTCGGCACCGGTCGCGGCCCCACCACGTGCACACCGCTGAACCCACACCGTCGAAAATTTAATACGACAAATGAGTGCACGCGCTCGACTTTGCGTGAAAATTTCAGCCCCGTAGCCCTTACCGTTCCCGAGCAATAGCCTGTTTTTGCCGTTTTTAATGTTAACCCTATGGCGCACATGAGCACGCGCCACGGGCGCACCCCCGGCCGAATCGTGCCCAAAATCTAATACGACCTGTTGAATGACGTGACCCACGAGTCGTGAAAATTTCACCCTCCTGCGTCAATCGACGGCGCCTTAATAAGCCTTTTAGGGAGTAACCCCGACGGCGTGGGCGGATTTTCTACAGGGTGTTTCACTAAAAGTGTCAAAAAGTAAATGCTTATTAAAGATACTAGAGGTACAGGTTTACGCGATAACTGTATGTTTGGAGTTATGTTATGTTACGGGTGCATTCGTTTGGGTGATTGACTTGTATTTTTAGCTGTATTATTTGGGTAGATTTGGGTAGCTGTTTTTAATTGAACTGTGGTGATAGTTGCGGAGTGTTCAAGTGTTTTGTATGTTGGGCCCTTTTTGAACACAACCCTACCCTACCCTACCCCTACCCTACCCTACCCTACTACCCTACCCTACTCTACCCTACCCTACTACCCTACCTTACCCTACCCTACCCTACCCTACCCTACCCTATCCTACCCTACCCTTACACTACCCTACCCTACCCTACCCCTACACTACCCTACCCATACCCTACCCTACCCTACCCTACTCCTACACTACCCTACCCTACCCTACCCCTTCCCCTACCCTACCCTACCTACCCTAACATACCCTACCCTAGTCCCTACTCTACCCTACCCTACCCTACCCTACCCTACCCTAACCTACCCTACCCTACCCCTACATTACCCTACCCTACCCCTACACTACCCTACCCTACCTACCCTACCCTACCCTACCCCTACATTACCCTACCCTACCCCTACACTACCCTACCCTACCCTACCCTACCCTACCCTACCCTACCCTTCCCTACCCTACCCTACCCTACACTACACTACCCTACACTACCACCGACAGTCCAAGTTTCAGCTAAATCGGCCCAGAAACGGCTGAGATATTGCAAAAACAAATTTATCGTATTTATTGGCGAATCCCCTTGGCGAGGGGTGCCTTGTGTCGGCCTTGGTTGTCAAAGGTCAACGACCTCCCGGCTCTGATGCTTTTCACTCAGTTTTCTAAGCGAACAACTGAGCCTAAAGCACGTGCCTTCTGCTCGGCGCCGGTCGCGGCCGCACCACGTGCACACCGCTGAACCCACACCCTTGAAAATTTTATACGACAATTGAGTGCACGCGTCCGACTTACAGCGAAAATTTCAGCCCCGTAGCCCTTACCGTTCCCGAGCAATAGCCTGTTGCCGATTCTAGTGTAAACCCTATGGCACACCACGTGAGCACGCGCCACGGGCGCACCCCTGGCCGCATCGTGCCCAAAATTTAATACGACCTGTTGAATGACGCGACCCACGAGTGGCACAAATTTCACCCTCCTGCGTCAATCGACGGCGCCGCAATAAGCCTTTTTGGGCGTAACCCCGACGGCGGACTTTTTAAGATTTATAATAGTAGACAAGTGTTTTGTATGTTGGGCCATAGACCTCTGTATACATGGACTGGACACAGAAAATCCGGCCATGACCACAACGGCCCTAAAAGTAAATGCTTATAACTCGAGAGTCAGTTCACCTACGACATTCATTTTTTCACCGCCGCATAGCCCCATTCATTGAAAATGATGGGGATCATCCGCCGAACCGATGCGGTGTAACGGGGGAGCACCAGCACGTGGCGCGTGAGAGATGTTTATGAAAATGGCGTGACAGTATCTCGGGAACGGCTGGACCGAATGAGTCCAGATTTGGCACACAGCTAGGTATAACACACCTGCCAATAACGCATGTCCCAATTTTGAGGTGCCGATGCACGTGCGCACGTGCACACCCCTTTTTTGTATCTCAGAAACTACTCGTCCGATTTCGCTCAAATTTTGTATACAGGCAACAGCCTAACAACCATTGCTGGTTCACACCTCAAGCAAGGGGTGCGGCTGCACGTGCGCACGTGCACACCCCTTGTTCTTATCTTGGAAACTAGCCGCCCGATTTAGCTGAAACTTTGTATCTGCCTCCCTAAGAGCCAAGCTAAACGTTCCTGATACTCATCGCAAGCTTGAATTGCCGCTGCACGTGCGCACGCGCCACGCGCGCACCCCAATTCGTGGCTCGGAAACTAGCGGTTCCGTTTTGTTTTGCTGAGATCTTCTACGCAGCAATGTACAGGTCTCGCGAGATTAAGCGGTAGGTTTTGCACTTTTACATTTCCGGTTATATCTCAGAAACTAATCGATCTACGATGAAGCCATTTTACACGATCATGGCCGGCTTGTTACCCAACAAGTCGATCGCATCTTCAACACTTAAAAGCTTAAGACGACGAAGATATAGCCTGAAGTACACTAAATTTTCTAGGTGCAAAACCTACCGCTAAAACCCGCGAGACCTGTACTCCATAACCACTGGCGACTTATACATTTGCGTATCTTAGAAACTTATTTCCCAACGGGACTGAACTTCTGCATTATCAGGTGCGGCTGCACGTGCGCACGTGCACACCCCTTGTTTATATCCTGGAAAGTATCCGCCCGATTAAGCTGGAATTTTGTCTATATCTCCCCAAGAGCAGAGCTAACTGTTTCTGATTCTCGTCACAAGCTCGAAGTGCCGCTGCACGTGCGCACGCGCCACGCGCGCACCCCTAATTGATAGCTCGGAAACTAGCAGTTCCGTTTTGCTGAGATCTTCTACGCAGCAATGTACTCCATAGCTTAACCACTAGCGACTCATACACCTGGTATCCTAGAAATTTGCTTTCGAACGGGACTGAACTTCTGTATAAAGATGAAGTTAATTGGCAGTAAAAGCACATGCATTGTAAAACATATGTATGTATTGCAGATCAGACTGAGCACACTTATACATAGCTGATAGTTCTTCAGCACCGAAAAAACATCCGGCTCATAAACCAGTGGGTACCCACTCATCGGTCAGCTGCACGATGTAGCATTTTTACATGACAAACAGCAAAGCAAACAACAGAACTAACAGCAATGCAGGATTCACTTGCGGACGCTTTATCAGTTAGCTGTGATTTTTTTCGAGAAAACTGGCTCACTGTTGAACCGCCCAATCCCGGGAAGAGCTGTTGGGTACTTGTTCGGGTGGAAGAGGTGCCGTTTTCCCCCAATCAGTCACCCATGAAGACAGGGCACTCGAAAAAGATGTGCTAGAGAGTATATGCTTTCCCGCGTCACACGGCTCACCGACCCGCCAATGGTCGAGCACTTATTGCACTTCTCGAAAAGGTTCCTTGAAATCCGCTGCAAATAATAGCAAGAGCCCAACAGTGGCTATGCACAACAATGTAATGGCTTACACAGAGCTGTTGGATGTCCGCGGATAAGTGCTGGTGCATGTCATAGTCTTCCACCACCGGTGGCGGTAGGATGAAAATGGGAAGAAGGATGGAGTGGAATGGCATTCCATTCATATGGCGCTGACGGCTACTGAGCTCTTGGTTGCTAAACTGGATCATCATGCAGTGACCCTTGTGCGGTCTGGGTGTTCGTCAAAATGATGACAGAAAAGTACACGCGGTAGCGTTTAGCCGATACACGGCCCTTGTGAGCCATGTAGCCGGTGGCCAAGGCCGCCACCACATCGTCGCATTGGATGTCGTGGGTCGCGCCGATTATGTTTCCCAGCGCACGGAGCCGGGGACGTATGTACAAGCACGGACACTCCAGCAGCACGTGCGCCGGAGTGTCCGCTGGTTCGCCGCAGACCAGGCAGCGGCCCGCTGGACACTCTTTGTCTTCGCATTGGGCGCACTCGGTCGTTGATCTTCGTCCAATCCGTTGGAGTTACTGTTCTGATCGTCTCCAGTGACCCGACCGGAGCTGGCGGATATCAACAGCCTCCTACCTGGTGGCGGCTCGTCCCGGGGCGGGGGCGCGGTCCCCCATGATGACGGTGCGATGCCAGCCAGCTGGCCAGTCCGCCTGCCACCTCTTCTTGGTGGACCGCGCAACGACCTGCGTGAGGGTGGCGGACGTCAACCGGGGTCATCTGCTGGGACAGCCCGACCGCTTCCTTGGCCAGGGCGTCCGCCCTCTGGTTGTCGGCGAGTCCACAGTGGGCTGGGGCCCATGGCAGCTGTATTGTGCTGCCGTCAGCCGTCAGGCGCTACACTTGGGCCGCAGCGCCTTCAGCCAGGAGCTGCCTCGACTCAAAGGCGCCAGCAGTTGCTCGATCGGCGGAGCGACTCGGCCTCGCCGGCCTACCGGGCACTGCGGCCGATCTTGTCGCTCCTTTTCTATCAGTCTCCCAAATGGGCCACTCTTTTAGAGAGCGTGCGCCGTACAACTCGGTGAGGACCTTGGCCGGCAGGATAGTTTGCTGGGCGGCGACCGGAGCCGGCTCGATCCCTGCTACTACGGCCTGTGCGGGGCTATGCAGCGGTCAGCTGACAGTCGCACACAGCTACCGCTGGAGCAGCCAGATGGCGGAGAGCGGGATCGTTAGGACAGCGGCTGCGTGCTCCAGTGTTCCGTCCACGCATCCCGAGAACGACGCTGTAGGCAATGATTCTCCACATCCGGTCAGCCTGTGGAGCTGCATCGTGGACTACACCCGGGAGCAAGAGTTGGCATTTCGATGATGTGCTATCCCTGGGGCATTGTTCGTTGGCGGCTCGTTGACTATCTCTGTAAGTGGCGTCACTGAAAGAAATAGAGAAAAAAGTATGTCGGTCACACTTTATAGGTCGGATAATGTGTGCTTGACGGTCATCTTTTACTTTTAAGAACAAGCGGCCCTCGCCAAGCATGGTCCACAAAGTCATTACTATAGCATGACAAGAACAAGTAAATGTGTTTGTCAAAGTAAGGTTTCTGATAGATTTATGTATTGCAAAACTGCCTTTACACAGTGATACTAGATATTAACCTACGTCCTACAAGCACACCTGCATTGAGAGGCAAACGACTTAAAAGTAATAATGAATGTAAATGCGTCAAGATTGCTATTTTACAGTTTGATCAATGACACTCACAAATAGATTGATTCGAATTCGATGACATTAATTATCTTGTCTGCGAGCATGCCTTCCAACCATGGCAGGCAGTGCAGTAACTAATCTGGTTTATTGAACACCGACTTTGGCGAGCAAACATACCAGAGAAAAAGCAGCAAAGACAAATAACAATGAAGCAAGTTATAAAGCATTACTCACGCTTGGAAGGATCTGGCTAAGGGTGGATGGAACCACAGTGTATAGATGTAACGATGCGTCAATCAGAAATGTTTGCTTGCTCTTCCCGTGGGATCTTATAGGTAAATGGTCTTCTTCAAAATGCAGCTAAAAACGAACAATTGTTCAACAAATAACCTTCTACTTGTGACATCTCATAACGTATCAGTTTGTATGCACAACGACACCAATTATTCAACCGAAACTAATGATAAGTCCTCAATATGAAACACTTAAAAGTGAAACTTAAATATACAATTCCAGTTGTATGCCTATTTTATGACAAAACACGTAGGTCTGGGAATAATGCTAATGATACTTTACAGAAAGTCACGTGCTCTTTTCCGTCGCCGTCATTAAGACGAATTTATTTAAGACGGTCCGTCATGAGCGTTGCACTTTTATCCCCTTTCAGAGCAATAAAACCGATTTAACGTTATACTGTTTTTGAGAACAAGTATCCTAGAATACAACAGTATAGGAAATTAGCTCAAATGCTCACCAACTACCGGATATTTATCCGCATACAATTACAACGATCAGAATCTGCTGGATTACACGATCAACAGTTTTAAGTCGTTTGTTGTTATTTTTAGTTATGATATCAACTATTCAGGTGTGAATAAGCGGTAGTTGTGGGGACCATGATTGTATTCAAAGTTTCAACGAAATGGGACTGTTTATTTCCGAGATATAATGGAGGGGTGCGCACGTGCGCACGTGCAGCGGCACCTCAACATTGAGACGAACACCAGCAATGGTTATAAGACACTTGGGTATATGCAAAATTTCAGCTAAATCGGGCGGCTAGTTTCCAAGATAAGAACAAGGGGTGTGCACGTGCGCACGTGCAGCCGCACCCCTTGCTTGAGGTGTGAACCAGCAATGGTTGTTAGGCTGTTGCCTGTATACAAAATTTGAGCGAAATCGGACGAGTAGTTTCTGAGATACAAAAAAGGGGTGTGCACGTGCGCACGTGCATCGGCACCTCAAAATTGGGACATGCGTTATTGGCAGGTGTGTTATACCTAGCTGTGTGCCAAATCTGGACTCATTCGGTCCAGCCGTTCCCGAGATACTGTCACGCCATTTTCATAAACATCTCTCACGCGCCACCTGCTGGTGCTCCCCCGTTACACCGCATCGGTTCGGCGGATGATCCCCATCATTTTCAATGAATGGGGCTATGCGGCGGTGAAAAAATGAATGTCGTAGGTGAACTGACTCTCGAGTTATAAGCATTTACTTTTAGGGCCGTTGTGGTTATGGCCGGATTTTCTGTGTCCAGTCCATGTATACAGAGGTCTATGGTTGGGCCCTTTTTGAACTCAACCCTACCCCTACCCTACCCCTACCCTACCCCTACCCTATCCTACCCTACCCCCTACCCTACCCTACCCTACTACCCTACCATACCCTACCCTACCCTACCCTACCCTACCCTACACTACCCTAACCTACCATACCCTACCCTACCCCTACCCTACCCTACCCTACCCTACCCTACTACCCTACCCTACTCTACCCTACCCTACCCTACCCTACCCTTCTACCCTAATCTACCCTACTACCCTACCCTACCCTACCCTACCATACCCTACCCTACCCTACCTAACTCTACCCTACCTACCTCTACCCTACCCTACCCTACCATACCCTACCCTACTACTTCACCATACCCTACCCTACCCTACCCTACCTTACCCTACCCTACCCTAGTCCCTATACCCTACCCTACCCTACTAACCTACCCTACCCTACCCTACCCTACCCTACCCTACCCTACCCTACCCTACCCTACCCTACCCCTACACTACCCTACCCTACCCTACCCTACCCTACCCTACCATACCTTACCCTACCCTACCCTACCCTACCCTACCCTACCCTACCATATCCTACCCTACCCCTACCCTACCCTACCCTACCCTACCCTACCCTACCCTACCCCTACCCCTACACTACCCTACACTACACTACCCTAAACTACCACCGACAGTCCAAGTTTCAGCTAAATCGGCCCAGAAACGGCTGAGATATTGCAAAAACAAATTTATTGTATTTACTGGCGAATCCCCTTGGCGAGCGGTGCCTTGTGTCGGCCTTCGTTGTCTGATTATTTTCACTCAGGTTTTTAAGCGAACAACTGAGCCTAAAGCACGAGCGTTTTGCTCGGCGCCGACCGCGGCCCCACCACGTGCACACCGCTGAACCCACACCGTCGAAAATTTAATACGACAAATGAGTGCACGCGATCGACTTGGCGTGAAAATTTCACCCCCGTAGCCCTTACCGTTCCCGAGCAATAGCCTGTTTTGGCCGATTCTAATGCTAACCTTATGGCGCACATTAGCACGCGCCACGGGCGCACCCCCGGCCGCATCGTGCCCAAAATTTAATACGACCTGTTGAATGACGTCACACACGAGTCGTGAAAATTTCACCCTCGTGCGTCAATCGACGGCGCCGCAATAAGCGTTTTTGGGAGTAACCGGCGGCGGACTTTTTAGGATTTATAAATAGTAGATATAAAATATGCAAATCACGTGGTTGTGCATGTGGCTTTGTTGCAAATTTTTGGACATTTATGCTTTGTCCATTTAAGATGTATTTTACACCCATACGGAGCGAGGGCAGGAGGCCAAAGTTACTAGTCGTTTTTTTCCTTATACAGACCAAGAACAGGTTATTTACACCTCAACAGGAGGGGTGAATTACACTTACATTTGGTGCGATCAGAAACATTGAAACGGTATGCCGACTTTTCAGGAAACGTTTTACTCTCTCACCTCGCTACGTTCCAGATTATAAAAGTTTAAAAGGGCTTCTTAAGAGGTTTAAAAGGGCTCCTTCGATGCCAGTTCCAGTCCCCAAAAAAGGCAGGGTCGCCCCCCACGTCTCGGCGGAAACCGTTGAAAAGGTCAGGGTCTTTTTGAGGGCCTTTGAAGATTTAACAAGAAGCTAATTTCAACATCAGAAATAGCCAAGGCCTTACAAGTTATCAAAAAAACCACTGCGACGGCTGTAGCCACCAGGAACTGGCTGGACCAGAAGTTCCTGGGCAAAATAATCAGCTGCCTCACCGCCCGCCACCATGGCCAGCGCGAAGCCCCGAACTGTCACCGCTAGACTTCTGGTTTTGGTCAGTGAATCAGTGGCTCTCGCAGAGCTGAGGAAGACTCAAGTCGCTTCACTTCGGGAGCTGAAGAGCACAATTCAAGGCTTTGCCGACAGTCTAGACGCTGAATATGAAAACGGGCTGTGAGCCACCTCCGGACACGTGCGGAAACGGTGCATCAAAAGAAGGGGCGGATATGTGAAATAGGTTTGAGTGACGGTGATATCGCTGTTATATATTCAAATGTCCAACAATTGCGGATGAAATGATATGCACATTTCCTTAGAAAACATTGTTCTTATGTGCATTATGACCTTTTACTTTTTGACACTTTTAGTGAAACACCCTGTAGGATTTATAATAGTAGACTAGAGGTACAGGTTTACGCGATAACTGTATGTTTTGATATGTATGATTAACGGATGCATTAGTTTGGGGGTAGAAACTTGCATTTTAATTGGTATTATTTGTGTAGAACTGGGTAACTGCTTTTAATTGAACTGTTAAGTATGATGGTGATGCATGCGAGTTGTTCGAGCCCTATGTAAGTTAGGATGTTACTCAATTCAACCCTACCCTACCCTACCCTACCCTACCCTACCCTACCCTACCCTACCCTACTCTACCCTACCCTACTCCTACTCCTACCCTACCCTACCCTACATACCCTACTCCTACACTAACCTACCCTACCCTACCCTACCCTACTCTACCCTACTCCTACACTAACCTACCCTACCCTACCCCTACACTACCCTACCTTACTCTACCCTACCCCTACCCCTACCCTAGACCCTACCCTACCCTACCCTACCGTACCCTACCCTACCTTACCCTACCCCTACACTACCCTAACCTACCCTACCCTACCCTACCCCTACCCTACCCTACCCTACCCTACCCCTAACCTACCCTACCCTACCTTACCCTACCCCTACACTACCCTACCCTACCCTACTCTACCCTACCCTACAATCCCCTACCCTACCCTACCCTACCCTACCCTACCCTATAATCCCCTACCATACCCTACCCTACCCTACCCTACCCTACCCTACCCCTACACTACCCTACCCTACCCTACTCTACCCTACCCTACCCTACAATCCCCTACCCTACCCTACCCTAGCCTACCCTACCCCTAAACTACCCTAA